AGATATGCCAGATAGATATGCCAGAAGATATGCCAGAAGATATGCCAGATAGAATGCCAGATAGAATGCCAGATAGATATGCCAGAAGATATGCCAGAATATATGCCAGATATGCCAGATAGAATGCCAGATAGAATGCCAGAAGATATGTCAGATAGAATGCCAGAAGATATGCCAGATAGAATGCCAGAAATTATGCCAGAAGATATGCCAGATAGAATGCCAGAGATATGCCAGATATGCCAGAAGATATGCCAGAAGATATGTCAGATAGAATGCCAGAAGATATGCCAGATAGAATGCCAGAAGATTTGCCAGCCAGTAGAAAATGTATAAATGTCATGGTGGGGATCACACGAAGTAAAGTAATTGATCTATCTAATCGATCTAATCTACCTACCTACCTACCTACCTACCTACCTATCTATCTATCTATCTATCTATCTATCTATCTATCTATCTATCTATCTATCTATCTATCTATCTATCTATCTATCTATCTATCTATCTATCTATCTATCTATCTATCTATCTATCTATCTATCTATCTATCTATCTATCTATCTATCTATCTATCTATCTATCTATCTATCTATCTATCTATCTATCTATCTATCTATCTATCTATCTATCTATCTATCTATCTATCTATCTATCTATCTATCTATCTATCTATCTATCTATCTATCTATCTATCTATCTATCTATCTATCTATCTATCTATCTATCTATCTATCTAATCTATCTATGGATATAGTTAATGGGGGTTATAAACCAACCTATACGTGGGGAATCACCACCTTGTGACTTGTGAGGGGTTCACGCAAGCAAGAAATGTAAATACATGTAACAAATGTGGACATGACCATCAAACAAGTTTCCAACATGGTCATTGAAGCAAAACAAATGTCGATACAACTTGTTTGTTCATCGTCAAAAGGGGGGTTATCAGGATACAACAATGGGGATTAAGTGTATGCAACAAAACTGGGGATGGACAATCAAAACTTGGGAATTGGACTTTATATAGACATATATATATATTATATTTTATATTATATATATGATATAATATATATATAATATAACACTTATAAAATTGTCTAAAATGGCGCTGTTGATGGTTACTATAGGTGAATGATAGCCCCCGGTTTTTATCTCAGCTTCGGCTTCAGCCCGATGATCGGGATGGGAATTTTTCAAAGTCGTGGCCGACTTCTGCAGCAGGTTCTGTGAGGGTGATTTCCGTCGGTTAGAATCACTGGTTTTTCGTGTCTAAGACCCATGACGGATCCATGGTGCTGGTATATATATATAGATGGTAAATGATCCCATAGGACCATCATATATATATATATATGTATGGTAACATTTACCATGTATAGACATTTGGGGTATATTGATGGGATCCATGTTACCATATATAGCAGCACCATGGATCCTATGGGTGAGAGAACTCCAGAAGAAACCTCGAATTTCACCATCAGAAAACTTTGGTTTTTCTGTGAATGTTCCGTTCAAGCAATTCTGGGATTCAAGCGACTTTTACCGTCACAGGATCAGTATACAGTACAGAGCTCTCGTTTGTTGTGGTGCTGCTGGTTAGCTAAGTTGAGATTTAAGCTACCCTGGCCCATTGGAGGGTGGCCGTGAAGCCATGGTATGCCAAGGTTCAGACCAACTCTACCACTAACTCGACTGCCAACTCCTCCGTGAACTCTACAAAGAAGACCTTCACAAATGTGACGGTGAACTCGACCAAGGAGTCCTTGAAGACAAACGCCACACTGAATTCCACAGCAGTCTCCAAGACGAACGAGACGACCAACGCGACGACCAACGCGACGACCAACGCGACGACCAACGCGACGACCAACGCGATGACCAATGTGACGACCAACGTGACGACCAACCTGACGACCAACGCGACCAGCAGATCAAGGACAACACATGTATCTATTTGAGGCGGCCTGAGGCTTGCAAACTAGTAGCAGCCTGATTAGCCTGACAGGCATGCGGATGACAAAAAGACGATGAACAGAAAGGCACATCTAGGACTGAAGAGTGCAACCTTTGCTAATTCTAACAAACAAGACATTTTCAGAAGCTGAAGATATGTTTTTTGGATGTTATGGGTCATTTGACCCTGGTAAACACATGTAAACACCATGGAACAGATTGGATTTATGGATCTTCATCCGCCCCCAACATGTCGAAAATCCCATGGCGTTTGATCCATCTCCATTCATCGACGCTTCGCCTCAAGCGTTGAGCCAATTCTATGTCGGGAAGAACGACAACTGCAGAAAGATCTCAGGGGAACATGGAAAATTCATGACCATTGTGATGACTGGAGGCACCATGACAGTGCTTACTGGAAAGATCTGGAAAGATAGGGACAAAACTACTCTAAAAAAAAGATAATTGCAGAAAAAAAGGCAGGGTGATGCAGGATGTGCTGACGGAAACCAATTCTCAACACAGTCAATTCCCTAGGTCCTAGGTGCAGAGCAAACATGGCTGATAAACAACCGCAGCAACCAACCATGTAGATTCCAACGTTCTGCGCCGAAACTTTCTGTTCAACCTTATGGGGCGTTATCTATCTGATTGTCTACATGATTTGTAAATATATATTTGTACTTGAATATGCCAGAATGGATTTGGTGGTTCTTTCATATTCTTTCAACATAGCGATATGGATCGGTCGAATCTCGATAGAAATAGATAGACAGGTAGATAGCAAGCTAGCTCCCTTGAAAGACAGCTAGCTAGCTAGATGAATTGAATCAATGGGTCAATAGATAAGATTCATTGAGAACAAACATAGAATTCTTTCATATTCTATCTATCTATGTACTGTAGATTTGGTCACCTCGGGACTGCGCGCGGACCGCGTGTGGGAAACCCGATGGCTCCATGGAGGAGACCGGCGACGATGACCAAGAAGAGGTGGGCAAAAAAGAGTGAAGGATGAGATGAAGCTGGGTATGATGTGTATTAATATGTCGTAATATGTATATATATATGTATGAATATAGTTTAATATGTGTATATATAATATATGGTGTGTATATATATATATATAATATATGGTGTATATATATATATATGTGGTGTATATATATATATACAGTATTATATACACATCATACTGTACCATAATTTTATGGTTTCTAATGGTGTCAAAACGTTTTAATATCAGCAGTTAAGCCTCATGTCATCCTGGTTTCAATTGTGAAACGACAACACTTGTTCAATATTTCAAAACGTGTGACGATGTCTGTTATCAGTCCAGGAGGCGAATGGATTTAAAATCTCATTTGCATCAAGAATCATTATGATCGATTCCCACCATCTATTCCAGAGATTTCCAGAGTTTATGAAAGGATGTTTCTACCATATCACTAGGATGAGATACAAAGTGGAATTGATAGATCTGAAAGTTTTGAAAGGACGTCAAATAGCTAGAACTCTATGCCAGTTCAAAACTAGCCCAATTTCAACGTGTGCCGTAGTTCATTAGCCTGCAACCTCCCAAGTGTTTTTGGCAAAGGAAGGGATGAACATCCAGAACTGCCAGCTGTTTTCATGTGAAAACCAGGGTACCCAGTAGTTTTTGATCCGTAGACGACATTATTCCATTATGTTCCCACAGCCTCGGGAACATGGCCCCATTGCTAAATGCACATGGTTTCTGGATGACTCTGGGTAAACTTCCCCATTTGGCAGGGTTACTCAAACCCATGAGCCACAAGGGGGGATTTTGCCACCCTTGTATTTGCACTCCTGTTGGACTGTTTAGACTCCCCCATTTCGGGGATCCATTTCTGGTAGCGCAGTGCCCACAGACTTCCCACAAGTCCACTTGCTCTCTGAGGAGGAGCTGCCAGAGGCAGCCAGTGGCGGTGCGAACACACCGCCAGAGGCCATTGAGAAGAAGGACTTTCCGGGTGGTGGTGCATGACCAGAACTACCTCGAACTCTTGAATCGCCTGAATGTGTTGTTTTTAGTTTCCTACAGTACCTGGCAGATGATGCCAACCCATATCTGTGTACTATCGTTTATTTTGTTGACCTTAGTTGGGTGAAAATGTGGAGTGAAATGTGTAACCTCAAAACCCAGTTCGATCCAAAAATTGGATCTCCCCAACTAGCCAAGGTGTCACAAGACAGCTCCAGCCTTTGGGGTCCAAAAATCTGGTCTCTCCCCAGTTCAGGATGAAGTTGAATCGCCTTCAAGATCGCCTCGAGGCGCGAAAACTCATAGTACCCAGAAAATTGGGTGACCCTTCGGTAGTCAAACATGACAAGCCGGAAAATCCCATAAAATGGAGGTATTAAGAGGAACATAAAATATACCCTCTGGTAACTTAACAGTTTGCTATTGAAAATGGCCCAGTCGAAATAGTGGATTTTCCCATTAAAAATGGTGGATCTTTCCATAGCAAACTGTTAAATTGGTATACTAACATAGCTACTGAAAATGGCCATAGTGAGTTTTCCCATTAAAAATGGTGGATCTTTCCAGTTCGCAAACTGTAACAAATTACCAGGCCGGGTAGATGGAGGTTGTTCCAATGCCATGCTTGATGACACTGGTACGTCCTCGTACCCAATGACTGGACCCCATCTCCAAATTCAAATGGTGGCTTCAAAAGTTTGGAAAAGACATCTAAAAGATAAGCCCGCAATTTGCGTTTGGGATTGAAAGTAGATGATCAATGATGATCATATATCTATATATATATATAGCTCATCCCGGCTCATGGCTCCGAAGAGGGTACCCCGCAGATTGGATGTCTCTAGTGATGGGTTGTGAATCTGAAATTGACCAAGGTTTTTTTTCGTTCCGCTGGGTCTGAAATTTTGACCAATACCCTAGCAGAGCACAGAGAATGCACAGCAACCAGGGCATATCAAATAGATAAGTACATATAAAAAACAATTTGCAAGATGTTGAAAAGATTTGTCAGTTTGTCTGAAAATAGGCTATGCCCCAATTCCAATGGATAATTATCATATATTGTCATATTAATCATCATCACTGTCCCATGCATTTTCCATTATTTACCTATTATTTCCATCACTTTCCCATATTTTCCATGGAAATCCCATGTGGTTATCATCACTTTCCCATATTTTCACATATTTCCCATATGTGCCCTATTAAATTGCCTGGCTATCCCCAATGCCTTGCCGTGGCGTGATCCGCATCTATCCGCCTTCCGTGCCACCCGCGGTGCCAGGCATGGCCATCAACCAGACCTGGCGTCAAGTGCTCAGTATATTCGTACAATAAAGGTATGGTACCCTCTGGTAAACTAACATAACCATGGAAAATCACCATTTTTAATGGGAAAACTCACTATAAAAGGCCATTTTCCATAGCTATGTTAGTTTACCAGAGGGTAAGTAAACTACAAGTTGTAAGTACTTATTATGTTTCCACACATTGTTGTAGTTGGACCACGGCTGATAATTCGCCGTGGTAAAATATTACCATTCTAGGGGTTACCATGGGGTGGGGTGGAGTGAGGTGGGGTGGGGTGGGGTAATAACGTCCTGGTACGCTAACTTCCTTTTCTCTTGCACTCAACATACATACGTCCTGTTCTGTCGCACTCAACATACATATGTCATGCTACATCTGGGGTGGGGTGGGGTGGGGTAATAACGTCCTGGTACGCTAACTTCCTGTTCTCCATAGATTCTCTACCATGAACAAATGTGCTACGCTACATCATGTTCTATTGCACTCAACATACCTTAACCTATGGCCTACGACATCATGTCCCCCCTCTTAACACATTCTACGCGACATCATTGCTTGTCGTATGTGTGGGTTGTCTTCGACTGTGGGTTTTGATGTATTGGTTATTATATGTGTTTGAAATTCGACATTAATATCATCTGTGGATCGCAGTTGGAAAGCCCTGAAAGCTTACCTGCCCAAAAAGAAGTTGCTGAAAGATCCACTCACAAAGTCCCCCAGTCCCTTTTTCTCGCACCAAGTCCATGCATGGGCTTGGCGAAAGAACTTGGGGCACTTGAACTTGAACGCAAAGACTTTCTTGCGGCACTTGACCAAAATTTGGTGAAGATCACAGTAGCCCACCCGCATTTTGCAGAAAAGAAAAATATCCACTTTGTGCAGAGATTGAACACACGCGACCAGTAGAAACCAATGTAACTGCGATGATTTGAACGCGGCATACACATCATCGAAATGTCATTTTGATTCACGGCGAAATATGAGCCGTGAACCTGGTTTATATGATATCAAATGATATAACATACCTATAGATAATATCACACTACATATATATATACGGTTATATAATGTGGATATCATGTGGATATAATGTGGATATAATGTGGGTATATTAACATTTTTTGACTGCCCGATTATTATGCGTTTGATTCCACAGACACAAGATACTGGTGAATATTTGTGAGGACCCATTTGCGTGTAATTGATCACACACACATGATATGCACTACAAATACATGAAAAAAACATTGATAAACACACATATGATACAGAGACCCTGCAGATGAGACTGCAAACATCGCATGTCATATCCTGAAGTGGGAGATGTGGACCTAGGTTGATGGGTTGTGAATCAAGCATGTGCGCGATGTACAGTGATGATTTATGCTCAATTTCCAGCAGATGATTGGAAATCTGTCAGCTTGGGTGAAGACATTTCGAACAGTTCCTGACCCGCAAGAATCCACATTTGGAGGTTTCCTAAAATGGGCGTGCATTTTGACGGGATTTTACATTATACATCCAGCTGTTTGGGTACCTCCGTTTATGGAAACCCCCATTTCAATGGGGGACTGTAGGACTTGCAGGCAGAAACCAACAAGTGCGAGGGATCCTTCATGTTTCGATATATCCGATAGCCATTTGGTGGCCTTTGCCGAGGTTCGATGCTGTTGGACCAAGCAACGAGAAGAGATGAGAAGAATCAGGCACTTACCCTTTGGACTCTGTTTATTAATGTAGCTATGGAAAATTATCAGATTTAAGAAACAATCTTCACAAATCAGCTATAAATGGGACATGTTCCATAGCTATTTTATATAACCAGAGGGTAACTCTTGGCAATCCATGCGCATTTCTATTGATTTTGCTCACCGGCCGTACTTGCCATCTATTGTTGGGTTTTGTCCTAAATCGGGGAGATCTCCCTGGTCTAGTTGCTAGTTGCCTCAAACATCTTCAAAGGGGATAAAACATTGAGTACGTTTTAAAGGACTTGGCATGTTTTATGTTCTTCCCATCCTTTCCATTTCACACTCCCAACTACCTAATTTTCTTGACAAGTTGTCCGCTGAAATACAGCGGCATTTGAAGGCGTGCTGAAACCGTGGATCCCGCATGTGTGTTTGTCTGAAAATAGAGTTCCCAAAAATCTAGAGATTTCTCATGAATTTCTTTGGAATTACCCTCTGGTTATTTAACATAGCCATGGAAAATCACTTAAAAATGGAGGTTTTAATGGGAAAATCATCCATAAATGGGCCAGCTATACCATGGCTATGTTAAATAACCAGAGGGTATATTTTTTGAGAAGTTGTTGTATCCCTTGAACATGGCCTTCACCCACTGTGAGCAATGAAGCTTGATGGGAAACCCCTTGATGGGATGCTAGTTCTGGTCATTGGTAATGTGGGGCCCCCAAGATAGCGTTCAGTTGGTGAACATAACTACAATTTCACTAGGGTTTATAGTAGTTATAACCATAGTTAGATGGGGTTATAAACCAACTTATAACGTTTTGGGGGCCCCACATTGTGGTAATGTGGCTGAAGGCTACGTCCAAGGAGATATCGCTGCGAACTGCCCAGGGGCTCCTAGCCCTCTACGAGCAGTACAGCAAGTGTCAGCGCAGTTTGCAGGCGACTGCGAAGACGTTCAGCAGGAAGTCTGGTGCAGAATGGTTGGGTCGGGGGGGCAATTCTTCTTAAAGACCCGAAGAACCTTGAGGGGTCACTTAGTTTGAACCTGTTTTTTTATATGTATGTGCTGAGACCCAGTGAACCAGCATGTTTTTTTTATTGTTGATCTGAAGATGGAGCGGGCCCAATTCCAAAGGTTTGGTAATCATCATATTGCCGAGTACAATGACCATACTGCAACTTGGTTGAATCCCCCAATTGAAATCATATCATATGATCCTTACTTTGTGCATGAAATCCTCACTATGCTGGTTGAATGTTGCTTACAACCTTTGTGAGGTAAACTACATTTTTACAGGGCAGTATTGACCATCCCATTGTCGGGGCAACGGGCTGATGCAGGCTCATTATGACCTCAAGAGCAGGGTGCCTGAGTGTTTTTGTTGGGGGATGGTTAGTTCCAACCTTTGAAAAGATGACTGGCTTGTGTGTGTACATGGCACATATGCAACGTGTAACATCGTGTAACAATGTGTAACCCATCTGATTTCACATACATCGACTGACATTGAGAGTATGGCCTAGCTATTGAGCTGGTGCCAAGAGAACCTAAGTGTTTGCCGACAATTTGCCGGGTACTATTTGGTCCGCGAACCGCTAACATGCCATATGCAATTATGATACAATCTGTCTGCAAAAGTAAAACATCCACCATCTTAATTAAGTGCTAGTGCTCCTGCCTTCGTTTTCTACGGGGTACCCCTGTCAGCTGTAGTATGCTGTATAGTGTATGTACAATTGTTTACCAAAAGCAGCAATGGGAAAAGATCAGAGCTAAGTCCTTGATGCTGCAGATTCTGGATGACTATAGGTGACTTAGGTGACTAGCTGATTGGTTGTAAATTGAATCATATAATGTTTCATCACTGCTTAGATTTATTTTACAACACCAAAAGGATGATCATCCTTCTATTAAATATTCATCACCAGCTGATTTATGTGATTGGTGGTTGTATCATCTATAAGCATCTTATGTGTTTCATTATCTATTAATGATTAACCCATTATTAATCCATTAATCAAAAACATTGGTAACATTTATAACTTATAACCATGATTTGAATGTGAAGTTGGCATCTTTGTTTCCCATGTTTCCCCCCAAAACGTTGGGATGATAAAAAAAAAAAACAGCACCGCGGCTCGAGGCGGCTCCAGTCGAGTTGGACCTGCAATCGAGGCAATCCAATCTTGATCCGTCTACCGGCCGACTCGCCATGATTCTTTATATATATATACATATATACATATTCTGGTTGGTCAAATATTCCAAACAGTTCAATTGACCTTGAAGTACCATAAGAAACAACACATACCAAATATACCCTCTGGGTATGACTAACAGTTCGCCATGGAAAGATCCACCCATTTTTAAGTTAGGTAAAGCCAGGTAAAGCATCTATTTTTATTGGCCAGCTATACCATGGCTATGTTAAATAACCAGATGGTATATATATATATACATATTATATTGTCATAATATCCTAATGAATATTCTAAATCTATCTTAAAAAACTGCACTTAATGAATATATTATATACTCAAAAAACATGGTCTTGTTTTTAATCTTGTGAGGCGACTTCGGACGGTTCAGCTTGACATTGCGCAGCAACAAGATCTTAATATCCATACATGCATTGCGTATATATATATATATATACATACATACTGTATATTATGTACACTTGCCGTAAACATAGTAATGCTATCATGATCATGATCATCGCAACTATTATTGTAATGTTCATTGAGAAGAGTAATATATATATATATACATAAATGTATATATATATACATTCACTCATTTATATTTATATATAATCTATATACATGTCCCATCCATGGGCGAGCTAAGCCATGGCCACCGGAGGCCAAAACACCTGAACCAAGTGAAGCGAATGCTCAGGTGTGAGAACCTGGTTGGTTGATGGCCATCGGAATCGGATCCCAAGCGAATGACCATGGAGATAGCAAGGAAGAGAAACAGGTATATGCACATAGTCGTATTTGTATATATATATATATTATTATATGTATGCATATACATATGCATAAAATAGATGAGTGCAACGAAGATCAATCAACCATAAAAACCATGAAGAATGGGACACCGATGGTCATAAAGGCTTTGGTGGGGGATATACAACCAAACTCAATGGAGACGAACCTCGTTGCACCAGTTGTTCGTGCTGATGAACACAGTCCAACAACGTGCAACAACTGGGTGTGTCGAGACATGTGCTGCTCGTTTTGAGCATGCATGTTGCTATCCTGCTGCAAGTGTACTTCGTGGACTTGTTTTTGGAGAAATGCGTTGCTAGATAGCGCAATCACTTGTGTTCCAAAAGATGTTTGTGATGTTAGATCAAAAAGTGCTAAGACTTGAGGAAACACATGAATCCGGAAAACAGCAGTGGGCCTCCACCCTTTCCACCATTGCGGTTCATCGATTTGTCTTTCCGTGATGGGGAGCTCAAAGCACAATGCAGTATTTGCAATGATGTTTGCCGAATGTGTCCATTTTTTCTACATACTATGTAGACTAGATTTAAAATGAATTAAAATGATATAAAGTAGAGAACAACACTCACTATTAGACTATCAGTAGTATATTGATGTACTGTATATTGGTATTATGTGTATCTTGATACATGTCATTTTTACCCTCCACTGCCGGCTTGCGCCGCTTCGCCCAAATGGAGGAGATGCTGAGAAACACTGAGAAGCTGATGCGACAGAAGGACTGCTGGAATGACATGGAGATTTAACCAGCAATTTTTGGAGTTATCCAGGAAAAGATACCCGCTGGTAAATTAACAGTTGGACCCTGAAAATGACCAATAAAAATAGTGGAAACTAGTCTTCCAAACCCGATGACTGCCAGGGTCTATGTTAATTTACCAGAGGGTAAGATGTATCCTTAACAAAAAAAGAGCCGTATCCTTAACAAAAAGTGGGAAGTTTCACGATATCTTTAGAAAAGTGGGCTGAAACAACCAGGAAAATTTCGGAGGATTTCAGCAACAAAAATGACCTGATGCAGGATGCAGAACTGCTGGCTCTTCAGAGGTGAAGCAACTGAACTGATTTCCGACGTGGCGAAAACTGAAAACTTGGTGTATGTCCTCAATGATTGGCAAATTTTGGTATTTTTTCCCTATGGCCAACACACATGCCAGACCAGGGCCCATTCTTTCAGGCAGAACAAGGAGTTGCAAGAAGAGCTACACGAGAAAGAGCGACTATGCTCAGTGGGTTAGGGGATGTTGGGGGAGTCGGAGATTTTGGTGCTAAAAATCCCATGAAAGTCTTTAAAAAAGTCGGAGGTTTTGGTGGCGTTTTCACCTCCAGCAATCAATTTATACACGTACTGGTATTGCCAGCAAGCCTGTTTAGATTGATGGCTGGACAATCCCTGAAAATCCACAAAAAAAGGGATGGTGGTTGAGGGATGATGCGGATGAAGCTGAAACTATGGACACTTTGAACTAATACCATCCCGCAATCAAACATGGCAATGGGAATGGGAAATCCATGGAAATCCCCTATATATCCTATATGGCAGTTTATAAGTTTATTATTGGGAAAAAACCATCTACAGAGACATAGAGACAATTTTTCTGCTGCCAAAGGATAGCCAATAGAACCAAGGTACACCATCCTTTGCATGTCAACCTGGCTGCTAGGGCTGTCCCTTTCAGAATCATCCACCAATTTGGCGTTTTTGTGGATGGTTTGTATATTCAGTTTTGAGGAAGCTTCAAGTGCAAGGTTTTGATAACCAGAGAGAGTACACAAACTTTGGGACATTTCCTGACTCCCTACATACAAATACTTACACATGATATCAATGTTAATATTATGATGTTATGATATGTTATGTACATATTTTTTTAATATATATATATATATTATATACACATACATACAGCTTTGCTGGGTGTCAATTGGCAAATCTATCCAGGTTCACAAGGTCCAATCAATGGCATACCGAGGCTAGCTCACGCCCACACGGGCAGAGAAGCAACTCGTTTGTCTCAAGAGAATGTGGCTTTGCCATGTTTGGCGCTTGAATCTCACAGCATGATGCCACACCAAAATACAGAAAGTGTGTGTTCCTTTTTGCCAAATAGATGGACCCCTATGATTTACATTTACATATAAAATTATAAACATATTCAACGTGCGGTGGGGGGCGCGAGTCCACATTTGATCGGACTTATCAATACAAATTTTGGATCCTTTTGGATTAAAGTGAGGAAATTTCATGAAAAATCATTGATAATGTACCCTCTGGTTATTTAACATAGCCATGGATAGCTGGCCCATAGAAATAGATGGTGTACCTATTAAAAGCATGGTGATTTTTCATAGCTATGTTAAATAACCAGATGGTAAATTTATATGCATCACCCGTCATCACACCGTGAACTCAGAAATGAATCATTTCGGACTAGTGAGATCCACTGGAAATCAGCCAGGGAAGGCTGAAGGCTGAGCTGGAACGCATGCGAGAGACTGCCCGACATGTTTTGAAGCTGTGTCTCATGACTTCAATCTCCAAACCCCCAGATGTTGGAACTCTTTCAGATTTTTATATCACTTCGTTTTTTTGTACCACAGTCGAACAATGAACATGTTTTATGTATACTAATGTTGCAGGGGTTGCTTAGATTTCACCGAGATCGGACCGATAGCATCCGGCACCACCATGGGGCATTTCTCCATGGACGTCAGCCAGGTCCATGTCAAGGGCAGATGCGCAGCCAGCTGCCGAAGACTTAGACTTGGAAGATCTTGGAAGTCTGTTGGGATACGAAAAAGGCATTTTCAGTGAAAAAATGTAGAAATAATATGAAATCATGCTATTCAGATATATTAAGGCAATTGTGGTGGGGTCCCTCTTCCCCTGAGAAAACCCAATCCATAGGCTTCAAAATTCCACCGTTTCGGTTCTGAGTGTGACACAAGCGCAGAGGACAATGAGATCAACAAATCCTGCTTTTATTAACATGTTCGTCCTGGGCCAACGGGCCAACATGCCCTGAATTTCCGTGCATATTAGCATTTTGAGCTTCATTCTCCGCAACGGTGGAGTGGTATGAGAAGTAGCGTCTTCGGGTGGTTTGTCATGACGCGTGAGTCCATTTCTCAATTTGGCCACCTGGCTACCCAGAATCACAGAGTGGAACATCAACGAACTAAATGATGGATTTTCCCACGGCCGCCACGTTTGACTACCGGTAACGACCTATGGACCGTCCTGGCATCATGGCACCACACTGAGGCGACAGGCGGAGCTGGTGCCAGTCTCAGAGGGCCGAGGTGGGTCATAGAGTGAAGACGACTGGGAAATCTTAAGACTCCGTCTACTTTGAAGGTGATTTTGAAGGTGATAGAGGGGTTATACAGTTATACACTACCCAATACATAGGGATTGGGGGAATCGAATCTGGAGATCTCCATTCACCAACCATTCTTGCCATTTGGCTTCAAGGGAGAAATTTTGCAGCTGATATATTGAGTGTGATGACGGACGCTTGTGAGATGTGATAGATGTGATGTTTGTTGTTTTCTTCAATGATTGACCTTGCAATGCATTTTCACCAAGGCCTCTCAGTATTGAACACATACCACACATCTAAAGATCGTACTTTATGTATTTTTGAACAAATGATCTACTGGCCAAACAGTTATTTTTGTTGAAGAATGCTGAAATGTAGCTGCTTCCGTGATGGCAGCCTATGAGGATCCGATGCCTCTGGCAGTTCTGCATCAAGTCGTCTCGATCGAGTGAGATTTACAGTATTTGGAATCCGTAGCGATTTCTCGACGTAGCAAATAGGGACAGCAAAAACATAACTGGCTTCACTAATAGGACACTCAGGGGAAACTGGTGAACAAATGTGAATTGGTGACTTGCAGGATGAAAGATTGAAAGAACTGGCAGAAAGACTGAGGACCTGGTTGCTTTCTGATGAGGCACAATGGGTTAACAAAACACACCAAGCTGTGCTGATAGTAATTTACAAGCGCTTTAGGATGTGAAGGTCGCTCAAATATGCTCTGCTTAAGTAGAGCCTGGATTGTGGGAAGAAACTCAACAGCCGTGATTTTCAGCCATTATATAATATATAGTGTATACATATTATATATATACATACATAGAATGCGATTGTCCAGGCACCAGTCCCCGCAGAATAGGCGAATCAGGAGCCACTAATGCTGGGTCTCTGGCCGCAGCGAACAGAGGGCTTCGGAAGCTACTTGGACGTCTTCTTCCGCGAAAACAGCAACTATTTTGATGATTACCAGGCAACTTGCTTCAAGTCACCAGAATGTTGAAGGGATGGGATGTATATAATGTGCCACAGTGGCAGGCAGCAAGCTTCTGATCTTCGATCAACCTGTAAGACCAGGGCCACCGGGGAATCTGGTGACCGGCTGGTCCCTGGCGAATCGCAAGCTGGTTGGAACTCAGGAAGAGCATGCGTTGCACTACACCGCGCTCCACAAGGACGCTGCAGCTTTTTTTTGCTTCTGGAACGATCTGGAACGTTTTGAATGTTTGGCCTTGTGGGATCCTGCTTGTACATCGATGTACATAGTACATAGTGACATAGTAGTATATAATGTTGAGGTAGATTGAAGGTTGAGGTTAAGGTAAGGTCTTCCATAGAGTGACCTCCCAATCCAACATGGATTGTCCCCAAAAAACGCTCCTACAGACAATTTGTTCTACCTGAATTTTCGGTGGGGGGTTTTCAGGTTTGCTGCAAGAAATAAGACCTTCCATTCACTACACAAGACATGGGATGGGTTCTTAGCTGGCAGTTGGACCGGTGGACCCCTATGTTTGTTGCTTACCATCCAATTTACCAGGACGATCCAGCTACGGAAAATTCCCATTATGGGTTAGGGCCTGTTAGGGCTCATTATGGGTTGGGATTTCAATGGGTTTCCAAGAATTCTTTGCATTAAAAAAATGCCACTTCGCTAAATGCTCAACCATCCTGCTGAACAATAGATCTCCTTTGCTTTGGTTCTTTGAGGCGAGTGTTGCTTTGAAATCCCAGTTGATCCCCATCATGGATCATCATGGATGGTTGGAATATGTTGTTGAAATGTTTTTCTCTGAAAATGAGGGTACCCCACCCAGCGGATTGTCACAATTCTCCCTAGATGGTGTGAAACCTTTGATTCCATACTTGCAGGGGTTGTTCACTAATCCCAGCTATTTTGATGTGCCATGATGTGTACAAATATATATATATATATAATTACTTGGTTTTGACCCATAGCCATATGTCCTTATCAAATGGGGCACCCCCATCATAGGACTTCGCCGCCAAGCTGGAAGAGGAAGTCCAAGGTGAGTCATGAGAATGAGACGATCCAGCCTGATGATGCCATGATTGAAGCCACCAAACCACCTTGGTTCCTTGGGAAGTAGCCGTGAGAAACCATGTTTTTGTTCAACTTTTGGGGACAATTTCCCAGACTGCTTCTGCTAGGTTGGCTCACGGACGAGGGTTTGAGGAACGAAGACTTGGAAATCATTCTCCAAGCAGCCAGAGACCAGGAGAGCTGCTAGTGACGACTGCCTTGAAGCCATTTGGATTGGGCATGCAGCACATCCCTGAAAATGCCACCAGAACGGACATATACATTTTACCATAGGCTTCGTTTTTGGATGTTTTTAGATTTGTTTACCGTACTGTAAAACTGCAATCAAAACTCAACAGACTACGTTTCGGAAACATGCTGAAGCAAAGACCCCGAACCGACCAGCACTTGCTTACATTGGTCCGGTGCCAAAATTCGTACACTCCCATTTGCCAAGGTTTGATATGGTTTGATTGCATTTCTTCCTTGTATTGTTTTCATTCGGTGTTATGTGTGTGTTTCTATGTATAATATATATATATATGTATAATATATATATATGATTATGCAATCGTATGTGCTCTTCCCAACATGATAGCACGTATTCCAATCATTCCCGTATGGTATTTGTTTATGGCATTGGGTTGGGAGTGTTCGTGAGTCATGACGAACCTTAGATATCAATAGGTATGAACCTCAGACAACGATATCTTCAAAAAAGGGATTGCCTTTCTGAAGATATGAGCTTATCAAATGAGTATGGCTTTGTACCCCTTTCCATCCGCTGGTTCATCATAATTTTCCCTGTAAAAAAAAACAGTGTTGTCATTCATTTTCCTATATAGTTTCTGCACAAAAATGGTCATGTTCATTCATTGTCCCTATAGTTTCCCTTAGAACATCACAATTTTCATTCATGTTCAAAATGATATCCCTATAGTTTCCCTGTAGTTTCCCTATAGTGTCCCTATATTTTCACTATTTTCTTCTAACCGGCCGTTCGGCGGGTGGTATCCCTCCCTCGCAAAAAAGGAGACGGAGACTGACGAGGCACGTCTCGGAGATGCTAGATCCAGTTGGGAAAAGATATATGGCACAGTGCTCCAGTTTTTCAATGGCACAGTGGAAAATTATACTTCCCTATGGATCCAAGTACCTTCCTAGGAAGTGTTTGGGGTATGATTTAGGGGGTTAAGTACCTTCTGAGACAGTGTTTGGATCCATAGGGAATTATAATTATCATATATCTGGGTAAATTATTTATAAATTTGATCACGACCTCACTGTTCTCTGGTAAATTAACATAGACCCTGAAAATCACCATGCTATTAATAGGTAAACCATCTATAAATGGGCCAGCTATCCATGGCTATGTTAAATAACCAGAGGGTAATATCAATGGAATATATCTGGGTAAATTTCATCACGACCTCACTGCGACCGAACCCGAAATCATGGTTAGATTGCGGGAAATCATCCCCAAATGGCCCAACAATTCAGGTTAGTGAAATATTATAATTGACCCAGATATATGATAATTATAATTATAACTATAATATATGGATAATTATATCTCTGGATAATGGATAATCCCTTCCCCCTATTACTAAACCCCCCCCAAATAATAAAAACTAGGGTCCATCTCCAATTTTGGAAAATTTCAGATTGGCCAATTTGACTTTTAATTGATCCCCTTTAGACATCAATTTAAAAATAAAGCTACCATTTGTGGGTTTCGCCCCCTAATAATAAAAACTAGTCAACCCCGGGGTGTTTTAGTTTTTATATTAGGGCTTTTAATTTATTAATAGGGTCCGCTTCGAAATCCAATTTTTGGCAATTTTTTAATTGCGTTATAAAAGGACATTTAATTGATTTTGAAATCGGAAAAAAAAGCTTTTATTATTAAGGTTTTAAATTTATTAATAGGGTCCGCTTCGAAATCCAATGTTTGGCAATGTGTTAATTGCGTTATAAAAGAAAATTTAATTGTTTTTGAAATCGGAAAAAGTAATTTTTATTATTGATGTTTTAAATTTATGAATAGGGTTCCCTAATAATAAATACCACCCTAATGATAAAAACTACCTGAGGTGTTTATTATTTGGGGAGGGGGGGAAGGGATTAGTTATATAAATATATAGATATATGGATGATTATGGATATATGGATAATTATGGATATATGTTTCTAATATCTATAACTAACATTAACTAAATATAATATCTATAATATATATATATATACATATGTATAAACATATTTATGGGTTCCATTTGGTGCTTTGGAATGATTTGAGTATAACGAAGTGGCTTCTGGATTGTAAGGTTTGGTTTGGAATATGTTTACGCGAAACGTTTGACAGGTTGTTTCATGTTCATCCCTTTTTTTGAGAAAGATCTATATACGGAGATTTCTTAAAATGGTGGTACAATGTGGGGCCCCCTAGTTATAAGTTGGTTTATAACCCCATCTAACTATGGTTATAACTACCATAAACCCTAGTTATTGTAGTTATAAACCAACTTAGCTATCTTGGGGGCCCCACATTGTACCTAGGATTTTCCATTGTTAAACAATCCATTTTGGCGATTACCCATTTATGGACACCCCCATATCATATCTGTTTGGGATAGTTTTAGCCACCGACTAGCAGTGATGTTTGGGAGACCAGGTTACGATGTTCTTAGACTACAATAAACAAGATGGGTCAAGAACCGCATACGTGTGATACATTAGGATTGCTGGGTATTATCATACAAAGATACTGGATATATATATACACACTATTTACTTGAATATTGTTTATATATATATAATATATACATTACTGTAATCAATATGGAACTATGTATAATATATATATATAAGTCAAACGTTGAAAAAACACATCTTTAGAACCACACTGAGCCAATCTGGTCAACCAGGCCCGAGAGGAGGTTGATATGGTCGATTTGACCCTTGGCTGCAACCAGTGGTGGTTTTAGCTCAACGGATCAACGTGGGAATGTTGGAAATTTCGAGATGATCCACTGATTGCGCGTGCAGATAAAGGCCTTCGGCCTTCTACGGAAAGTCAGTTGGTCCTAGAAAGGTCACTACAGATTTGTGTGATCATTGAATCATTGGGGGATTAGTAGCTGAATGCGTTTCGCCCGGCAACAAGCTTTAGCTTTCACTCCTGCCATTCTACCTGTCTTGCTGATGGCTTTTGTTGGGCTTGCTGGTTCAGCGGTTGAGTGGTTGAGGTCGAATAACGTCACCATGTAACCCTCCCCAAAAAATGATTCAACAGATTCCAAGAGCTAAGCAGAAAGAATTGGTGATCCCTTTGACACCTCACAGGGGTTGGTAACTGTCCCATTTTGGGAATATTGGACATCACCTTATAGTAGCCATGGCATTGACCATATACCTAATGGTTGGGTGATGTTCAATGGGGACGATACTCAATTGATGTCCTTTGGATTCGTCAGCACATTGGCTCTTGGCCGTTTTCTCAGGATGTTGGAGGCTTTGGACTATCAAAAGTGTCTTGGTAAACTAACATAGCTATAGAAAATCGTCATTTTTAATGGGTAAATTAACTACAAATGATCATTTTCAATAGCTATGTTACAAATTACCAGAGGGTATGTGGAACTGTGGAATACGCTTGGATTATTTTGTACTGTATTATGCTCCCACAGGACTAGTAACGTATTCAAATCAAACAGTATTTGATTCCCGCATTTGGATGGTTCAGCCATATGCTTCTGGCCACACATGAGGGAATATGATCCCAGGTTAAGACTTGAAATCTGATGCAGGCTATCTAAGACTATGAGTCATGATCACAAAGAAACATGTCATAGACGTCCTGTTGACCACAAAGAAGTGTAGACCCTCTATTTAGATATATGATATACGTGACATCCAGTTGTTGTTGGGGTCAAGCATGTTGCTGCTTAAAGGATCTTAAAGGGCCAAGAAAAGATGCATCAGATGCATCGTTCCCTCTTGACAACACATTTTCCTGTTGGATGATGTCAGGTTCAAGCGGAAAATCATGCAAGCCCTGTACATCCCTGTATCCATTTTTGTGGACCATGTCCGTTTTGATGCCTTGAACACCTGCTGGCATGTTCAAAACTCAGGTGGATCGAACACATTTTTCGGCTGAAACGCCGTGTGCGTGACCGCCGCAAAGTACGGGTGAGGAAGGCAGTTGGGCCTATCGGTGTGTTCAGACAAGGAGGTCCCAGCAAACTCCCAACACCAGCCATGAATAGCCGTAGAGCATGAGAGCTTGTCCAGATTGTTTGGGACTGAAATAGGTATGACCAGTTATATTAGGAGCAAGGAAAGCCTGGGTAGTTGTCTCTTGAATGGGTATGCAAAGAATAACAACACTATACCCTAAAGTTTATTTAAAACGCACAGCTCTGACACACCCTGATTTTTTTCAATATGTTGATATTCATTCTCCGAAAAACACCTGTGCATTCCTATGCATCATCATATGCCTTGAACACACATGATCCAAACTGACCATGTTCCCATGATGTTCCCATGGTTTTCCACAACGCCAGGTGCCGCCTCCGCCTCCGCCACCCGTGGTATCACCTTGACCGACCTGTTTGAATGCGGAAAAAGAGATGGGAATGATGGGATGGAAACGGCCCAAATGTTCAAACATCTGATCAACAAATGATTTGTCAGGTTCAAGTATATGAAATGATTAGAAAATAAACAGTTTGATAGATTTGGAATCTGCGCGATATGGACAAAACATTACAACACAGGGTTTGGAATAGTGGAAATGTTTGAGCTACTGATCAGGAAATGATTTTGTCATCGTTGACTACCACCAAGTACCACTGTTAAAGCAAGTTTTGCCCCGGGAAAGCAATATGCTTACAAATCTAGGAAACACGGAAACACGCTTTGTTATTTGCCATGGACAGTTTGTCATATTTTCATATATTTTCCCCATTGGCAAAGCGTGTTAGACATCCCCATTTTGGGCACATCTGGAAAAATATGCATCGAACACTTGGAACCACAGATTGACTCGAACACTTGGAACGGGCAGATCCGCAGCGAGGGAGAAATCTTTTTTGAGACTGCTATGGGTCAGGCCCGAATCACAGATTTTGGTCGTTGTAATTCACCATTTTTTTAATGCTTCTCCATGGGTACTTACCAGTAGTTTCCAGAAACCAGCCATAGGATCCATAGGATCAAGTAGCATCCGCTCATTGAGGTGCCAATTCTACGCGTTCACCCACAGAGAGGCCAGGGTCCTGGATGCAGCTGTCATTTGACCTCCAGGATTGCACATCATCGTGTCCAAAAATGGGGATGCTCCAAATGGTCCAATCCCTGTTTTCTCTAGTGAGCTTGTGCATTTTGTTGCATTGCTCTTAGGTTTCAGCAATGTTTTGACATGCTTACAGAGGATATTCAGATATTCCTGATTGAATTCTGGTTGGCGTGGAGGAAGAAACCTGTCCTTGTCTCAAGTTGCGTGAAAATGGTTACGTATCTTTAGGTGTATCCCGTTTGCAGACACACCCACATATCATCTCGCGTTGCTTAGTTATAATATGATGTTGCATTCACATGGATAATTTAGGTATAGATTGGATTGTTTGGGAAAATTTGCAGGAAAGCCATTGATAATTTAATGGGAAAATCTCATGGTTTCCGGTTAAAATTTTCCCTTAAACAAACCAATCCATTGAGAATTTCTAGATATTCCATTGATATTCCCACTACACCCCCCCATTGATACTGGGAAAATCTATGGTTTCCTGTAATTTTTTCCAAACCAATCCATTGATAAGTTCTAGATATTCCATGGATATTCCCACCTTACCCCCGTTGGATGCTCCGCTCACCACAGATCGATTTGCATGGCTCCCGTTGAGCTGCCGCAGACTCCCAAGGTGCGCTTTTTTTACCGTGGCCTTGGACTTTTTCTGGCGATGGAAAAATCATATCTTTCTGGTTGGTGGTTTACCCTCTGGTAAACTAACGTAGCTATTGAAAATTGCCATTTATAGAGGATTTACCCATTAAAAATGGTGATTTTCCATAGTTTTTTGTATGTTTACCAGAGGGTAATGGGGATATTTTCCTGGTTTAATGGTGATTAACCCTCTGGTAATGGAATATTAATGGGTGGTGGGTAGTGACTGGAACCATGGAATTTTGAATGACTTTCCATTCAGTTGGGAATAGTAACCCCAACTGATGAAGTCCATCATTTTTCAGAGGGATAGGTCAACCACCAACCAGCTTTCGTGGTTCTCAGAAATACACACCCATGCGACATCCCCAAGAAAGCTGAAGGATCAGGTTCCATGTCCAAATATCCAGGATGCAGTTTTATATCATTGACAAATATGGTTTTGTCTTGAAGTAGGGTACGTCAGAATCTCTAATTGTTTCTGATGATATGATATGCCCCATTAACTTCCCAGAAATTGGCGGCACATCCCTATATCCAAACAGACCCTAACGATATTGTTGCCAATTGTTGCCAATACACCATGATTTTGACCCAATGTATCCACATAAAATGATTAGTTTAGTGTACTTCCATTTCATAAATATCACACACACGTATATATATATATATACAATTATATACATATTATATCATATTATATATACATTTATATACTTTATATACTGTAATTATCATATTAATATTGTGTCCACTATACACCTCCATGTTTGTTGGTGAACTACCCTCTGGTAATGTAACATAGCTATGGAAAAACACAATGTTTAGCGTCGAATCATCGCACTAAGGGTCTCCAGGCTATTGTTTTGGCAGAATTGGATGTACACTCATAGTCATAGGGCTTATATCATACAAGGTGGGGCCCCCAAACGTTATAAGTTGGTTTATAAACCCCATTAACTATAGTTATTTGCGTACCATAAACCATAGTGAAATTGGAGTTATGTTCACCAACTGAACGCTATCTTGGGGGCACCACCTTGTATATATATATACCCTCTGGTAAACTAACATAACTATGGAAAATCATCATTTTTCATGGGAAAACTCACTATTTATATTGCCATTTTCAATAGCTATTTTGACATAACCAGAGGGTATATCCCAAGTTCTGGGGGCAAATTCTGGGTTTGTACCAGGGGTATCTCTATCGTCGTGGGGCTTCTACCGGACCTGTCGGACCTGTCATCGGAGGTAGTTTGCAACCTGCAGACAGAACTCACCTGTGTCAGCGCAGGCGCTGATCCGGCTGGGCTGGTGAAGCATGGCATTAATTCCTGCTATAATCTGTTAATGACAATATCACCAATGGTTAATGTATATGGTGATGTATAGTACATGTTATAATGGTATAATATGAATTATATTGTTCTGTAGTATTACCTTTGATAGTATCACTTTGCATGACATCGTAGTTATCTTTCTTGTTGGATCTTATTAGTATCATTGATGGTCACCATCATCATCATCATGATCTTATTCAGTTGTTCATCAGTAAGGTTGGACATCATGCCATATCAAGGCATCAGCATGATATGTCATCCTCGTTTCTCGCGGATGAACTAGAATTTTCCAATGCATGCTTCATGAGTTTTAAGCTCTGAACAGGACCACATCGCGTCTTGAACGGAAGACCCTTTAGAACATCTGAAGCACTCAGAAGTGAAATGGTTGTGGGTTCAAACATATTAAACAAACTTCACACACACCAACCCAGTGAGGACGGTTGTGTTCATGTTGCATCACATTGCTATGAAAGCTTGTGCTTCGGCAAGGGCTCCAAAACGGTGACGCACTGCCGTGGGGAACCCTGGTTTTGCACCATGCCACCAGGTCTCCGGCAAGAATCACACAGACACTACAGCAGATCAGTAGATATGGTTACCCTCCAGTAAATTAACAGTTGGACCCTGAAAATCACCAATTTTTAATGGAAACTAAGTCTTCCAACCCCTATCGGAAACAGGGTCTATGTTAGTTTACCAGAGGGTAGATGGTGATGGTGAACCGGGCTGAAAGTTCAAGGTATTTAAAGCAACAATAGATGGCTATGGCGGCTATGGCTCACACATGGGGTCCCGATGGCCCCACAACATTGGCTAATCCATTGGTTGGTTCTAATGTTTGTCCATCCAAACTGTTTGGGTGCACTAAAATTCCGGGATATTCTCAGGCAAGTGTTGTTTGACTTTTCAGCTTTAAATTCTGAGATTCTGAGATCACGTATATCATCGGCCTTTTTTGTTTTCCTTTTGAAGGGCCTTGACAGGCGATGTTCTCCCCACGCAAGCATGCTCAGTGCACTTTGCTGGGTCTTGTCTTTGATGGTTTTTGCATGTTTGTGCTTTTGTTTTTGCCACCATCATCCACCATCTTCACTGTACCCTCTGGTAATTTGTTACATAGCTATTGAAAATGACCATTTATACTGGATTTTCCCATTAAAAATGGTGACTTTCCATAGTTACGTTAGTTTACCAGAGGGTAGAACATCCCTATTGTCTGTCTACCCTTTGTCTTCATTTTTGTCCTGGTCGCCTCCCAAATTCGGAGGCGTCCTGTGCGGATTGACTCGCACTTTCCCTGGCATGTCTCATCCCGACATAAAGTCATGGGCCGTGTTATCCAGCATCACCTTTCAATTCCAGACAACCCAACAAAAATATCATGTAAGTATAAACATGGAGTTTTGAGTTTCGTGTTTGAAATCTTCAATTTTCATCCATTTTCCAGTTTGAAATCTGAGTTTTGATCTTTTCCATGCCTTCTTCAGGCGAACGCTGGTGGCAGTTGGCACCAACGATGGCTATGTGAAGCTGGTCGATGTGACATCCTCGGGGGTATGGGTGTACCCATGCGTTGTTAACTGTTACCCTCTGGTAATTTGTTACATGGCTATTGAAGATGGCCCATTTATAGTGGATTTACCCATTGAAAATGGTGATTTTCCATAGTTATGTTAGTTTACCAGAGGGTAACCCCTCTAAGTTGGGTACATGGGATATGGATGGATATGGGGCCTATAACCATGGTGAAATACATGCACCATCTCCCAAAGTTGGATGTATTTCACCCTACTGGATGACATTTACCATTGTACAGGAACTATGGTATAACTCTGGGATGAGTTCATTGGAACCGTACCACCTCCGCCGGAAAATTGAGCCATATACTTTACTGTAGAACTGGTTGCTGGGGATTTTATGACTTTCCATCTATTGGGAATGTCATACTCATGAATAAATCCTCAATAGATACTCTATTCCCAATATATTAAGCCATAGTTACTCATGAATACTCCCAACTGACTTTTCATATCTTTCAGAGGGCTAGGTCAACCACCAACCTCTTGAAAAAAAGTGGCTGGGAAATCCCCACACGAAATGGAGGTTGATAGCTGTGCAAACCGTCTATGTAATTGGTTCAATGTTCCACTGCCATATATGTATACATATATCATGTTATATTCCATGAGTATCCCCATGATATCTTCATGAATGTCACAAATTATGATCATTTTTTTATACCAGTATATTATTATATCCCCGTGATATCCCATGATCATGTGATTCCCATATTGTTCGGATGTAGATGTATATACGTATACAGCATTATGATATCACATTATATCATATTATCAACTCCCCAATATATCTTATATTTTTGCTTATACTGTACTTATACCATGATACTAATATCAGAACACTATTCTATGGTATCATATATCAAATCATATATATCATATCGTATAACCCCTATATCAATATACTATGGTACCCTATATTATTAATATAGTAATAGTAATAGTAATATATATATATACACATCAGATAATACACTATAATGATATATTATAACCCATCTATTTTTTCCCAAATGATCATCGTTTTCTCCACGGGAGTCCCTGTCGCCTCTAGGGCCTCACCGGACGTCTGGAAGCTCACCTCTCAGTGGCGCGACAGCTGCCGAAGGCGACGTTTTCTCACGCTTTTCAGCCATGGTGCCCCGGTACCTTCCCAATAGGATGAGGAAATCATGGGGAAATCATAGGGAAATGATGGTTAATGATGGTTAATGATGGCTAAGAATGATATATATATATATAATGGTTTATGATACCTGAAGATGACATTTCGCAGATTGAACAAGCATTGTTTCACATGAACTCCCAATCTTTGCAGCTTACGTTGATTTTTGCAGGTTGCAATTATTCCCTTTCCAGTTTCTCAATATCCATTATTATCTAAGAACGATTTCCAGGTTACGGAAATAAGTTTTTGGATTTGTTCACAACGATTTGTTTCCAGTTTCAAATCCCCATGTGTTTCCAACTTACCCTCTGGTAAACTAACATAGCTATTGAAAATGGCCCAGTCGAAATAGTGGATTTACCCATCAAAAATGATGATTTTCCATAGCTATGTTAATTTACCAGAGGGTATCCTTAATATCCCATGAATTTGCCATTATTATCCCATGTTAGTTTGCCATGAAATTGCCATGAATTTGGTTAATTTACTGGAGGGTAAACCCACATGACTTTGGTCAAAAAATCCCAGTTTGGTCCAAATCATCACAAACTCTGCCCTCAGGTGATTGACTTGCAGTTAACGGAGGTGCCGTCCGAAAAAAAAAAGTCCTGAGAGGGGACCCAAAAATGGCCGAACGGGAACGGGGAGTTGACCAATAAACAGGGGAATTTCTTGGGAGTTAAACAGACAAAGTTGTGTTTTGAATGATTTGAACAGAAAAAACCTGGGATTTCACCAGCATTTACGCATGAAATGAGGATTTTACCCAGCAAACACCTGTTTTTGAATCAGCCGAAATCAGGTTTTGTTTCACCAATGATTTTACATAGGCTTTAGCAACAAGCAATGAACATTGGTGCCCTCCAGTATTCAAACGCTATATAGATGGAAAACCCTTCATTTATAGATGATGTCCCAGCTATAAACCTCCACCAAAAAAACAAACCTATCAAAAAACCATCATGAAATCCCAAGAAAAAAATCAAATCATCTACCCTCTGGTAAACTAACATAGCAATGGAAAATCACCATTTTCAATGGGAAAATCCACTATAAATGGCCATTTTCAATAGCTATTTTGACATAACCAGAGGGTAAATCCCCCATGAAAATCATGATATCCCCAGGGAAATCCCCACGGAAATCCCTGGTGTCCGTTTAGGCAGGTCTGCTGTTGGTGGCCTCATCGGATCAAGCGGTGCGACTGCTGGATCTGCAGAGGCCATGGGGGCCATGGGGGCCATGGGGCCATGATAGTTATCCAATGGCATATAAAAAACCCTAGGATAGTTAGAATGAATAAAAATGATAGTCTGGTTGGTGGTTTCAAACATTTTTTATTTTCCATAATATATGGGATAATCCTTCCCATTGACTTTCATATTTTTCAAGATGATTAAAACCACCAACCAGAGATATAAAAATGGTAGTTATATCATTATAGATGTTTTTATATCACTATAAAATAGTGATTTTTCCCATTAAAACCTCCATTTATCAGGGATTTTCCATGGCGAAATGTTAGTCATAACCAGAGGCTAACTATCATTATATAACTATCATTTATATAACTATAGATGTTTATAACTATTATTATATAGATATATCATTATAGATGTTTTATCTTTAACTATCATTGATAACTATTATATTGTTCAGGGTATATAAATGATAGTTATATAAAACATGGGTGTTTGGGATAGTTTTGCATAAAAATGAATTAATAACTGATAGTTATAACTGAATATAAATGATAGTTATATAAAAACATCTATAATGATCGTTGTATAAAAACATCTATAATGATAGTTATATAATAATAGTTATATAATAATAGCTATAAACATCTATAGTTAGTTATATAATGATAGTTAGCCTCTGGTTATGACTAACAGTTCGCCATGGAAAATCCCTGATAAATGGAGGCTTTAATGGGAAAATTCACGAAAAATGGGCCATTCTCCATGGCTATGTTAAAAAACCAGAGGGTATATCATTATCATGTTATAAATGATAGTTATATAAAAACCAAACATCTATAATGATAGTTATATAATGTTATATGTGTACGTATATTCATAGTATTTTGTTGAATGATTTAGTATTTGATGAGTATCTTTTATACATACTCATATGTATGTAATAGATGTCTTGCCTTTGCTTCCCAAACTGAGAGGATGGATGGGGTGAAACCATCAAGAAGGTGTTGAAACATGGAAATCACTTGTGCAGTCCGTGACTGTTTTTCGACATGTTCGAACATGTGAAGTTTCATCTTGACATAGATATGTCAATTTGAAACAGAAAGTAATTCAACTGCTCTCCTATTTTACCAGCAGTTTTTTTTTCGCATAACAAAAACAATCTGAACCATACAAAATATACAACACGTATAAATGTGGTCAGTTCTATCCCATAGTAGCCCGTTGTATCCTGCTGATATCCCATTTTCAAGCGGGATATCTTAGGATGATTGTTGGTGTTTATTGGAGACTTTTGGTGATGATACCACTATATCGTCATTACCATGATTGTTGTTATTTAGCAACCACGGTATCCCAAGAAATCCCATTCCAATCATCCAATCTTATACTATATCGAATAATATCCCATATATTTCTTGGGATACCCTCTGGTAATGACTAACATAGCTATTGAACATGGCCCAGTCGAAATAGTTGATTTACCGAACTGAAAAATGGTGATTTTCAATAGCAAACTGTTAGTTTACCAGAGGGTAATGATTGTAGCTTTAGCACATCACAATACATCACAGATATCCACAGATTGGGTACCACTTGACCCATCAGCTCCAACGATATCCTGGAAAAACGCTGCCTGCGAGGCGGCGCCTGGTGCACACTTTGCGCGGTCATCGTGGCTTGGTCTCCGCCTGTGGCTGGCTCCAGGTGCAGCTGTGCGATGGTGATTTACCCTCTGGTAAACCAACAGTTTGCTATGGAAAATCACCATCTTTAAGTTCGGTAAATCAACTGTAAATTTGGCAATTTTCCATAGCTGTGTGTTAAATAGTGTTAAATTACACGAGGGTAATGTTTGAAGTTCATAGGAATTAGGATTTAGTAGGATGGAGATGGGGATTTAAAGATATTTACCCTCTGGTAAACTAACATAGCTATGGAAAATCACCATTTTTAATGGGAAAACCATCTATAAATGGGCCATTTTCCATGGCTATGTTAAATAACCAGAGGGTACATGGAATTTGAGTGGGATTTCAGTAGGATTTCATCTGGATAGATCTGGATGAAATACAACGACCTCACGTCGTGACGTCACTGGAATGATGGTTAGATTGCAGGGAATAATCTCCAAATGGCCTTATGACAGCTTTTTCAGGGTGAATTACTATCGACCAGAAACATGGAGCAGTTGGGGTTATTAGTGGAGACAACCATGGTATTTACCGATGCCCCCATAAGTTGGGATATAAGCCCTATAACTATCGTTATACATCCAATTGTGTTGATTTTCTAGGATTTGGAGAGAGTTTCTCCCTGAGATGACACTATTTCATGTTAAACAGATAATCACCTTGTGATTGCTTGCAGAAATTAAACACCTTGAGTTTACTCAAACTCAAACATAGAATCCACATAATTCCTTGGAACATGCTAGTTTCTACAGGATCCCCAGTTTTTACAAGATGGGCCTATTGGGTATGTCCTTAAAACACTGGGGCTCGCAGCTGTTGGATACCCAGAATATGTGCCTGGAATGTTTGAGACAGGATCTGTCTCCATACTCTTGGAATGTTTGGAATGGGCACACCCAAATATGGATTATATTTAGGATTAAATATGTAAATAATGTTGATTATATATATTATGTTATATTTGCCTATTCCAAATATGTCAACACATGTCAAATATGCCAAACAGTTCAATTGACCTTGAAGTACCATAAGAAACAAAATACCAAATACCCTCTGGTTATTTAACATAGCCATGGAAAATCACCATTTTTAATGGAAAAATCCACTATAAATGGGCCATTTTCAATAGCTATGTTAGTTTACCAGAGGGTATGTTTCTAAGTTTGTTCCACGATGTTCCAAGACAGTCTGCTTTGACTTGGGCAGGGCTCACGTGCCTTCACTGCCGGTGCAGACAGGTCCCGTAAATGCTGCTTAATGTGGGAGAAATTGGGAGAGATGTTGGTTATTGTTGCTTATTAATTGAGCCATCTTATGGGAATAGAATATGGGGACATATATATATATATATATATACATAGTGACATAGTGGGGATAGTTGTGGGTTTTGAACATCCCACTTCATTATCAAGTTGGTTTGTCATATCCCACTACACATATCTCCGTTCATTATATCCCAATTACAGTATATAATGTATATACCCATTCATCCAGATTAGATATTGATAGTGTTTGTCCATGTTTATCCTGTTTGTTCAAATTATATTCCCATTCTAAAATGTTCTAATGATTCAACATGGGATTATCATAATCCATCATAATCCATGAAATTCAATGGATTGGTTTAAGGGAAAATCTTAACCGGAAACCATCGATTTTCCCATTAAATATGGGGCTTTCCTGTAAATTTTCCCTTAGACCAATCCATTGAGAAATGGGAATCCCTAAGTATCAACATCTTTCAACCAACCAGTCCTACCGGAACGACCTTAGGCGTGTTTTCAACGATTGCTAAGGATTCAAATCATGGATTCAAATCATATATCTGGAATAATGGTTAGTAAGGGGAATCATCCCCAAGTGGCCTTAATTCAGGTTAGTGAAATATTATAATTTACCCAGATATATAACCTGGTTTAATTTTGGTTGGCATGTAATATTCCATTGTATTCCCACTACATCCCCATGGTATCCCCAGTTTTGATGAGTTCCGTCCCCTAAAAACCTTTTCAACCTTTTCAACCTTTCCCACCATGGATGAAGCCGAAAACCAGGACTGTGAAGCTATGGGATGTGGAGAAAGGACAAGTCCTAAGGCGATTTTGGGATTTGGCTATGGATCAATACCTATTAATACCATTTTTAGGGGGATGAACATCCAGTTACCAGCTATTTTGATGTTCACCAGGGGTACAAGGTTTTGACACACTGCCATTTGAAGAACTGCAACGGTGTCGAGATCCACAGTTAAGAAACTCCATCAAACCATTTGTCGAGTTGTTTTTTTTCGGGTGATTGTTTGTGGGTCTGTTTTTTTTTAGGTCCTTTAAGGTCCAGGAACATTACAAAAGTGGAATTTAACATAATCCAACTCCACTTCCATCGGAAGCCCAGATGAAAATCCCCTTTCTTGGTTGAATTATCCTGCTGAAATCCTATCTTTTGTTGGCACAATGTCCATTGTTGTTGGCGACATATCGATGTCTGTTGTCAAATTTGTCACTCTTGTTGGCAACATCGCATCTTCAATTTTCGTTACAAATACTTGTTGATAGCATCGAATCTACATTTTTGGGTAAACTACGTATAAACACTTTTTGGCAAAGTAGCAATGTTTCTTGTCAACATATCAATATTGATTGGCAGAATATCAGTTTTAGACCATACACTTACACATTCTTAACATGTCTTTACGCTATATCACTTTCAGGATATGATTTTGATATTTATTTTCAGATCACCCTCTGGAAATTGAACATAGCTATCAAAAATTACCATTTTCAATACGTAATTCTACTATAGATAGGCCATGTTCATCCATCTTCCATAGCTATGCTTCCATGTTAGATAGTTTTGTTTTTAGTACAATCACCAAATTCACCATTGTTAATAGGTAAATCATCTAAGAATCATCTATAAATCATTGTCCATAGCTATATTAAATAACTGAATGGTATCTTTAGAACAGCACCTTCTCCAGTCCAAAATCCCCGGCAGGTCCATGCCCTGTGCTGGACCCGTCACCACTGCGCGAGCGCATCGCCAAAGTGGTGTGGTGGTGGCCGGATATGTCAGGGCGACCCAAGGATGCCATAGATTAAGGAGTTTCACCCAGCAAAAACGTGGATTTTACATGATTTAACCAAACAAAAATAGGTGACTTTACCATCAAACTATAATTTATGTGTTGTTCTTTTGATGTTATTTTTAAAGATTTTAACCATTGGAAATTGGTGATGTGACAAGCAAGCAAGAGTTGATAATTCACGAGGATTTAACCAATTCAACAATCAATGATGGGTGATTTAACTTTTAACCAGCAAACGTTGTTGTGATTGTTACCAGCAACCCAGCAACATGGTGATTTAATCAGCAACGAATTTGACAAATGCCCAGTGAAAATCGGGATGTTATCAGCAAAAAACTATACTTGCTGTTGACAATGATAGCGATATGATACAACTTTAGTGGATATTTAGTGGATATTTAATGGTGATTTATGAGATAGAAACTAACAATTGGTATCCATCTAAATGGGTGGCTTAACTTTCAACACTGAACACTTGGATTTATGTATATAATAGTGGTTTTCTTATTAATAGGGACACCACTGGTGAGTTAGGGTCCTCCATGACCTGGGAATCGAAATATGTGGGATATGTTTAAATTGTTGAGTCTTCTATTGGATCAGCAGAAACATGTTTCTATTGAATATGTGGGTAAATATGGATGGTTGACATTTTGCACTAGAAATCTGTAAGACTAAGCAGAAACAAGTTTTTTGTGTGGGAAAAACCGCGAAACAATACCCTGCAGTACCGTAACCAAATGGACTCTTCCCAATGACTCTCCAGCTACATGTGCCACTCAGAGGCTGATGGAAGGCTGTCGGTCCGGATCCTCAGCGGTCATAATGGCAGTTCTTATGGTAAACATGATGATTGACCACTAAATTTGGATATTTGGGCTGCCTTTTTTTAAGAGAAAGCCATATAGAGACTCCCTCTTCATCCAAGAAAAGTTTGAGATCTTATTCACATCAGATAGGCTAAGTCCCGGAAGATCCCTCCTAATCCCTCTAAATCCCCAGTTCTCACAGTCTATAATTTTGGAGTCAAATAAAGATTATCCTAATTTTAAGGTGAGCAGTGCTCAAAACTCCTCTTGCTTGATGATTATAGGGGTTTATACTGCCCTACTGATCCCTACTGTAGTTAATCTTACAGTAAACCATTATGGGAATTCCTATTGAACATCCAGTATTTCATGGAACAACGGTGCGGAAATTGAACATCCCAGTGATTTATCAAGTTGGTTTCCATTGCACGTATCTCTTAATTATATGCCCATTCATTCAGATCAGATATGGATAGTCGTGCTTTTTTCCCCATTATATGATATTCGAATATATGTGATATGAGTGTATATCCCAAATATGGATATTACATGATATTACTTTATATTGAATCCAAGCAAATATTAGTGTAATACAATATATATGGATCGGGATATTTGTGATATGGATATTACCCTCTGGTAAACTAACATAACTATGGAAAATCACAATTTTTAATGGGAAAATCCAATATAAATAGCCATTTTCAATAGCTATGTTAAATTACCAGAGGGTACTGTATATCCCATTTATATATTCGAATTGATTGTTGACCAGCCGTTAATCCCATGATTTCCCATCGGATGGTGACAACCAGGATCCTCCCGTTCATCGTAGCCCACTAAAATCATTAAATCCCAATCATCTCAGATTTGTTTCTAGCTATTCCCATGAGTTAGTTTGTTAGTTTGTTGGTTTGTTTGTTAGTTAGTTGTTTAGTTAGTAAGTTAGTCAGTCAGTTTGTAAGGTAGCAAAGTAGTAATTTAGTAAGTTAGTCAGTCAGTTTGTAAGTTGTTTCTAGGTATTCCCATTACTTTTAGTCAGCTAGCTATTCCCAGTATGATTTCCCATGGCGAGCAGCTCACCTGGGACCTGTCCTGTCCTCAGCTGCTACAGGTCTTCGATCCACGGCTACCAGAGGCTCCTGCCGAACCAGTCAGACTCCACCAATCAGCCCAGGTGTGATGGGGACAGCGATATCACTGCAGCTGTTCAGGTGGTTTGATGTTCAGTGTTGATTAATATACATAAATAATTCATGAATATACATAATATATAAATCGTACAATGTATAAATGTTTCATATAGTATATGAAGCATGATATATGATTAAATTGATGTGCTCAGATGTATATAATGTATTAATATGTATGTATCAATGACATAAAAATATATGTAATGTATTTATATTACGTTGTTATATATTATATGTAATGTATTTATACTATGTTATAGTATATGAAACATGAGATATGATCTATCAAATATGTAGCATGTTTTATTTGAGATATGATATGTAATGTACATAAGAATGCCTATGTAACTAAACACTACATGATGTATATATAAACATAAATTCTCTATGTATATATATATTATAATATATATTATATATTATATAATATATAATATATAATATATAATATATAATATATATAATATAATATATAATATATAATATATAATATATAATATATAGTATATAATATATAATATATAATATATAATATATAATATATAATATATAATATATATTAATTTATAATATATAATATATGATATATGATATATAAGACACAATATATAATATATAATACATTATGTTTCTATTGCATTATAATATGTAAGTGGTGTCCCTGGAATTCTGGTGTGTGGGTTTGGATGGGGTTCGTACCATACTTGTATACATATATATATAATAAAATTGCATACAAACATATATTTATACACATATATGACAGGTATACAATGATGTACAGTGTATACACCGCTGATACGAGGATGTGTAACTGTGTATCACTGCCCCCTTGTACCCTTAAACATCTCAGAAAGGAAGTGACGAGAGTACTGGACATGTTGAGTATTCACACCTGCCTACCTTGTACAGGATATCGCTTTGACCCAAACCTAGATTGGAATTTGAAGTTTTACCCACCAGCTCAATACGCGCCTGCTCACGACCCATCTGCAATTTCTTGGGCAGTAGCCAACTCAGTCTCGAAAACAAGTAAAGTTGAGGCACAACTGGTAGAAATGTCATCCAATTGGGCATATTGAAGTGGCGAGCAGGCTACCACACATTCAAATCCAGGTTGAAAATTATTGCACCACGTCACTTGTAGGGTTGCAAAAGCGAACAAACTGGGGAACTGTGCTTGTAAGCCCAATTATAATGCGGTAGATGGCCATGTTGTTTGATTCTTATATCCCCATGGTTGTCGATCAAATGCCCGATTGTCACAGGCGGTGGTGGGGGTCCAGCTGTCGCATGATGGGAACCTGGTGTTGAGCCAAGCACAAGTGGGGGGCCCAAGGTCAAATGGAAGGCACTTGCGCATGTGGGTAGCCATGTGTTGAATGAGACTGCACTTACTGCAGATAGAATTCTTGGGTGTGGACAACTCAAAAGATCAAAATGTGTTTCACCGTAGCCAATCCAACAACCAATTCGAATCAGAATAGACATGAGTCATTAAATGTCCCCATTGAACATCACCCAACCATTAGGTATATGGTCTTTTTTATGGCTACTATAAGGTGATGTCCAATATACCCAAAATGGGACAGTTACCAACCCCTGTCGTTAAAGCAACATGAAGAAATTGCATGTGATCCTTTCCGGAGTCCAAGTCACTTGGAGCCCCAAGATACTCTGACCGGATTGGAGGAAATCCACATAATGAATGACAGTGCACTAGACATCGATATGCATTTTCCAAACAGATACCCTCTGGTAATTTAACATAGCCATGGAAAATGGCCCATTTATAATATTATAGATGGTTTACCTATTATAAATGGTGATTTTCCATGGCTATGTTAAATAACCAGATGGTACATCAAAAAGAGAAGTTTCAAAATCTTCATATAGAGCCCGACAGTTGAACAAAACCGCTGGCGACTCATCATTGGTCACAGAAAATCATGAGATTTCAACCATTAAGTCATACACCGTTTGGAAATCTTTGGAAAATGCCTGATTTTAAGGGGTGTTTTTTGGGGTCACTCTTTGATGTTTTTTTCCCAAGAACTAGGACGGCTCCGTGTGCTGCACGGCGCTGGGTTGCCCTGAGCCAACCTTGCGGTTGCAGGCAGCCTGGGCTGGGGGATTGGAGACGGACACTTGGAATGGTGTCTTGAAAAAGAAAGGCCATAGTTAGCTTTTTTTTGGGACAACATCCATCGTTAATCTTGAACGTTGGAACTTGTTAAGTTATATAATAATAATGATTATGTTCCCCATCATGATTGATGAAATTTGATGAAACCTGATTTTGATGAACCAGTGGCCCAGTGGACTCGATAATCCACTGGTTCATCATGTTCCCCATCGGAGGTATACCCTCCCGTTTCAGTAGGTATGATAGGTTGTTGTTGAAAAGTGGGTTACCCCTGGCAATCCAAGCTGGAAAAAAAAATGGATTTTCCCTTGCCAAAAAAATGGATATACCAGACTGTAGAATCCTAAGAAGACCCAGATCAATTACCTCAATTGGCGACCGCACACCATTTACCAACCTTTTGGTCAACGCCTGGTCTCGCTGGGACTTTGAGCTTTATAAGATTTGTCATCAGACACAAGGCACCACTTCAAAATCTGTCACCAAACACATGGGTACTGTATGGGTAAATTATGGTCAAAGTATGTCAAAATTCTATGGTTCCCGAGGCTTGGGATCTCAACTCATATCTACATGTTTTGAAGTGTTTGGTTATGCGCTGAGAAGTTTGGCATTCGATGCCTGAACCAGCCAAGAGATGCCAAGAGTGTTTTTTTCTTCACTTTGATTTCTACAGGCATTGTTTCCTTGAGGTTTAGTTCAAACATGTTTTTTTCGATGCTTTTGGTGATCATGTCCGGCAATGACAGGCTTCTGGACCTCTGGACAGTGGTTCCATGGTTCACGCTGCGTGTGCGGGCGGTTTTTTGGAAAAGGAGTTGCGATGTAATGACAATCTTTGGTGATGATCCGGGTCTCATGTCAATGGCCATTCCAGGATCGGATTGATTGGAGGTACCAACCATAGAAAAAAGGCCTATTTTTTCAGGCCTATGTAAGGGAATATCCCCACAATTCATATGGCCTGAAATATGGCACTAACGTACCTCCATTTTAGGATCCTGGAGATCTCCCATTGATCATGGTTGTCAAGACTTATGTAGAGTTGATATTTGGGTTTAGGGTTTTCGTTTAGGAACCTGCACCTGGATTTCCGTTCTTCTGAAGACTTGGGTACTATTGGAATCATCCCTGTTGAATGTGACATCATACAATATGATTGCTATTCTTCATAAGTCATTATGATCCATAATATATATATATACTATGAAACATCATGACTTATTAATTATACATCATGATACCACTATATGTTAGTGAAGATTGACTTTCCTATTTTGTTTGGGTTCCTATATATTACATATTTTATATGCGGGCTAAGCGCCTTGTCGAGTATTGCCCCACCTTTCCAGGCGCTCCGATTGTCGAACTTAGGTCCCTCGCCTCCCGCGTTTAGTCCAGATGGTGCTTCCATCTTGGCCACGGGCTGAGAACGCTACGATGCGAAAAACAACAGTGGTGGAAAATAGTACCCTCTGATTATTTAACATAGCCATGGTATAGCTGGCCCATTTATAGATGGTTTACCTATTAAAAATGGTGATTTTCCATGGCTATGTTAAATAACCAGATGGTAATCGACGCCAGCAACAAAACTGGAGGGCTTGAACGAACGATGCGGAAGTTTGTAGCAAATCGTGAGAATCTTGTAGGTTTGGGATCAATGCAATGCGTGCAGTGCGGAGTGAAATTCCACACAATTGCATTGTTTGGTACATCTTTGGAAACCGCACATTTGCCTACAAGACCAAGTGGTCTTACATGATATGCCATCGATGCACCTTACTTAAGAAGTGGGTGAGAAATGGTGATCACAAGTTAACTATTTTATCATATAAATTCCATCAAACACATATCCAAAAATTGGATACTGACTGTAATCATGGGACATTGATGTAAGCATACCAGGACAGAGGTGGTTTCTTAAAGAGGTTTGCCCCAAAATCATCGCAACACCTTGATTTTAATAGGAACATTTACAATGTTAAGATCCCAGAATTGTTTTTCCGAAGAAGAGGCAGGAAACCCCTATAGCCAGTATATTTGCCCGGGGAAATATATAAACAGAAAGTGTTCCTGTATTTGTCCCATGAGCCAATTGATAAGAGGACTCCATAGAAGCAAAGAAGAAAATCATTATTGGATGTTGACAACAAAAATAGCAATGTGTATATATATATATATATATATATCTACATACATACATATATATATACTCATTTATATATGTTTGGTATGTATAAATATATATATATATATACATGGTATGATAATATGAGTTAAGATAACAAGTATATTACCTTCTGAAACTTCTCCATTACCTTGGATGAGGCTCGTGGTGCTGCCAGTGTCCATTGCTGGACGAAGGATGGACACCTCGTGCGGCGCCTTTTTTTTTTGCGGCGACGGTCCGAAAGAAAAGTTCCGGGAAAGGGCCCAAAGTTGATGATTACCCTCTGGTTATGTCAAAATAGCTATTGAATAATTGAAAATGACCATTTCTGGTTGATTTACCTAGTAAAAATTTTGATTTCCCTTCGTTATATGTGTTAGTTTACCAGAGGGTAACCAGGATTTTCCCTTGTGCAGAGAGAATTTTCCGGCAAACTATCTCCATTTAGCATCCAACTATGGTTTTCCCAGGTTCCTTGTGGAGGTTCCTTACGGGTTTACAACAGTGAGAAAGAAACCCAAGATATAAACATAAACCAACAAGTGAGACAAATGAGGGTTGATCAGTAGAAATTGGGGGTATTTTATAGGCTTTGCAGCCCAACATGGTTGCCATCCGAGGTCTACAACCACGACCTTCAACCAGCAGTGGCTGTGTCTTGGGACCGGGGGTAGACCGGGTAGGTAAGCTGGAGATGAGAGCCAAAGTTATTTTAAAGGGACGTAGTAGCAGCTGGCCTGAGGGGTCTAACAGTTGGCCCTTGAACTACCAAAAAACATACCATGATATACCATATATTAATGTTAGTACCTTAGCTGCTTATGGTTTACCAGTTGGGAGACTGCTACTGAGAGCCCCTCAGCTAATCAAATGGCATTTATAGATATATCTAGCAGATCTAGCTACCCTCGTTCAAGACCTGTGTGCTACCAGCGAAGTCTTCAGTGAGTACTTCGCACAACAGCTGGGAGGCATGATAGACACCGTCAAATTCTACTGAAGTTTGGCCATGGCCACATGGCCACTGTTTCATTCTGCATGCCCAGGGTTATCGATACCTGCCCACAATTTGATCCTAAGGGCAAGCCTTGCCCCAGGAACTCGATGGTTGAGTAAACATTTGGGGGGTGGAAAACAAAGACCTGATGAGACCTGATGAGGTTCATTAAAAATCATCTAAACATATGGGTGATTTTCATCATCATTTTCATCATCAAACTCATCAAACTCATCAATTGCTGTCAGTTGGGGGGATGATAGTGATTAATACTGTAGATATATAAACCATGATAGTGATATACTATAGTATACTATAGATATAACATGTTTTTTTTTTCATCCCTCATAAACCATCTTTAACACCCCAGAAACCCAGCGGTAGAAAGCAGGACCTGCAGCGTGCTGTCTCCATTCATCGCAGCGGCCGGGGGGACTTTGCGGAGGGACCTTGGGCATGGAAACTCAATGTTCAACTTTCCCAAGGTGTAGTGAAAATGTGGAAAACCTATGAAACACATATGGAAAATGGGTTTGAATGGAAAACTGATGTGAAAATGATGTGTAAACTGATGTGAAAATGATGGGAGAACTGATGTGAAAATATGGGTTTGAATGGTTTGAAAATGGGAATCAGATCTAACAATGGATTTGGAATGGAGGGGTTTAAACATCGGCTATAGCATAGCTTTGCTAGACCTGCCATCTTCCCCTGCACCACACTGGAGAATGACCAGCGGGTGACCTTCCATAGAGGTAACTAAAATCAAGCAATTGGGATTTGTGGTGTATGACTCCAGTTGAAGGGTGAACACAAATTATCACACACTAACTTGTTATATAACTTGTTGGAAAAGTGGGGCACACTTTGTCATCCCCTGATTTTTGGTGTACTTGGGGGTTATTTGTGTGGGTAGCTTCCATCCAGTCTCAACATTGAAGGACGAAGCACTGGTGGTTGGTTGTTTCACACAATGGTGTATGTTCATCCTACTTAGGGATGCTGTTTCTGATGGTGATGGTGATGCTGTAAAATATAATGTATATTGCCATCACCATCACCCGAGATTACTGTAAAAATATTTCTGTAATATACATGATATGTTTTTTACAGTAATCTCGGGGTAGCGGATGGCTTGAGCAGCACTCAGCGTTCTTTTATGTTCTTTTCCCCTTGAGGCCACTTCTACAGTTGGGGAGCTGATCAGGAAGGTGCACAGGGGATTGCTATCCTCATCACCTTTGGTGGTGAATCTGACCATAACTGACTTGTTCAGTGTTTGAGGTCTTCATTTCTGTCGTTGAAACATCCCAATTCTTAGGGTCACAACGTCCCATATCACCGCGGATTCCATTCTAAATATTAGTGTACCGATATATCGTCATTGTTCCATGGCAAGTGAATTTCAAACCAGTTTTCTCGATATATGTTATATTATTTTATATTTCTACAAATATACAGCTTTTCCTTTATCATTCAATATTCCGTTACTTTCAATATCTTGACAAGTATATTGAGTCTACAGTACAAATGGACCATCTATACCATCTATACCATAGCTATATTTCTCACGACCCAGAGAGTCCTTGGATCATCCCAATTCGTCAGTAACAAGCCTGGTTAGTGGGTGAACTAAGCCCAACAAACACTAACCACTGTCTAAAAAAATGATGATCCATGGATAATATACCCATTTATGGGTGATATGCCATTTTTGGATGCGATAGCATTTATAGACGATATACTGTAATTACTTAACACGATATCAGTACCCTCTGGTAAACGTTTACATAGCTATGGAAAATCACCATGCTATTAATGGGAAAATCAACTATTTCTATGGCCATTTTCAATAGCTTTTTGTTGACATAACCAGAGGGTATATCCTTATCTTGTCTCCATTGTTCAGAGCCCAGGTGCTGATGACCTGAACGCAGGTCCCCGCTCAGAGCCCCAGGACTAGGTCGGACGTCTCACATGGCGTCACATGGCGCGTCGCTTTGAAAAGAGATGGGATGGAAATCAAGGTTTGAATGAGGATAAGTCGCTGTAAAACACCATTCAAGGTGAAAAAAATCACCAGCAAAACATCGGATTTTAGCATCATGGTGATAATACTGCTGGATTTAAGCATAAAAAGGCATGAAATAAAACCCACCAACGTGGGGATATGGGGTTGGGTCAATATATGTGAAATACTCTTTAGGGATCTTTAGGGGGTGAACGTCCATGACTATCAGTTTTGGTGCTTGAAAGGGTTTTACATATGCCAGATGCCCCATGGTGCTGGAACATTTACCAACACTCCAGACATCATCCAAATATACCTGAGGCAGTATATAAGTACGTGGAGCATGTGGCTATTGAACCTGAAATAAGATGAAATACACATAAGTCACATAAACCATGTTGGGCTATTTTTGGGATGACTCCTGTCATCAACATCATTTCAAGATCGTTTGGTACTGGTAATTGATCGCAACCTTTGGGATTCTCAAGATCCATCAGTTTGTATATACTATACAGTGTCTTGTCCCTATATATATATACATACATACGTAATTATATATACACACATACGTACCAACAAAATCCTAAGTAAAGAGGTGCAATTCTGGAGGATTTCAGAAGTTCTGATTTTTTTGACAAGTCCATACGACCATATACTAGTCCTGAGCTAGTTCCAAGCAGGAACCTCCTTTGTTGATGGGAGAAAAGACGCCTGATTCCTGCAGCTGTTCCAGCATGCCCATGAACAGCTGGATTGATGTGTCGCATCCATGCGGTGGAAGAAATCTTGCACCACCAAAAGGATGGTTAAAACCCTATCAATACTGGGATAACCACCTATCAACTGGTGCAGGATTTCGCAACCATCCACAGTATCAAGCAGAAAACACATCCCCAAAACAAGGGTGGCCACTGCCAACCACTGCCAGTGTGCCTGCCAGCCTGAAGAGGCTCAAGGTTCGCAGAAATATCGCGGAACCTAGAACATCTGGTTGGTGGTTTCATACATAGTGGTTTCCAATCCATGGGTACCCCTAAATCATCTGTTTGTGTAGGATGTTCCAATATAAATTATAAACAATCCAGATACTGTATTGGGGTACCGCCATTTATGGAAACCCTCACATTTGTTGGTGTTCCATCCTATTTGCGATGATGAATCCCGAGTTACCAATATGATGGGAGCAGAGGTAAAAGTTTTCCAACCACCAACCAGAGATGATTTCGTTGCCACTATTCGCATCCTTCGGGCACAGCATAAAAGTTCGATCCCAGCATCAGCATCCCTACAAGTTTGAAAGTAGGATCAGGAATGTGAATGGGTCATAATTATTGGACTTCCCTATGAGAAAAAACAAAACCTGGTACCCCAGACAATGGAATGTTACCCTTGGGTGAAGTTGGGTGGCTAGCAAATTCACAAGACGTTTGCATCATTTGTTCCATGTTTTGTCAGACAATGACTGGACACTCGGAAGGTAAATATTTGGTCCACACATGTCCACAGGAGCTTGTTGCATAAAAACCCTGCTTAGCAGTTGCGATGCTTACACAATTCATGGAGGTTTACCCTCTGGTAAACTAACATAACTATGGAAAATCACCATTTTTTAATGGGTAAATCCACTATAAATGGCCATGTTCAATAGCTATGTTAAATTACCAGAGGGTATCTATGTGAATGATGAATGCCAATCAAATATATTGGTATATCACGAACCAATCCAAAACGTGGAGCCGTCATGACGCCGCCACCATTGGCTTCTCGCCTAACTATGTCCTGTTGCTGTACTACCAAGTGCCAAGATGTCGCGGATATAGAAGAGACGGAAGAGATACCGTCTGTATGTGTCGATTCAAAAAAACACTCGTAAGGTTGTTCACATGTGGTATGCTTTGCCATATGCTTTGCCGCTGCGTTACACATTGATTCCCTGTCCAGATTCCCAACCAAATGGATTCGATCACCATCCCACTTTGCAACAGGGACATACGTGACATGCGTGCTACTCCGCTCAGTTTCCTTACAAAGCATGATCCAATTAGGAGGAACCCACTTTGGATTCCAATGATCAAAGGAGAGGGGGGGCCTGTCCCCATTCCATGAGATTTGGTCCATCCTCAATCCGAGGTGAAATGTGAGAAATGTGGCACTGTAGGTGCCAAGGACGCCGTGGGTTTCCAAGGTGTCAAGGAAAAATTGGGGGGCCCAAACAATCGTTGTTCTTCTTGAGAGAATCCTATGGGTTTAAGATGGTTTAAGAACAGCCAAGTCTGAGCCATCAAAATGGGATTGTCTGAAAGTAGGGAAGACCCCAATTCCATGGCTTCTCATGTTTCCCCATCACAAATAGCATGTTTTTCCATGTTGCGGGCATCCCGCATTGTCAGACAGACCCAAATGTCACCATCACATTATTTCAGTGGAGGAGTCTGCAGAAAAGCTAGGCAGTTCCTCAAAAAATGAAGGTAGCCCTTCAATCCTGCAACTTGGCAAATCTGGATTATCCGATCCGTCAACGATGCTTTGATATATTCCCATAATATTCCAATTACCCTCTGGTTATTTAACATAGCCATGGAAAATGACCCATTTATAGATGGTTTACCTACTTATAGCATGGTGATTTTCCGTGGCAAACTGTTAGTCATAACCAGAGGGTATATCCCAATAGCTCCACTGTTCATCTATATATGACCATAATAAATGGGGGAATATAGTCCCAGTACTGGTCGTACCCAGCTGCTGGGACATCCCAGTCCGATCCCGTCGGTGACGAGTAGGTTCGACTTTATCGCCACTTGATGACAAGCTGGGGCATGTTCGACAGCAATCATATTTTCACAGCAATCATGTTTTCACATATATAATATTATAATTATATTATATAATATTGTATATTCATAGTATTATATATACAATCTAATTATTAGTCTTTCGTTCATGTATATGTATATACTTGAATTATCCATGTATATAATATAACATTATGCGTGTATACACATACATATTTGTCATGCTGTTATAATGTTATCATATGTAGATAGAATCGCATGCTGCCACCACCGTAAGTGCTCGGACGCAATCCAGGAGCGGATGACAGAGGAAGGAAATCATCACAAGCGAGCCTGTGTGCTGTTCGCATATGGATGTGAATAAACATGGGGGATATCGGGATACCCAAATGAGCATGGGGAAAATGTGGGGAAAATGATGATTATCATCGATGGTGAGATGTGGTGCTACCTTACTTTCATACGCATGCTGGTAGATGTTTAGCCACAAATGCGGAACTATACCCAGCAGGTCAAGGTTCACCTTCTTTTTTGCAAGTTTGCAAGGTATCTAAGGTAAACCATCTTCTGTTCTTCCTCCCTGCTTACGTGAGCAGCAACTGATGATGGCTGCTGAACCCCGGTGAAAAGCCACAAATTCCTGTACATGTCTTTGTGGTTTTAAAGCAACCTGGTGACGAATCCATGCTTTTCGTTCTGCATCAAGTGTTGAAAAAACTATATAGAGTACGGTCGGGTTTATATAGATTGTATTTATGTATTTACTTTATACATATGATATATGATATATCTATATGCATGTCATGATGTAATTTGATATTACATCATATCTCCCAGGGCTGATGATAACTTCTCAGGTGCCTTGTATCGCCCTTATCTGCCGTGACCTCAGGCTTGCTCTTAAACCACAATTTATTTGATAGCTAAATTATAAAACATAAAAGGTAAATGTAGTGTTAATTTGTTTGTTTATGTTCAATGTACTATTAGATAGTTAATGATCTATATACATATACATATACACATTGAATTCTTACATATACTATTCAGCTGGTATGAAATCATACATGAATTAATGTAAATCTTGCATTTAAGTGCAGACTGATTTGTTACAGGGCTGCACATTATGGAACCCTAAAGCATCCTAAAGCCAGGGGCACACAGGCACCAAAAATCTCCCAGCAATGTTTTTTCGAGTCGAATTAGCCATGTTGCGATTTGTTGTGTTCCGGGTTGAATCATGAATACCCTCTGGTAAACGTTTACATAGCTATGGAAAATCACCATGTTTATAGCTGGGAAAATCCACTATTTCGACTGGGCCATTTTCAAGTTCGCAAACTGTAAACGTTTACCAGAGGGTAAACATTGCTTGGCAGATGGTTGGCTACGGTTTTTTACGGTCGACACTTTGCGTGGCAGTGGCCCGCAGGCATGACTTTATATATGCACTCACCGGACTTCCCAAAGTTTTCGTTTGGAACAGCAGATACCCTCTGGTTATGTCAAAATAGCTATTGAAAATGGCCATAGAAATAGTTTATATACCTATGAAACATGGTGATTTTCCATAGCCATGTTAGTTTACTGGAGGCTACCCTGATTTTAATTTCTCTGAGGCTCGTCCACTGCAAGTCTTGTGGTGTTGGCGGAGGACTTTTCTGTGGTAAATCACAGCAGTGATGGCTGACAGAACTGACAGAACTTGGGTGACTGGGCCCTGAGTGAACAATGGTTCATGGGGAATATACTGTATATCATCTGTATATATATATTATAAATATACAGTATATTATATATATATATTATAAATATATATATATATATATAATTTCCGACAAATTGAGCTGGAAATTCGAAATTCCAATCAATTTGAGATTGTTTTCCGCCTGGAACCTGTTGTATCTTTCACTTGCCTAGGGATTCCCAATGGCCCAGAATGGTTTCCCAGTAGAAGTCACTAGTTGGTGATTTTCACAGTTGTTTCTATTACCCCCTGGTAAGTTAACATAGACCCTAAAAATCACCAATTGTTAATGGAAACTAGTCTTCCAACCCCGATGACTGCCAGGGTCTATGTTAATTTACTGGAGGGTATGTTCTTACTTTCATCCAAAGAAAGAGAATCTGATGATTTCTCCCAGTGGCATCGAGGACTTACCCTCCAGATGGTTTCCCAAGGAACATGTTCTTGAAAAGCTAGATTTTATATATCTATATATCTAACTTTACTGGAGTAGTCTGGTATTATCAGGGTTGGCTCAGCCGCCAGCGTTGCTAGGACCTGCCTGGATTATGACCAGTGGTCGTCATCATGGCTGGAGTTGTCCTCGTTATTCCTCCAGTACTGTGCAGGGCTTAGGATGCTTAGTGCTCGATGCTGGGCAGGATGGTAGTGACTCCTGGATGAAGGTATTTGGGTATGGATCAATACCTATTAATACCATTTTTAGGGGGATGAACATCCATTTACCAGCTATTTTGGGGTTCACCAGGTACCAGGGCTTTGACCCATCCCCATTTCTTTTTGGATTTTTGAAATGATGCACCAAAATGGCAAGTTTCATGAAGAAACTATAAGATCAACAAAAACTCGGATCCAAAGTGGGTGCCTATTCTTGAGGTCCCTTTGTAAGGGTCACCCAGTCACCGAACTCAGCACCGAACTCGGCGAAGCCAGATATGGATACAATCTGGTCATCCCATCCTCTGGTCATTTTTTTGTCACACCCCCCAGAAACCATGGTTTTTCTTGGGATGACACCACATATCACTGGGACCATACAATGGGGGTGTTCAATATTTTAGCGGGTGACGGGATATAGCCAGTACCGTGGCAGATCATGGATCATGTGATTCCTGATTGCTGGTTCAATCCAAATCTTTGCTCGGCTATAAATCCGTTTTGTGCTGGTTAGATACAATGTTTTTTTTTTCTGGATAAATCCACACTTTTGGTAAAATCATGGATTCTTCTTGGCTACTATGTGTATGTAAAATTTATATTATATGTATGTATTATGTATATATAATTATATACATATATGTGATTAATGTGGTTAAGACATGTTAAGACATCTTCGTCCTTCTTTTCCCACTGCTCAGGCTGGTGCGTGCAAGTTCTGCGCCTTTGTCGGTGAGGTTTCCATGGTGAAAAACAGCGGACCTCAACACGTCCAAGGCTGTCCCAGGTGCTAAGCTGGGAGCCGATGTGCTTTGGGGTGGAAGAGGTAGTAGCTTCTGGTAACATACAATGTGGGGCCCCCAAACGTTATGTTTGTTGGTTTATAGCCCCATCTAACTATGGTTATAACTACCATAAACCCTAGTTATTGATAGTTTATAAACCAACTTAGCTATCTTGGGGGCCCCACATTGTAGGAATGGATGTCAATGTCATGGGACGTGATATGCTATATAATGCTATATAGTTTGTCACTGTACCTTACGTCATTTTACATATAAGCGAGTGATCGGCACATGTCTATACATGTCTATGATGTGCATTTTTTACATGATGTCCTACCTCAAAGACTTTTTTCATCGCCCCTTGCCATGATTGCCATGGGATAAGTATTGAGACGGTCCTATGTGCCACTGCTCCGCTGATTTTCGAAGACAAGGCTGGAAACATTCATCAGACAGTTCGCGCAAGTACCGGGCACGCCTTTTGGGTGTTTGCAATGGATCTTTTGACAACCATTTGTGGAAAATAAACACAAGCAGAGAAAAATGGATTCAGTTTTACTTCTTTGTCTAGCCATATCTTCTGTCCCAAACGTATCTGGGGTGTTGTGGGTTGCCAGGTTTGCTCGTGGCAATGCTGATTCGCCAAAGGTGGCCGTCAGCAGCTCACCCTGTTGTCACGTGTATCTTTTGCTGCTGTTTTTTTTTAACGCAGATTCGATGATTGTGAAGAGCAATGATATGTCGATATGTTGGGCTGTTGGGATCCAAATAGATAGCTGGATTGAGATAGCTCCAAAATGATTCACCCGCTAAAATTTGAGATTCACAGCCATTTTGTACACAAGACGGGTCTGGCCCCATCAGTCAGATTATGCAGATCTACCACATTCCACTACGTATTTGTGTTTTTGCTGTGAAGTTGATTTTCCATGATCATCACTCAATGTTTGGGCACGGAACAAAATAACCAATACCAAGTCTTACCTCATAACCATTGCTTTTTGTGCTGGCGTGTGCTCCCAAGGCTTGATGGAAAATTCCAACGGTGTTGATTTAACGCATATCTTCCGGTTCAGTTCCTGGTTGATGTCCTTTTTTTTGGTTAAACATGCCAACAAAAATCTGTGGTGAAATGGTGAAATCTCAATTTTGGGGTGGTTAAAAGATGTTAAAAGCCGCCAACCTCTTCGAGGTTTGTAGGTATTGTGGTTTCCGCGGTGCCGCAGAGTCGGTCACGGGCATTGGCAGCGCTGGCGAGTTTGCGCGGGGTGGATGGGCCAGGGGGAACTGGGCTCATAAACCATGATAAACCCAATAAACCATCCCGATAGAGGTTTCCTATTGGGTATATATATACATATATTAATTATATATATGTTTATATAATGATAATATAATTATATTTATTATATTATTATATTATATATATATATATGTGTTTAATTATATATATAGGTATGCATACCGTATACATCCGTATTGGGATGATGGAAAATGAAGCCAAACTTATGAAAATGGTATGATTTATTCTGAATGGGTTTAACATGTTACGTAGAAATTATTCTGAATTACAGTAATTGTTTGGAAAAGGTTTATGCGGGTAATGTGGATACATGAAGATATTGATCAAGCGAAACCATTTTATTTGGATTCGGATGATTGTGAATTAGTCATTTTGAAACATTGGACGATTACATGTGAATTGTGTAAAGAAAACATAGTGGCATGGATTATTTGAGGTATTTATATGCATATTTATCAATCTAAACACATGGTGCTGCATGATACTTGGTGCTTTCCCAGAAGGCTGGACAAGATTATCCCGATCGGGAAAGACAATATTAGCCTCTTGGATCCACCTTTAATTTGGATCCATCTTCCGCCAAATCACAAATCTCTAGGGACCTTAGGGAAGAAATTATAAAATGACTACACTCTGGTAATTTAACATAGCTATTGAAAATGACCATTTATAGTGGATTTACCTACTATAGATGGTGATTGTCCATAGCTATGTTAAATTACCAGAGGGTAAGTTAACCACTGAAAATCATTGAAAGCTCAAGATTTAGATTCGAATAGTTGGGGGTTAGATACGGATCCAGTGATATGCAGTTCTACTTTTTTTTTGACCCAGCCCAGCTGGCTGGAAAATCGTTCACATTTCGTTACCAGGGGTTACAGTACATCACATCGGATGTTTGCTGGTTATAAATCAACCAGATACACATACAACAGCGTGCAGTATATGTGTATCTATATTATCTACTTGTTTACATTTACATATTCCCCTTGTTATTATCATTATTACTACTATTATTATTCCTATTTTACAGACACAAATGCGTTTCCCATCATAGATTATCTCCTCAGTTGTGCAAGCTAAATCCTCACTATTGCCTGTTAAATCTATATGTGTTGCCCCAAAAAAACCTTCATGTTCGCTGGTTAAATCCTCATTTTGGTCGCCAAAAAACTCTCACCGCTTAGATCCCCATTTTTGCTGCTTGGATGACCCCCCCGACCTCGCTCAGGGGACCAGCACTCGGCCACCTGCCCACGCAGCCCGTCAAGGGCAGCCGCCGCGAAGAAGGGCACTGAAGGCACGGCGACCCAATGGGACCCACCTGGGGGATCCTGGGAGGGTTGGGATCGTCTTTCAATGAAGAATTTGAATAAATCATCAACAATGGATGGAAATGGTTGTATTGAAGTAATGGTTGTATTATGTTGTATTGAAGTTTGTTGTAGATTCTTGCTATAGATTAATTAGTTTTATCTCCAAGATTCTAAAAAATATGTTTTTATATGATCGACTATCAAACGCAAACATGAACCATAGATGATTGTGAGTAGGGAACCCAGGAAGATTCTTCGAACATGTTTTGGGATGGTAATCTGCCCAGATGGAACTTGGAGAAATGTCGCTTGAATCTGCGATTAGATCCCCCCAAACCGGGTAAAGCGCCATCCCTTCCCAGTCCAGGAGCCAGCCCGTTTGGTTGGAGCCTGATGGCACCTTGGCGAAACTCTGAAACAGACAGAAAGACCCGAGCAAACGAATGATTGTGCAGTGCTTTCAAGTATATAATGTAGATATCCTTACTTTATAATGTATATCTATAGATTATATATATAATATATGTATTATATAAATATATAATACACAATCTAGTTGAAAATTGTTATTGTTTGCTATAAGAGTCTATATGTATATAAAGCGCCAAGATGACAAGACAAAGGATGAAGTAGGGTTCTGCATACCCCCCGCGAGTTGAGCCATGCCCAGTACGTGTTGATTCACCACGTGGCGGATTGAGGCCTGCTTTTGCTGTGGAGTTGATACTACAAGCACCAGACTCAGCCATGCATCAGGCGTCGGTTGGTCTTGGACATGTCCAACCGCTGTCTCCAAAACCTGCTGGCACCTATATGTCCTCCTGTATGAGAGAACAGGTTATTCAAACATGTCTCAGTTTGATTTTGTTCATCGGACGGAAGGCTTTGAGCCATGTTCTGCAGGGTCGACAATAGAAAACCAGTTCGCAGTTGGAATTTGTCGTAGGTTCAAGTTTGTTTTTGGGGAAGATTCTCTCAAATTGCTATGTTCATAATATACTGCGGGCATGGGTTACATCCTTACTACCACCAAACAGATGCTGTGCTCAGACTTCAACCATTTGTCCTAGCGCTGAGGATTATAGGGGAAGTATGTATCTACTACAGACACAAGTGGAATAGATTGAGCATAGAGGCTCCAGTCCAATGTCAAGTTCGAAATTGTAGATATCATCCTAGCATCTCTGTATTTGTCACTTTTCCTGTCGGGTTCTGCTGAGTCAAGAGTTGGGTTTCTATAGCAAGGCGAAATTCAAGAGATCGACGTTCCAGCGGAAGTTCCCAAAGTCGCAGACAAGGACCCCAACATAGGACACTGGCCAGGAAACTTCGTCAAATTTTGCCGTTTCATTGGAAACGCTTGAGGTTTCTGTGAGTCTTATTGAAACTATCACTGCAGTGTATTTTGCAAAAACATGTAAAAACATGTGAAACATGTTAAAATTATATCCGTACTGTAGATATTGGAGGATGGAAGGATCCAGAGATGCTTAAGTTCAATGGGGATCTAAAATAGCCCATCGTCATAGTCACTGGGTAATTTGTCTAGGAGTCTAGGATTGACCAACTTCAAGATTGAGTGTAGTGATATGCAGTGATATGATGATAAAGATGATGATTTATACCTATTAAAAATGATGATTTTCCAGTTCGCAAACTATGAAATGACCAGAGGGCAGAAAAAAAATGGTGGCTATGTCCAGTGATATCAGTCAGTTGTTGGTTGTATTACACCAATATTGGTTGTATTACACCAATATTGGTTGTATTACACCAATATTATACCCCCGGTGTTTGATTGGTAACAACATCCGTCCTGGCCTATTTGTTGATAGATGTTGACCTCGAACTGATTGATGACAGACACTGAACTTGCAATTGCACTGAGTTTACACATGATATTCAAATTACCCTCTGGTTATGTCAAAATAGCTATTGAAAATGGCCCATTTATAGTTGATTTACCTATTAAACATGGTGATTTTCCATTGTTATGTTAAATTACCAGAGGGTATATAGGATATATGATATAGCCCCAGAATTGAGGGAGTAGTTGCAGCCTGAAATTGAAAGAGAACACCATGGTTTCCGTCCAAAAAAAACCTAATTATCTATACATTGGAAGATATATACAGTCTCTACAGTGAATTAAGATAAGGAAAATCCACCAAACAAGAAGCATGTAATATATACATCATTTCCTGTGGAAACCGTGGAAACCATGGCTTTCCCCATACTTGTTTGGTTGCGCAGGACCCAGCTCCAGGAGTGGATGCTGAGGCGGAGGCGCATGCAAGTGGTGCCAACAAATATTTCTGACCTTTTGAACCAAACAAGGGCTGACCTTAAAACATATGGGTATGGGTCAAAATTAGGTACCCCAAAATTATGGATGGTTAATACTAAACTAGACATTTCCATCTGTGGTCCCACATCGGTCTTCCATTTTGACCCACATCCATATATCAACAAACATATCAAGACTTGGGGGTGTAGGCCTGCAAGAGTTTTTTTGCGTCGAAGCTTCAGGAACTTGGAGTGCCAACTGGCAAAAATTGTGATTACACTCCGGTAAACTAAGAGTAAGCTATTGAAAATGGCCATTTATAGTTGATTTACCCATTGTGATTTTCCATAGTTATGTTAGTTTACCAGAGGGTAAAACAACAGAAAGATGGAGAGACTATAAGCGCGACGATGTCGTTGCATCAGGGCACGACCCAGTTTTTTTTTTAATCGGACGCCAAATATGACCAAGAATAAAAATGCCAAAAGTCCGCCGAAAGTGATTTCTCGAAGCGAATAGAACAGGTAAGAACATGGGGACCACAAATGGTTGGTTTCAGCAATTGCTGATGATAATGGTGAGGAGGATGACGATGGTGATCATGATCATGATGATGACGACACTGACAACGGCCATGAAGAAGAAAAAGAAGATGGTGGTGGTTGTCATCATGATGATGATGATGATGATGATGATCGTGATGATGATCGTGATGATGATCGTGATGATGATCGTGATGATGATGATGATGATGATGATGATGATCGTGATGATCATGATGATTGTCAGGATTGTCATGATTGTCATGATGATTGTCATCATGATTAGCATAATGATTAGCATGATGATTGGCATGATGATTGTCATGATGATTGTCATGATGATTGTCATGATATGTCATGGTGTGTTGTGATCACTATTATTGTATGACAACAATGACAATGGCAGCGAAAACGATGATGATACCAATGACCATGATGATGACGTTGACTTTGACGTCGACGTTGACTTTGAGGAGGAGGAGAAGGAGGAGGAGGAGGAGCAGGAGCAGGAGGAGGATGAGGAAGAGGATGGCGATGGCAGTGACGACAAAGATACTATCAACGACAGTAGCACGCGGCATGATAGCGATGCTAGAATGTTTAAGCTGCAATAGTTCTACTATGCTTTAGTCTACTCTTCGTTTTCCATATATAATTTGTTCTTGCATCATGTTGCATCTATGTGCAGGTGTCCTAAGTCATACGGGTACCCCTAAATCATCCATTTAAACAAATTATATATATATGTATAGTTTTAATAGATGGGATTTTCCATGAATTTCCATCAAAAAAAAAACATCGAGCTATTGGGGTACCCCATTTAAGGAAATCCCCAGAATCCCCAGGACAGCCTCCAACTTCCGGTCGAAGCAGTCCCTGGGCCTGTGGTTTGAAGCAGGCAGACAGGGTCCCAGGGTTGGGTTGGATGGAAACCGGAATGACTGGTCACATTTAGTGGATTTATCGTGGATTTTATATTACTTTTGTGGGTTTATATCACGGATTTTGTATACTTTAGTCACTTTAGATCGCTTTGAGTGGATTTTTGTGGATGTTTAAGTCATCAACCACCTAACAAATACATAAAATACAATGAAAAGGTGATTAGTGATGATAACCTATTGAGACTGTATGACAACAACAAAATGGAACAACCAAGTATTGGTAGAACCAGCTAAACTGGGGGGAAACAATACATTTGGATCTTGCTGGGTCTAGATCTCAGCCCTCATGAGTTTTCTTCTGAAGAACGGACCACAATGGACCTATGATTGGTTGGTGGTTTCAACCATGTCCAAATGCTGCTGAATTTTAAGGGAAGAGTGGAAATCATTACAATAAAGATGAGGGCCTCGATAGGGCACAATGAGTGGCGATAAGAGTGTGGCTGTTTTTTTCGATTTCTTTCGTGTTCACCTAAATTTGTCAGACTTTAAACCAGAGTCAGCTGCACTTCGGTTTTTATTCGCAAATGTCCCAGCCACTTTTGGTTCCCCGACGTGATCTTTTGTCTTGGTACTTATGACACGGGGTTGTGGCCCTCTGAGTCTATTGTAGCGTTTGATTTCAAGTCAAAGACGAGCAATGAATCCAACTTCAGGGAATTTCTCCCAGTTTGATCAAGGAAAACAATACCAGAAACCCAGTTTTTAATTGAAAACACAAGAGGTTCATCCAAGCCTACTGACAGCATGGACTGCCCGAGATCTTTCTCAATCCCAAGAGGTTCGTGACACTAAGTGAAGGTGGGCTGCTGGTTTGAATTGAGACAAGGCTGTTGTTTTACAGCTTTGTAGTGTTTCAGTGCAATACAAGATAAACTCGGTAAACTGGGACTTCCCCACGTCCAAACTGGTCCAAACTGGCCGTGGCGGAAAGACCTGCCGTTGCGATGGACGTTGTTTCACTCCATGTTTTTGTTCACCGCATTTGGGCTTGCACCGGCTTGCAGCGTAGCAACCAGAGAGTGGGGACCAGACCCGGACAAAACATGCTTAGATGTCACTAGCAGACTGGATGGAAACTGGAATTGTTGAATGTTTTAATTGTTTGTTCAATCGTTTGTTTTAAATTGTCATCATGTCGCTTTCAATGAATCTGCAGCGATCGTGAGTATCATCAATCAGCACACAGTTTTTGCTTGGGTTCCTTCGCAGATAGCGTTGGCCAGTAATCCCTTCCCCTTAGCTGAAATACACAAATAACCCCGAACGCAACCCTGGTTTGGTGCCTTATTATGGGTTGTATCCTCATGTTGCTGGTATAGCAGAACGATTTGACTCCATCTTTTGTTGGTTGGATTCTTTTTTGTCACAACAAAACATTCTCACATGCTCAATGTTTGGAACATTTACCAACATTTTAACACGACCTAAATGCGGATAGATATAGAGTACATGGAGCATATGGGATTGAGCAACTATTACCTCCATCACTTTGCACTGTTGGATCTTTTCGGCTCCAGAGAACGCTCGGGCCGAGAAAGAGTTTGCTGCACCCGGCCATGGTTCTTGGACGGAGCCCCAAGAAGAGGATCCGTGGCAAGGCCTGGGACCTGTCAGGTGACCTCCTCCGACCCCCGAAATTTGGGTGGCTGTTGGGTCTAAAAAAGTCAAGTGTGGTGGCCTCTTTTGGAAGAGTTTTTGGGCTTACCCTCTGGTAATGACTAACATAGCTATTGAAGACCATTTATAGTGGATTTTCCCATTGAAAATGGTGATTTTCCATAGTTATGTTAGTTTACCAGAGGGTAATACCAAACCTTCAAGATTTGCAATTGGTGTTTAAAAGCTCCGTGAGACACAGGCGCCGAATGCGCCGATGTTTTTTTTTGCATCTCTTTTGATACAGACTTTTTTCAACGTTTCAATCTGGGAAAAATATGCCAAAATAGTTCAATGGTACACCCGTGGCAGCAAAAGACTTTCCAGCAGGTGCCCTTATGATTTTGAATCACCAGAGGCAAACAAGACCTTCAGAAACCGACGCGTAGGGAATTCACACGTGTCATGAGAACAGAACTTATTGCCTGACAAGTAAACACATATATGATCATATATGAATAAACTTTAATAAATAAATGTCTGCATATTGCTAGTTCTTTCCTGGCAGTACATGCGTGCCACTATGGAGACTCTGCCTATGCCGAGCTCCCCGGTTCGAGGGCCGTGTTCAAATGACGGTTTTGCACCGGGCCAAGTAATGCTGTCGGCGCCGATGCCCGTTGAAACTGGTTTTTTCCCCCTATATGATATGGGTCTGATTTGGTTGGGCCCAGAGTCACGTCTCACCAGCTTGCTGCAGCGAAATCAATTATGTAGGACAAAGAAGAGAGTGTAAAGTAGAAACAGGGACCCAACGGTGCGCAAGTTCCCTACCAAGCCACTCCTGAATTCCATTTGTCAATGCAGCGCCTTCAGCACAGGTTTTCAACTATAAGAGATGGCGTAAATCACAGATAATGGTGGCCAGCAAAGTTTAGACCGCCAGGTAATTATCAGCTTCGATTTACCCTTCCAAGACGAATTCGTGCACAAACAGAAGCGTGTGTCACATTGTTTGGGCACGGGTCACACTTAACCGGGTAGTGTGGGTAGCCAAAAAGAACCAAACAATCATTCTTTGCGTTCACCCAATAGTTACATTAAGGGATTGGAGGCATCAAGAAACCACCACCCAAAGGCCCAAAGAGACCTTATCGTGAGGTTTACTCGGTTTACTTCATTTCATGACCCCATACCTCATTGTTTTGATACTAAACATGAACAAACCTCTTTGGTTTGCTTGGGCCTTGCGGGAAAAAAACAACGCACTTACACGTCGCAGGTGGCGTGTTCCACCATCCACTGGGTCCAAAAAAACAAAGATGAAATTCCTGTGAGGCGCGGGGCCCAGACATGGGTTACCCTCTGGTAAACGTTTACATAACTATGGAAAGATCCACCATGTTCAATGGGCAAATCCATTATTTCTATGGCCATTTTCAATAGCTATTTTGACATAACCAGAGGGTTATGATATCCCTGGTTTTGTGGCAACCAGTGATGGGAACAACGAGCACGCAACCACTGGACTGATGGGACAATCCAAAAGGTGACATGGGTCACAACTGCCCGGCTGGATATGATGACCCAAGTGCCCGTACCATCCTTTCTACATTTCAACGATGTTATTTCCCCTTTCCATTTGCCACGTTCGTTCCTACAGAATTTGCGTTTCCGTATGATTGTGGATTTCAGCAAACAGTTTGGAGTTTGACAGCAACTAGGAAACAACCAGAAACTGGATTCGCATGCGTGTTTGCTTCTTGCATTCGTAACTGGCATCTGTAACTGGCATTTGTTGCAGAGTGAAGTTCCAAGTTCGACCTCAGGACATGCCAGCGGCTGTTGCCCAGATTGCCGGGGCACTTGGCAAATCAAATGGAAACACAGAAGGTGAGTAGAACTTTATATCCAAATGTGGATGCACAGCTTATATGTTTATACAATTTTATACAGGTTTGACATGGTTTGACATAATCCACCATGGTGATAGCACCAATGCAGACGAAGGATGCAACCAACAAACAATCGGAGATTGTACTAAAGTATTACCCTCCGGTAAACTAACATAACTATGGACAATCACCTTTTTTCATGGGAAATTCCACTATAAATGGAAATTTTCAATAGCTATGTTAAATTACCCGAGGGTACTAAAGTGGGTTTTCTTTTGATCTCAACTTCAGAGGGCCCTCCATGGCATCATACATTGTAAAAATTGGCGTCGTTGGTTGAACTTGCAGGAACTGGCAACGGGTTGGCACTCCAGCAAGCTGAATTGATGTTTTCAGCTTTGATTCGAAACACACACAGAAAACATTTCAGGTCACTACCATATGGAATACAATAAACTCAAAAAAATCAGATTATCAGGGTGACCCCTGTCCAAGATCTCCGAGCAACAAGTTTGGGATTTTTAGGTTGTTCAAATACCCTCTGGTGAACTAACATAGCAATTGAAAATGGCCATTTATAGTGGATTTTCCCATTAAAAATGGTGATTTTCCATTGCTATGTTAGTTCACCAGAGGGTAAATTTAGTACACAATGGTTGTTTCCGCTTTTGATCATATTTCCGGGACTGCATTGTATGTGTCCAGCAACGGAGGATACCCCACCTGGATGTTTTTTTCCCATTAATTTCAGGCATGATGAAACATACCGTTTTGGATGATTCTTGCAATCTCTTCTGTCTCGGAACCACCGACACATCGCAAATATGCAGGGTTGGAGTATGTTGGTTTGCAGTACTCTGAATAGCCCTCGCTACTCTGAATAGTTTCTGGATGTGCGCAGGTATAATTTTACGCGGGGCACAACTTTCTCAACGCAGGCGCGAGCAAGCCATGGGAAACTAACCCATAGGATCCATGTATGCTATATATAGTAACATGTACCATCAATATACCCCAAATGTTAGCATATATACCATACATGGATCCTATGGGTAAGGTAAGTCATCTGGGATGGGCCAATGTCGAAACGTGAACACCGGAATAGCGTCATTTACCCCGGCTTTCAGCCCAAGAGATTCTTCCTCAACATGGCAGGTGGCTGGTGTGTTTAAATTCGTCTTGTTGAACCATTTTTGGATGTTTAGAATATTTTTTTGGGGATGTTTAGAATGTTTTTGGATGTTTTTGTTGAAACTTTACAACTTCTTAGAATATCTTAGAATGTTTTTCGTTGACAATAGTCCTTTCCAATTGCCAGTGATGGTCTTTAATTGGACCGGCCATCGCCACCTGTGATGCATGCATTCAATCCTCTTTGTTGGAAGATCTTTGGTAACCTTACAAGTGAAAGTCATTGGAGAGCACTGTTACCATGCGGCAAAGGATCTGCATGGAGGATTTTCTATTATCATATATTATCATTGTTTTCAGGCTGGTGGTTGCAATTAATTATGGTCTTATGGTTGTGTTGTTTAATTTGTTTTGCACTCCGATCTGGGATGATCCCTAATTCAATTGAGCAGGTTGGTATTCACATCGCCATCTACCCTCTGGTAATTTAACGTAGCTATTGAAAATGGCCATAGAAATAGTGGATTTTCCCATTGAAAATGGTGATTTCCATAGCTATGTAACAGTTTACCAGAGGGTACATCAACAAAAGATTTGCCGTCTGTAAAAAACGACTGGTTTCGGTGTTGGAATTTCAATATGTCAATATGGGTTTTTGTCTGAAAATTGGGTACCCACCAATCCAGTGGTGAATCATCATTATATATATAATATTACCCTCTGGTTATTTAACATAGCCATGGAAAATGGTCCATTTATGCCCATTTATAGATGGTTTACCTATTAAAAATGGTGATTTTCCATGGCTATGTTAAATAACCAGATGGTATATATATATAGTACTATATCTATATTCAGACTACGTAACGCACCGGTGGTATACCACATTTTCAGACAGACCTAAATATCACATCAAGATGGTTAGTTATTAGTTTCAACCCCTGCATCCACTATATCAAAATATCCCATTTAGTATCCCCATTGTAATAACCACAATCGTTGCTTATATTCTCAGCAACATAATCATTATCATAGGTAGATAACTTGTTTAGCTTCATTACCAGCAACATAATCATTATTCTAAGATTATCAAGAGCCCCCAGAGGGGCTATTAATTAAGATCGCCCCATTATCATTACTGTCATACCCTCTGGTAAACTAACTTAGCTATGGAAAATCACCATGTTTATTGGGAAAACTCACTATAAATGGCCATTTTCAATAGCTATGTAACAAATTACCAGAGGGTAGCCCCATTATCATTACTGTCATAATCATTATAGCCCCAGTAGCCAAATGCTCCATGGGAAGGGTCCGCCCTTTTGACGGAGGCCTTCCGGGACTGGCTCTTAACACAAAGGGCCTCCGTGAAAACAACAGACACTCGGCAGGTCTGAAAAAAAAAATACGACGACTTGGTGCTTTTAAAGTAGGATTTGATGGGATTTGAATCACTAGAAATGGTGATTTCAGCATCAAACTTGGGATTTTTCAAACTTGGGATTTTTTGAAGTCACCAATGATTGCCAGCAAAGAAGCCACGAAAAGAAAGGGCCTATTTCAGAAAAAATCAGCTCATTTCATGTTTAGGAATTTCAGTAATTTGCCAAGACCTTTGTGGAATCTGTATTGGGAGGAACATGTGTTACACAGCTATCTTGGAGCCGCTCATGTATTTGTCTCTATCCGAGCCGGGATGGTCAGAATCGACACTTCCCAGGACGATGCCAATGCCTTGCTGTCCAAGCTCTCGGAAAACCGCAGGCAGAATGTGGACATTTGCAGAGGAAAGCAGCCATTAATTTGCAATGGTTTATAGTAAGATGGTAGATATATGGGAGATACCATATATATATATTATACATATAACATCATATATGATTCTATGATAGATATGGTGGCAATGTCCATGCTAGATGGTTTACCTCTAGTTTACTGTGGTTTATGATAGATATATCCAAAATTAGATGGTCTAGTTGCCGTAGTTAAATGACTTAACTATTATTGGGACACTATAGAACTAAGATTTCTCAATGTGATTATTTGGTGGATTTAGTGATATTTGATGACACTTGGACATTAATTACCCGACATCCAAAGAGCAAATCCACCCTGGCATGGTGTGTGTTACCTGGATCTTCAGGCGATTCTCAGAGTTGTGAAGTGAAAATCAACTTGGATCGGTTCGATCCTGTGTGCTGTTTTTCTTTAGTGAGTCTCTTGTTTTCATCCAATGTCTAGAGGTTTTGGAATGGATGAGATTGGATTGCTCAACTGTCAACCAATATGTGCTTCAGCAGGATGTTGTCAAATGCTTGTGGCAATCCTTGTAGATAAATGTCGGCATCTTCACGATTTTTTTTCTGCCAGAAGACCTCACCAAACTCTGCATGTCAGCACCTGAAATCAGCCAGGCATGGGAACCAGCTGAAGCCGGCACCAGCTGCCTGGGTTCCCACTGGGATTCGTTTCGAAGACAATCAGGCGCTGGGGATGGTTGGTTCCCATAAAACTGGTGACTTGCGGATGGTGACTATGAAATTGGGTGAATCCCACATTACCCTCTGGTAAACTGTTACATAAACTATGGAAAATCACCATTTTTAATGGGAAAACTCACTATAAATGGCCATTTTCAATAGCTATGTTAAATTACCAGAGGGTAGATAAGTCGTTCACTTGAACCATGAACTCAGTGTTTCTATTTCATTGACAGGATTTAATTGAACCCTTGTTGATGAATTGCAGAGACCACTCTTAAGATGAGAAATCTATACATTGATTACTGTGATGCACTTTAGTGGTTGAAATGGAAGCCATCACGCCCATCAACCAGGGGATATAGATTTTCCCTTAAACTTATTGTATCAACATTAATTCATTGAAAACTGGTCATATTGTGATTCGCAGGTTTTAGCCCACGGAACTCTCAAGGAGACATGGCAACCATCAAACAAACTTGACATGAGTCATCATAGGTCTATGCGGTCTATGTCTCTATTTGTTGGACCCGCAAACCGGAATTGGCTAAACATTGTACGATAATCAGTATAGGGTACCCGTAAAGTAATTGCTACTAAAGATGGCCAACATGCGGAATACCCAGGGATCCAACATTTGATCCATCCCACAATCTGAACACCCCGATAAGGCCCCTATAATCCCCTATAATATATATATATATATACATACATACATATATGTATATATATATATACATACATATATATATATATCATCTCTACAGAGTGGATTTCCATTGCCAACCTGGCACTAATCGAGGACATATCATGACATATCCCTATCTCTTCCAGGCCTGTTGTCATCCACCCCCTCAGGCCGAAGCACACGTCCAAAACGTGTGTGGCTTCGAATGGAAGCCAGGACAACATCTTCCAGGGCTACCCGGCCGGGACAACCATCGGCCCATTTTTCGGACCCACCAATTTGGTATCCAAAAGTGGGTGATGTCACTGACATGTTTGGGAGCTGACAAAGAAAAATGAAATGAATGAAGCTGAGAATTTTAGATGAAATTGGCAGCAGGATTTGCCAAAAAGGATAAAAAACAAGACCAGGACCCCTGCGAGGGGTCAGTCATGTAAAAAACGCCACTGGCTGGAGCAGACAACAGCTTGGACGTAACCGTAAGCGACGCTAGTTTTCTAACATGACAGTTCCAGGTGCCCGGATCTACAGATGCAAATATGGGGATGGGTCAAAACCCTATCCCCCTGGTGAACATCAAAATAGCTGGTAAATGGATGTTCATCCCACTAAAAATGGTACTTATAGATATTGATCCATAGCCATATGAGTATGACAATATGGAATAATATGGATATATACACTGATACGCTTGTTTGCAGATGGGAATTTGTAGGACAATGACTAGCCATTGCAGAAATATTGTGTTCATAACCTGGGGTCATGCGTCAACTTTAGCAGCTGATGATAGGCACATATTCCTTAAGACTACCATGGAACCCCAGAGCTGGCAATTTCCAACCAGCATTGTCCAAGGTCCAAGCAAATGAGTTGGAACGAGTGCGCTGAGGAGTTGTGTGGTCAAGTGGTGATCATAGGTTGAACCACCCATCCAAAAGATAGAAATTATGTTTTGACGCTCAACATGCTGCGGAGTCCGTCTGTCTTGTTATATGTTTTCCTTGAATAGTGTTTGATGAGTATGTTTGGCGGTTTCACATGTGGTTTTGATTCCCGGTCCGATGGAGATGGAGGTGAAAATTAAGGATGAATGATGATGAGCTTCAATTGATTAAGCACAGTGTACAGGAAAACTGATCGAAATTGCCATTGCCATTGTGAGTTGCACCTTCAAATTTCCAGAGTGCATGCAACTGTCAACATGTGGATTCCGTTAAATATTGTCGAACCCGGATTGATACCCGTGACTATCAATTGGGGCGTTACCCTCAAAGTAGCGACATTATGCGACATGCGTTTACTATGATATAACATTGGTACCCGAGCATCCCTACTATTGACAAACTGGGGTTTATGAATCCTGGCTTAACATTACTTTGGTGCAGGGTTCATTGAAGGAATTCGCAGTTCCTACGTCCACAGGTACGGATGGGTCTACCGCTTGAAGGCTCAAGATTCTGCAAGGCGGGGAGGATCTCACCCTGCGACTTTTTTGGAGTTCTGGATATTGGATGGCGGCTCCCTGAAGGGTGATGGGTCAAATATTGTTGGTGTTTCCATGGTGTTTCCATGTTTTCCCTTTTCAAGTTGGGATTTTTAGTTGGATTTTTGTGACGATAGAAGTGTAGATTCGTAGAAAATTTGTCGCCCCATCCTTTCAACATGTACCACAATTTCACAGCTTGTCATTGTACCTGGCACTTGTACCTGGCACCTGGATTCACCTGGATGCACCTGGCACCATTCGCCAGGGGGTTGTACCAAGTGGTGCGTTCCAAAGCCTTCAAACGAGCATCGGCCCTGGTGGCCAAGAGGAGCGCGGCGTCTGCGCGGATGGGATCATCGGGATCATCAGGATCATCCCGTCCCAGTGGTTGAATGGAAGTTGTGGCGCCACGGAACACGACAACGTAGTATATCAATAGTAATAACAATAGTAATAATAATATGTAATAATATGTAATAATATAGGACTATACCAATAGTATGATGATGTATAATAGTAATAATCTTCAACATTGTTCAAGAATTTGTTTGTTGAATAGACACACCCCTTTTGAATAAACCAATATACCACGACCTGTCTGACATTCCGCATGACGCAGATGCTCTCACTCGCCAGGACCGTCACGATGGACAAGAAGACCAGCTTCAAGTCATGCTGTGTGATGGACCTCCCACCAGGCACAGGGCTAAAGTGTTGCAGAAACATGAACAAAACATGAAAAAAGAGGCAGATTTCCAAGTGGAAATTGATCTATGGTAACAGATGGCAACACATCCAAATATGGGTATGGATCAATACCTATTAATACCATTTTTAGGGGGATGAACATCCATTTACCAGCTATTTTGATGTTCACCAGGGGTACAAGGTTTTGACACACTGCCATATATTTGTATGATTTTGTATCTGAGATTTCTAGACAGGCCACAGCTTTCTTGTATAACTCGCCGAGTTTCGTCGCGACGCTGCCTTTGGCCTGGCCCCAGTCGCTGCAGACAGGTCGTTGCATCTCTGAGCCGAAATGGTCGCTGATTTACTTGCATTCATTTTCGCAGAAAGGTGCCTGGGATGGGCTGGTGGTCTTGTTTTGGTGTCTAAGCCCAAAGATTTTGGAGATTTTGAAGAGGGGAGATGAGATGCGATGGTCGAGTGATGTAAGTCGGGATGATGACTGCTCTGTATTGCTCTGTAAGGACAACTTTCAACATCATCTTTCAATTTAGCAGGATGGTACTTCTCTCCAACATCGATGTGCATGTGACATTTTTGTTTTTTTTTTTCACCAAGGAACATGTGATTGCGACTCTTCAGGCACTGAGTACCTGGACTTTCCTCATTACTTCAATGTCCCATCCTCAGCGAGCATAACTTCTGCACTTCTGGGGCACAGGATGCCCGGATAGTGGGAAAAATGATGTGCCATAGATTCGAATGACTCTTACACTGGAAGAGAAAGAATGATTCAACATCCTTGGATAGTTGGCATTATATTTAACTAAGGTATTTTAAACGCGGCCTCATGATTTTTGTTGGTTGGCGCTTAGAACTAAACCATGACAATGTGTGGTATGGCTCAAAAAGTAAGAAAATGATTGAACCAAACATGTTGGATGCTTGAAATGCAATCCTTTGCAATGTGTGCTTCCACTTGCACCCCCAAAACATGGCCGCAACTCCCCGGTTCTGAGCTCAGCGCATCCCATGGACAAAGTCATGCTGGAAGGCCAACTTAAATGGAAGATCATCCCACATTTTTTAGCCCAGTTTTCCCAGCTACAAATGTTCGCCCCAGGAAATGAAGACCTAATATGGACATGGACCTATTATGTATATATATATATATTAATAATAATAATATTAATAATAATAATATTAATAATAATAATACATATATATGATAATATATATGTATATATAATAATATATATATATAAATAATATATAATCAGGATCGATGTCAACTACTCATAGACCAGGAAGTATGTACAACTCAAATACTTTCATTTACCACTCGTAGATGTCCTTTTTCCACTCGTTGGTTGATAGAGAGTTCCCCCATTCAACAATCGTCAACAACCAATATAGGTAGATAATAACAAATACATAGTATGCCAAAACATTTGCTCTATTATTTCCTAAAAAGTCTAGCTTTTTTTTTTGTTTCCTAAGTGAGTCGCTCCAGGTATGCGGCGCCAGCCTTCGGGTGTTGATGCCAACCGCTCCCCTACTGGAGCAGCAATGTTTCAAGGCGCCGGCGACGGGCTATGGAAAGGGTGAAGCTGGGCAGGCCAGGTTGTTTGCCAACAAGAATAATAAAATATTGTAAAAAACAACAAAATTGGCAAAACAAATTGTTGGCAAAATTGGTAAAAAGTTGTTGGCAAAAGGTTGTTTGCTAAGCAACAAAATTGGGTTGCCCAATCAACACTTAAGTGTCTTTGTTGGAACTACCAAAGAGATATGAAGCAACAAACATGGGATACAACTTTTACAAACAAAGAAATGACTGACGAAAGGGTCAGTGAAGGGAGTATGATCATCCATGACTGCGAGAGGACAATGCGGCCAAATCCACCAATAGGGACAGACCAGCATAGACCAGCAATGGCCAACACCCGGAACGATCTTCGCGGATTGAGGGCTGTCCTACCATGCAACGTACAGAGATTTGCCGCGTTGGATTTGAACGACTCCACCACGCAGCCAGTAGTACTTGCCGACATTCCATACATATTTTATATATATATATAACTGCCGGACTGGGCTCAATCAGAATCATACGGATATGTCTATGACAGGAATTTCCTTCTCACCCAACAGTTTATACAGTTTGGGCAAGATCTGGGTGCTTTTTGAACTTGGGTAGCTCAATACCCTGCCCGGCTCCCAGGCAAACGTTGTTTCTAGTTTGAAAGGAGTAGCCCATGGACTCTGACCATCGTGATCCAGTTGTATATGTATATATTTGTATATGATTTATGCTGAAGAAACTGAGAATTGATCTTAGTCTGTAGAAGTAATGACCCTCAAAAATGATATCTGCTGGGTAACATCGATAGAACCGAGGCACGAGTATCTTCGAAGGATTTGGGTATGGGAATTATTGCCCCCCCAAAGATTGGATGCTCAACACTAAATACATACTATACCTGGTTGGTGGTTTGGAACATGTTTTTCCATATATTGGGAATAATCATCCCAACTGACTAACTCATATTTTTCAGAGGGGTAGGTCAACCACCAACCAGATTATTATTAACCATCATTAACCATATATTAACCATATAATAACCATATAATAACCATATAATAACCATATATTAACCATATATTAACCATATAATATTAACCATATATTAACCATTATTATACCACCAACCAGATATATTATTCATTAGATCAGGTATTAATCACTATGAATCACTATTAACCACTATTAACCACTATTAATCAACCATGGTTTATTTCACACTAAAAAAAGTGTCAAGAGCTGAGAGTTTGGATCGACAGATCTGCGCAGTCCCGGCGCAGTGCCGCAGGACTGGTACGTTTGGCGTGGTGGACACCTCGGCTGGTGGGGCAGCCCAGCCACTGGTAATTTGACGTATATATATATATATATACAATATATATATACATTAATCTATATATCCCAGGCCTTCCAAAGGCCAGGTTAAACTTGGCCCTTGCACAAACAGCCGGCCGTTACCTAAAGACCATCGAAAACCCATGGTATTTATTTATATAAATTTACATAATGGTCATGTTGATCTTGGGAATCTTGGGATATATGTGTACACACATTAATCTATCTATCTATATATATATATATTGAAAATGGTGACTTATAGAATTACCCGCAGCACGTCCGCTACGCCCACCAGGTACTTGTTTTTGCAGGGTTTCTTTAGGGTTCATTTAGGGTTTCTTTAGGGTTAATTTAGGGTTTTTCCTAGGTTTTTGGTAGGTTTTCTTTAGGGTTTATGTAAAAAGTGTTGATAACAGCGATTGGGGTACAGCCGAAACCCCGCAGAGGCTCATCAATCACGTCCCGCACGAAGCGACACGAGGGACATCATGTTATAACATCTTAACATAGTGGAAGGCCACAAAGTACTGTAAGGGTCAGCAAAAATGAGGTTCCCGACAATCATCCCAAAAGAGTTGCGGGCAGCACAAGTGCTGGCCATAGAATTAGATATTAGATGATGGTGATTTATCATTAGATCATATATAGATAATATGTAAAGTGATTTATTATCATGTGACGGTGATGTTGCCATTCGAAATGGTGATTGTCCATAGCAAACTGTCAAATTACCAGAGGGTATACATCTCAAGGAGTCAAAATTGGGTGTGTCCTTCCCAGAATTGATTTATCGACAGGAAAATCTGCAAGAAACTGTCCAATATTTCAAGGTAAAATTCATTTCGTCCTCCATATCTTTTCCCCTAGACCAATCGATTGATTCCAGGCATAGCTGTCATAGTTTGGATACGATCCTGGAATTATTAGCAAACAATATTGCAATCAGCATTTGTACAGAAATAAGATGAACGTATCTTGAATCATTCATACTTCGATCCATCGGCTGGGGACTTGGGTTGATTCCTACAAGCATCAACGCCCTTTCATGCCATTGCATGTTCCATCCGTCACGGCTGGCTTCTTTTGATTCATGGAATAACAGTTTGCACTCGCAGTCCATCATTCCCAGGGCTGGAAAACATCTAAGCAGTGTGGTTTCTTGCAGATGTTCCCTCAAACCAATCCACTGTTGATGTTTTTGTTTGCAGTGAGAGTCATGGCTATACTTGCTGCTCGCAGCAATATCCCGAGGCGCCGCATTAAGTTCAACGCCTGGTTCGACTACGTCACAGACAAGGCTACGCAAACACATCGGGACAAGACCGTGCAAAATGGATTTCGAACTGACGATGGCAAACATCCGTAGGTTGGTAAATCCATTTCTGCTTTGATGTTGATATGGGTATGGATCAATACCTATTAATACCATTTTTAGGGGAATGAACATCCATTTACCAGCTATTTTGATGTTCACCAGGGGTACAAGGTTTTGACACACTGCCATATAACTGTTTAACCGAAGCCAACTTTGGAATACAACAGTCACTTAAGTTGCCAACGTTGCGCGGCTGACGTGCCGCAGGGCGGAGCGGCTGAAAATCAAATCTGTGAAGACAGCTGGGGCCTCGATGACCTCATTTTCACCAATGGCAGCTGGACCCTTTCCAAAGGGGCTTGGTCTTAAGGGACACTGAAAAAACCAGTCCCGTCTTCTGTTTGAAGACGACAACGAGAGGCAGTGCTTTAATTGGAACATGTGAGACAGTGGTAAAGATCCTCAGAATCAATGGTCATAGTGGAAAGTTACACGCATATTTTAGTATAGAATCTAGAAGATCAAGATCCATCTGAACCTTTTCGCAGAGTGTTCATTTGCGTATTTCCCATAGGATCCATGTATGGTATACAGTATATGCTAACATTTGGGGTATATTGATGGGATCCATGTTACCATAGATAGCAGCACCATGGATCCTATGGGTTTTGAGTAGTGACAGATAGTGACAGTTTTTACTCGTATTCAGTCGAAAGGAACGATCGTACCCTGTTGGAACTTGCTGCTTGCCCTCAAATTGCCGCCAGAAAAGTGCAGCAGATTATCAGGCCGAGTGTGTTTCTTTGTAGAAGAGAAGTTTTTTGCAGTCCCTGGTCACAGAGAAAGTTGCCATTCTGAAATTTGTTTGACATGTTTGACAGAAATCAACCAATTAAAGATTACATAGAAACCGATGTGCCTTTTTTCACACGTGAAATAGATTGAAATAGAAGAAAGCTGCAAAGACTCTTCATGTCACTGCTCAGTCAAATGAGGCTTGCTTGCGATTCGCGAGAAATTGCATAAGCTCATCAGACATGAGGCCAGCTCAGAGGTTTGGAATATGTAGGCGTTTGGAATTGCCGAAAGAAATGAGAAGTAGCTTCATTGTCGCGGCGAGCAAATGCCTAAAAAGAAAAACAATGGGAACATGACACTTTAAAACAGTCTCTATTTTATATATGACAATATATAACGATAGAAGCATACTGTACGGGACTGAAGCAGGGGTGGGGGTGAAATTAGCAAGAGATCAGTCAGAACGGTAAGAGTTCAAAGTATGATGAGCATTGTTGATCCAATCAACGTTTGCGTAAAAGTCACATGTGTAGTCAATTTGATTTGTTCAGGATGTGACCCTCTATGTTACAATATCTTGCATCATCTTGCATCTAGAATGCATAAAACGCATCATCCATATATGATCTCTATATATATATAATGTTTGTCTTTGATTTAACAATAGGGCCCCCCCCCTCTCTGACCCTAAATAGACTTAAAGCCACCATAAAACTTGTTTGTAAGTAAAGGTTTTAAATTACCACAATTGAAAACGAATACATAAAATGCAATTTTTTAAAAAAAAGGAATCCAGCAATTGTTTTAGTATTGATCTAGTACTCATGTCATGGATTTAGTATTGATTTAGTATTCATGTCATGGATTTAGTATTAATTTAGTATTCATGTCATGGATTCAGTATTGATTTAGTATTCATGTCATGAATTTAGTATTGATTTAGTATTCATGTCATGGATTTAGTATTGATCTCGTATTCATGTCATGGATTCAGTATTGATCTAGTATTCATGTCATGGATCTGGGCAAATCTGGGTTTAGGGCCAAAAACAATTAGCTTTATTCAGGGTCAAACTCTAATTAGTGCCAAGGCACCTCATGGGGGGGTACCCTTGACGAGTTGATTTGGGATTGATTTTGGATAATTTTGAATAAAGGTTTCGAATAGAAAAGAGCAACCATTATTTTTGAAAATTTGAAGTTATCAAGGTAAGATCTAATGAGCTGGCAATATGAATTAGTACATGAAAGCCACCTCAAATAAAGCATGGAAAAAAAAAAATCAGCCCCATCTGGGCAAATCTTTTAGGGCCAAAAAAATTTAGCTTTATTTAGGGGGCATTTATTATTTATTTTGGGAAAAATTTAGCTTTATTCAGGGGGCATTTACAAATCAGAACTAAACATTATATACACGTGTTTTCAATACACTCTTTTATTAAATGTGTATATATATATATACATATGATATGTGTATTTTTCTATGCTATACAGTTCTACATGCATTGTCCATGTCTAAAATGTGCACGGAAGGTCCATCGAGTTGGCGATCCCCGCCGCGTCATCGTGGGCGGCCAATCCCAGGGTTGCTGCGTGACTTTGGCAGGAAAGCAATAAACCCATGACGGATCCGGCTGGTGCTGGTACCCTCTGGGAAACCATAGGAAAACCATAGGAAAATGGTGGTTTAATGGGATTTAATGGGATATAACCTCTGGTAAACTAACAAAAAGCTATTGAAAATGGCCATGGAAATAGATATTTATAGTGGATTTTCCCATTAATAGCATGGTGGATCTTTCCATAGCTATGTAACAAATTCTTAGAGGGTATATATGCTAACATGACTGGGGTTTTTGTTGATGGGATCCATGTTACCATATATAGCAGCACCATGGATCCGTCATGGGATTGGATGTTTCTTGGGTGATGAAAGTTGGGCTACCCAAAATGGGCAATGTGGTAAACCCAACAATAAATCATCCCTAATACTACTATAAATGGGTTGTAAAACCCATCTATGTTCAAAATTGTTGCTCCCCTACAACTTGGACATTTTAAGCACCAAACATGGAGAATGAGTGCGAATCTCCAGCAAATTGGGAGCTCAAGTTTTGGCTCAGCATTGCCACAAGAGAAAGAAAATTGATCCTTCCATGCTGGAGATGTTTCTTGATTTTGTAATTTGATTATCAAACATCCATTTTTTCAGGCATTTTTTTGCGGGCGGGTTGATAAATTAAAGTCACGGCACGTTAAAAAAAGCCCGGGGACATCAACCAAAATATCCACCAATGGGTGATATTTTAAGCGGCAACAATTCAAAGGATGAGGGCGTGTTTTTTTTCTGAACCCTCCATGTATAAAGGGTATAAAGAATCTGTTTTACACATCTATGAATCTATTTTCTCATGTTTATCTTCCGTGCTTTTCCCTAGCCACTGCAGGGTCATCTTACAGGGCGCCAGACAACTGCTCGCTTCACCCAGGCTGCATTGGATGCGACCTTAACCTTTGAACAGGACAGGCCTGTGCTACCCCCAGACAGGTCCACCGCATAGCACCACATCTTGGCAGAGGAATTGGATAATTTCAAACACCAAAAAACACGCATATCATGTTGGTGTCAAATTAAGTTTTAACATGTTGACCTTTGGATGCCGATTTAGCATCCAGAACTTGGCAAATAATGTTAACAAACAGTGGCAAGCAACAAATTACTCTGCAGCAGAAGGATAGATAAAGGGTTTTCACATTGACAAACATTGCATCCAACAGATTAACACTGTCCAAAAATAGGATCATTATACCAAAGTTCGATGCAAAAAACATGTGCTTTGGTAGACATACCCAAAGTCTGATTGCATTACTCATTATAACATATATATTATTGCAACCAAAATTGTACCAAAAATTGGTAATTACGGGTAATTATCATGTGCTTTTCGCTCTAATTTCGGGTTATAACACTGCGCAACTGGCCCCCTCGCAGCAAAAACTGGCTCGACTGGCCGCTGCAGCGACAGCGCGTCCCGCCCGGAATTTTGGTCTTCCGTTGTGTGACAGGTCCACCACCGGGCACCGGGTTCAGTGAGATTTTGCTGGGGAAATAGTGAGAAAACTGACTGGATGACACTTTAGTACTTCAATGTGCCTTAATGTACTTTAATATTCTTCATTCATCTTCATTCGTTGCTATTTTTAGATATGGACCTGCATTTCACACCCAAGCCGCGATTTTTTTTGGGCTATCTACGATTCGTAAGATTGGTAGATGAACCCATCCCACATGGATGGGCATGTTGGTGATAAAACATGATTGAAGCAACAAAACATGATTGATTGATATAAATTGTATTGTCAAGATATGGGTATGGGTCAATACCTATAGATATTTTTTTAGTGGGATGAACATCCATTTACCAGCTATTTTGGGGTTCACTAGGTACCAGGGTTTTGACCCATCCCCATATGTTGAACGTGGGATGGCTTGATAGGATTAATCAAAAAAAACGCAAAAAAAAACTCGCATGGTTTCTTCGGGGACCTGGTGTCTTCACGGATTTGATGATGGGTTGTGCGCCAGACTCACGTGCTGAAGGAGCCATGTTTGTTGGCTTCTACATACCGAGGGGAGACGGTCATCAGTCCATTAATATATGTTATACCCATAGGATCCATGTATGGTATATATGCTAACATTTGGGGTATATTATATTGATGGTAAATATTACCATATATAGCATACATGGATCCTATGGGACATACAAATACAAGCATATACATATATACGAACCCATTATAACGAAACCCTAATGATGGTGGGATGACCACACCCCATATATCATGTAACCTGACCATGACACAAATCTTTAGAAATGTTCTCCGAAGTGGTGACCCCAAGCACCACCAGATCTAGTGAAAAGGGGGAAACTGGATCCAGATTGGTTTATTCATGCATAATGTCGAACTTAAATCCGACACAATCAATCAGAGGATGGTATGTTGTGCATTGACAGAATTTGCCGAGCCTGCTGTCAGGCACACTCGTTCACGCGAACCATCATGGCACCAGCATGGAAGCCGCAACACAAGTCCCAGTGGAACGACTGGTCCAAATGGAATGACGGGTCCAAGTGGAACGAAAGGTCCCAGTGGGACGAAAGGTCCCAGTGGAATGAAAGGTCCCAGTGGAACGAAAGGTCTCACCGGAACGAAAAATCCGAATGGTATGGCTACAGCAGTCGCAACCTTGCTGCAAGCATTTGTGTGTGTGTGTGTTGTGCCAAGTAAGGATAATGAAAGAGGGGATGCACATTGTTTTTTTTTGTGTGTTCATGAGGAATACGACTTTTGCGGGAGCTTTTCATCGTTTGTCAAGAACACAAGGAAGGTTAGAAATTAATGTGAAAATCAGTTTGATCATCTTGGAGTAATTTGGAGTCAATTCAAATGTGTTGTTTCTCTCTTTCCTGGTGGGGGTCATGATGAAAAGACATGACAAACGATTTTCATTATCGGAACCTCCAACTACTCCTTTCAGCAGCAAGCGGAATCCGAACCTCATGGGTTTGAGTGAGAATTGATTCCTCCAAACAAAACGCGGATCAGTAACTGCAGAAATGAAGGAACATGACTTCACAGCCTTAAATTTATGGCAAACGGGGTATCCCTTAGTCTTAAATTCAACCCATACTCATGCATTTGATGGCTACCCCCTGGTCGCGAGATATCAACAATGTTCAACAACAAATGGACGCTGATTTTGATCGAACCCTTGAACCACATCCCTCACCTGCAAAATTCATCGGACCCGGCATTTGGCAGATGATACTCGTAGTACCCGCCAGTAATCAAACATGGCAATGGAAAATACCCTTTATAGAAATGATGGTTGTAACGGGAAAATCATTCGTAAATGATGGATTTTCCGTTGCCACGTTTGATTGCCGAGGGTACAGTACCCGTATATACCAGATACACATCCAGAATCCATATATAGACCAAGCAGTCATAATCGAGACAATTGATTATCCTTTTTCTGCCTAGATTCAATTTGATTTAAGAAAGTGGACAGTCTTCAACATGGCGATGTTGTTTTTCTCAATGCAGACGCTAGTAGGGGACGCATTTCACTTTGAACAAAACGGTTTCTTTATCCTCCGCTGGACAACCACAGTCTTGTGCTTGTGATAGAATGTTGCAAATGTATCAAGGCTTCAGCAAGACTTGGTTACTTCTATTATCATTTTTTTGAAAATTTGGGTGATCAGGTGACAGGTTAGAGTCACGGCTGGTTGGTGGTTTCAATATGTTTCAATCACGTTATTTTGATCATCTATCCTGGGGATGATGATCCAAATCAAAGGGTTGCGTTTGTCCGAAGTAGTGCTGGTAGAACGATAGAGGATGATAATGGGAAACAAATGAGAAAACAACATCAAGACCAAAACAAGTCATTGATAACAACAAGGTGTTGCTTATTAGCACATCCTCATACTTCGCCAGATGATTGGTGGAAAACCAAGGGGAAAGCAGCTTTTTGGGGGCCAGCATGCGAAACTTCATGAACATGGCAGGATTCCATCACCCATAGGATCCATGTATGCTATATATATGGTAACATGGATCCCATCAATATACCCCAGTCATGTTAGCATATATACCAGCACCATGGATCCTATGGGTCATGATCCAGCACAAGGTTGCAACATTGTTTGGACCAAACAATTTTCCCTTCAGTTTCCCACGCTTCCAAGATCCAGTGCCCTGGCAATGGCATGACATCGCTTATACCATCTTCAGCAAAAGCGACGAATAAACCTTGGAAATAGAAGGAGCCCTGATCCATGTTTTGTTCGTATTTTTTCGCATACATATATATATATATGATATTTATATGATTATATATATATATATACATATATATATATATATATTTTTATATATATATATATATATATACACATGTACTACATACCACATCATACCACCAATATATATGTAAAGCAGCCCATTGAAGCATATCATTCCCGACATTTTGGGTTGTGCAAAGGCTTCCGTCAGCACCGCAACCAAGGCAATACTTGGAAGTCGGAGTCAGCCGAGGACTCGTCGAAGCTTGCAGCGAAGGACGAGGATGCGACCCTTGGTTCGGAAGTTGCGCACTGCGGTGGCGGGTGTGGGTTTGCTGGGGAATTTGCCAAGCAAAAAAGCAGGAAGATTGAAATGGGAACAAGTGAGATTTCACGAATTAAAATATGGGATCCATATAGGTTCAAGCTGAGAACATGTAGATTGATGATTTGACAACAAGCATAAGGAGTTCAGCAGCAAGAAGGATATTTAATCAATATCAATTAGCTTTAGCATCTGGTCATGGGGGTTCATTCATGCAATGATAAACCACGCGTTTAATGTAGAGTAAGTGTAAGAGGTAAACCATGCTAAAACCGTGCAAATTGAGAAGTTTGGCACGGCACGGTTTATGACTTTTCGACAAATTTACCCTGGAAATGGTAGTTCCGACCTGACTGAAAATAGCAAATATCCTAATTATTTGCTATATATATATATCCATTTGTTTCATGTTTTTTCCATGGTGCGATTCATTCCCAGGCGATACTTGGGCAGATGAAATGGTATGGCTACTCATGGTTTGTCTTTGAGAAAAAGCAAGACCTGAAACCACAAGAAATAGGTTCAACATAATCCATGCAGTATCACATGTTTGTAGGCTCTGGCATAACATACATATCTTCTTTTGGGTGGATCTCGCTATGTGGTGATTTTTGTGATCATGGCATATATACCCTCTGGTTATTTCACATAGCCATGGTATAGCTGGCCCATAGAAATAGATGGTTTACCGAACTTGAAAATGGGTGGATCTTTCCATGGCTATGTTAGTCATAACCAGAGGGTAACTATCATTATATAACTATCATTTATATAACTATCATTTATATAACTATCATTTATATATCTATCATTTATATAACTATAGATGTTTGTAACATTTTATAACTATTATTATATAGCTATCATTATAGATGTGAATATTTCATGATAATGTCAATGTGTGTTTTTTTATGATTCACCGATGGGATTAAATCAGCAGAAAGCCATGAATCCAATACACCTATCCAATAGCATTTTGCTGGTTGGCACATAGTATCCCTGTGAAATGGCTTGTAATTATCCCAAATAAACCAAACAGAAAACTTCAAGGGTATGTTTACGTTTGTCTGAGAATGATCATACCCCAATTTCTGGAAAATGTTCACGGAACAAATGATGATAGACCGTAGAACGCATTTTCAGACACATCCGTTTAATGACATGGTTTTTGAACAAGTGTGATCATTGAATCTCCATTGTGGTTGCTTACAGATCTTATGATATCGAGTCATATTGGATTTACCCCACCAGAAATGGGACTTAATCCACCAAATCCTAAGAAAAGGTTTGGTAATGGCATCCCTATTTTTTGATGGTATAAATTATGTATATCAATTCCCATGTTGGTTGGTTAAATCCTTTGATATCAAGTTACCCTCTGGTAATTTAACATAGCTATTGAAAATTGAAAATGGCCATTTATAGTTCATTTTCCCATTAAAAACGGTGATTTTCCATAGTTATGTTAGTTTACCAGAGGGTAAATCCTATGATATCAAGTTAACAACATCCGATGTTTTGATGCTTGGATGGTTAAACAGCGCCGGATGCCTTGGAGCCATCCGACAGACCAGGACGCTTTGTCTGTCGGAAGAAGAGCTGCTGGTGGCTGTGCAGGCCGCTGTTATCTCGTGGATATCCAGGGAGGACAGGACAGGACCCTCTGGTTATTTAACATAGCCATGGTATAGATGGCCCATTTATAGATGGTTTACCTATTAGAAATGGTGATTTTCCATGGCGAACTGTTAGTCATAACCAGATGCTATCCGACAACAAGATTTAAGCCACACAAATGAGGAGTCTCAGTAACAGGCATGGGGATGCATGGGGAATTTAGAGAAAAACACTTCGCATTTACTCGCTGTCACCAGCAGGATCTATCCATTGTTCGTGGGGCTAACCTGGTGGATATGAATGAACATATTTTCCAATGACAATGCTCATTGAATGCATCCCTTCTTGCCATATCTTGCCATGTTGGTTTGCGAGAGCAGGTGTTTTTTTGGTGGTTGGTGTGTGTATCGTACCCGGTTGCCACAAACAGGAATGTTGCCAACAGTCATTGGCGTACAACAATCAGTATGCAATGTACAAAATCGGGAAATGAAACCCTTGTTTGAACCATTCACTAGACAGGTGCTGTATGTTTGCTAAAATGATGGTTTGGACATGGCTGATATGGTTCAATCAATTCTCCTACGGTTTGTGTCTTCGTATCCAACTTCTGCAGGCGTGCTACCATCAGGAAGTCTATCCACAAGATGCTGCTCGTTTTAAAGACATGACATGGGATTATTCTTTCCCTAAGGATCCATGGTGCTGGAATATTTACCTACATTGGGATTATTTTAAATTACTTTAGGGGTCATTTTTAGGGTAAATATTCCAGCACCATGGATCCTCTGGCTTTGAGACAAAATTACACCCAAAAAAACAGACGAGAAGAACCGATGTTTGGAGGAACACAGTGTTCCAACTGCCTACCCTCTGATTAACTAACATAGCAATGGAAAATCACTATTTTTTAATGGGAAAATCCACTATAAATGGCAATTTTCAATTGCTATGTTAGTTTACCAGAGGGTATTTGGCAGAGTCCATGTTTCTTCGGGTGTGAGTTGTTGTTTTGTTTGCCTGTCGTAACATGCGCTTGGTGATTCCAATCCCTCGTGCTCAATCCTGTATGAATGGATCATTGCGCGGGAAGTCACAGAGTCACTCAAAGAGAATGGCAGCGAGGGCCCTGAAGATAGTGTTTGCTCTTCTCTGGTTTTTTTGGATTTGTTTCTTGTGTGTGTGTGGGCGGTTCACAGCTACCAGAAGGCCAAAAATACAGCTGGGGGCGCTGGGAGGAACTTTTCAGAGTGAATTCCGGCAGATCCAGAATCATCATAATCCAGACGTATCGTTTCCCGAGAAGAAAAACATACGTGCCAAACATTGCCAAAGCCATGTGTTTTTTGTTGTTTTTTGTTGCCCAGAGATTGGATCCCAACTCCTCTTGCCACATGGCCGTACAGCTTTAGGTGCTTCTTCTTTGGATGCTGCCTGAATCTCAGGGAGACCCATTAGAATCGTCATCGTTAAACCCTCCCGAAATGGATCAAAATGAATCAAAATGGGACATACTGTATCAATTCTTCTCAACTCAGGGCAACTTAGAACCAAATCACACCAATTCACACCAGCTGCTTTGGTGCTTCAAGTGCCATTATGTCATTCTGGGCAAGGGGAGAAGCCTTCGGCAAGAGACCTGCAATCGATCCACACAAATCCTGCTGATGTCAAGATAAATTCAACGTTCACTTGAATGTTGGCATTCCTTGCAGGTTCTCAGACTTACCATATAGAGTTTCCCTGCGTTTCCCTCCCTTTGTTTGCATTGTTTGCATCAAATTGATGTTGTTCATGGCAGCCTTTCAACTGCATGCTGAGGAAAGGTTACAAGAAGGTTGGCTTGGAGGACCAGCGTGTTCTGGCGATATTGTTTCAGCCATTTGAAATGAGGCGCCACAATTTTCCGGACGCAGTTTTGAGTTTGTCCGAGCCAGTGATATGTTTTTTCTCTGTGATCGTGAGTTTCCCAACACCATATCAATATTTTATATGGAGGTTTACTAAAATGCGGATACCCCATTGATCATCATTGATCATCCATGTCATTTCTGATTTTTCCATGAAATCGACCATTCAGAAATTTGTGGATCCCCCCGTTTTTTCAGACTCCGGTCCTGCCAGGAGATCCAACGTGTGGCGGAGGCGAGCTGCGGACTACAGGTGGGAAGCAGATTTTTAAGCGATGATCTAAGGCGATAGCCCGCCCAAAGACACCACCAACAGGGATTCATAATATGGCTATGAGTCAAAACCCTTGTACCCGGATGGTACCCTAAGTTGGTTTATGGATGTTTATTCCCCCAAAACATGGTAATACTATAGGTTTTGACCCATCCCCATATGATTTCAGAAATCTTCCATCTCGGGTTGGTGGCAGGTCTCCCCCCAAAAAAAAAGGTGTATAGAATGCCTTGTGATCTTCCATGCGATCCTCATGGTGCTTTCTTTGCTGCCTGGACCCAGGTGGAGTATTCGGCTACCTCCAAGTGCCTCGGCCCATTGAGACAGTTGCTAGTGATTCCCATACCCATAGGATCCATGTATACTATATATGGTAACATTTACCATCAATATACCCCAAATGTTAGCATATATACCATACATGGATCCTATGGGATAGGATTCCTGGATTGGATGCAGCCACCGGGCCACCGGCGCTCTCAGGAAAGGCTTCGCTGTCTTGATGGAGATGCCTCCTTTGGGCTTTTCGGGCTTCGCAGACGATGCCGCAGAGCACGTGTGGGCCTTCGATTCGATACCAGTGCTGATCACGAGCTCAAGAGAACTGACCAGAACCATGCAGAATCGATGGATTTTTAGGGGACTATCAAAAACTATTTGAACCATGTTGAAACATGTTGAAACTAGTTTAACTTAGAGCGGTGCATTGGTCGGTACGTTGCCTTTCGGGGGGGATCTTGGACCATTTTTCCAACCAGGTACCTCTGTCATTGGTGGAACAAGCTGCCATGATGGTGTTACGGGCCTCAAGTCGTGGTACCGCACAAAATGCATCATTTGAACATATCTGCAGTGAGAGTTGGGGGGTTCTTAAGTCATGGGAGATCGCCAAGGCCAAGTCACCATGTTTGTTTCACTACTAATTAAAATGTTCAAATGACTGGGAGTACCATGGGGTACCCCGATGACTTGGGAAACCTCCAGTTGAAACTGCAGAAAAATATGCAAATCCCATCACCATCCATCACCCCCCGCAACAAGCCAAGGGGTAGTCGTATCGGCCTGGCGGAGGTTGCTTGGCGGATGGCCCATCCCAGAGCAAACGAATCACGATCGGATCTCCATTGCGGCCAGAGCCTCAAAGAACCTCAGAGAGCTCATATATAGTAGCAACAATAATAATAGTTATTATCACAATGATAATAATATTTTTGAATATATATATATATAATAATAATAATAATTAATAATAATAATAAATAATAATAATGGCATACTGCAGCATACTAATGAGATTGTAATGAGATAGTGCTGGGACATTCATGGGATAAATTCATGGCAAATTCATGGGATATTAAGGATACCCTCTGGTAAACTAACATAACTATGGAAAATCACCATGTTTTTTATGGGAAAACTCACTATAAATGGCCATTTTCAATAGCTATGTTAGTTTACCCGAGGTTATATCCCATTAAATCCCATTAAACCACCATTTTCCTATGGTTTTCCTATGGTTTTTCTTGGGACAATACAATGGACAATACAATGATCATACTGTGATAATGGGATATGCCCTTTGGTATTCAAATGTGGCTGGAAAGTGTGCGAACTAAACGGAGGTTTATAGCTGGGAAAATCATTGAATTGAGCAAAACGGAGGGTATATGATATTGATATATATATATTATATATATATTGATATATTGGTGTATATATATATATTGATATATTGGTGTATATATATATATACATTGATATTGTATTTAAGTAACCCCAAAAAGATAAATCAAGCTCAAATTATCACTCGCTTAGATTCGGATTTTTTTTTATGTTAGTAGACCCTGGCGGCAAGGGACAGTACCCAAGAGTTGGATGTAACATGATGTAACACAGATAGGAAGAGGAAAAGGCATAGGGTGGTTGACAAAAAACACATCAGAATGTGTTATTACATTATGGAACATGCATAAGTTATATTCGTCTCAACCGACATATCCTTGCATTTGAAGCAGGTGAATCCATGCGGCCCTCGCCCGGCAATCCATGCTATAGATTTGCAACGGACGCCTACAGAGAAACACTGAAAGTACCTAAGGTGTTGTGGAGTGGTGTCCTTAAAACTGTGGCATCGAATCTATAATAATCATTCAGGGGCATAAAATTGATCCATTCATATATATATATATAAAGATCTTGAAAATTATCCGGTGCATTTGGTAGATTACATCCCCATTTTTTATATAAATAGATGATCATATGGAAAGATCAATTTGAAACATATAAAGCACCGTCAAAAAAAAAAAAACATCTTTCAAAACCACCACTTAGCACATGTTGCTAACCATTCCTTGTAGCTTTGATCACCATGTTTTCCATGGTGTTTCCCTTTTTCCATATGTTTTCCATATGTTTTCCCTATGTTTTCGTCCACCCTTTCACATTTTTCCCACAGCTTCCACGGATCGCTCCAGGCCTGGCTCCACAGCAGCGAGGTGCTGCAGCATTTGACGCTGGGCAAATGCCTGGCCTTGGTGAATCTGTTGCTGGCCAGCTGGGGAGACCCGGAGGTATCCGGAGGTCCCGGACACCGGAGCCATGGAGTGATGAGGTGACCATTGATGGAATTATTATTGGCACTCAGCTTTTTTTGAATATTGGGGTTACTTAAATTTTAAATACATTGAATCAATGGATATAATGGACATGGATATAATTCATTATAATTATAATTCCATATTGATGTTTATTGGGGTGTTTGGTGCTTGCCTCAGTTATATTAGTGGAATGATTAGTGGAATTATATCATGATTCGATGGTGAGATACTAATGATGGTTATAAGTTATATCATAGATTATATGGGATGATATGGGATAATATACGAGATAAATGGATAGTGACTATCCCAAAAGAATAGATAGGGCTGACTATCCCCAAATTCAGCCCAACATGTCAGGTGAGTGCTGTATTCGGGGAGAGTGATGAGATTTTCAGTGTTTGTTTTTGGATTTGCGAAGAGCGGTATCTCCAAATAATCATCTAACATTGTTTAGGGTAACCATCTATTTTTGGATGATGATGAAACATATAACTATGGGATACCAATGATGGTTATATCATGGTTATATTATGGGATACAAGATCCCTAGCTGGATATTTCGATGATATTATAGGTTTCCACTGGTGATGTAGGAGGATAGAATGAGATGACTCCTCCTCACCCAGGCCACAGCGTCTTGGGGAAGAGAGCGGGGCGATTGGTGCCGTATTTCCAATCTGAGGTCAGTGGTAGTCCACGGCGGTTTCGGTATATGGGGAACCAATGGAGGGGGATGAGCGAAAATCCAGAGATGAACCATGAAATATTGATGACATACGCTGAAATACGCTGAAATAATGAAACATAGGGAATATGCAAAATATGCTGGGATAACATGATGGAATATGATGTCCAATGATAGCCATGTCCCCGAACATAGCGAAACATCATCAGTGTCATCACTTGATCCAATGATATCGTTAAAACCCAATGAATTTTAGGTATAACCCAATGATGTCATTGGGATCAGTGGTTATAACCCAATGATTTTTAAGGCGACGTTATCCTGGTCACAGGATATCCCGAGATTTTTTTTCGATGGGTTTTGAACCTGGGAGATGTACACTTTTTCAAGGTCGATGGGCCCAGCAGCAACGAAATCAGTAGCAGCGGACATGTAGCATTTTTTGCATGCTCCAAATTCACCAGATCATGTTTTACCCTCCGGCAATTAATCAGACATAGGATTCCGAGATCCCTTTATCAAAAAAAAGAAGACGTTTTTTTTGTTTCATTCATCTAACATGTTCGAACCGGGTGGTTTTGCAGCCATGGAGCTGATTGCCGGATTGTGACCTTCATTGATAGAATATTGACCTGGTTGGTGGTGACTGGATGACTGGAACATGTTTTAGAATTTCCCATATATTGGGAATAAATGGAATAATAATCCCAACTGACGAACTCATATTTTTCAGAGGGGTGGCTCAACCACCAACCAGTATGACATGTCCATTGGAGAAAAAAACACACTCAGTTCATCTCAGTTCCCCTTCAGTTCGACCTTCCGCCAGGAGTATGAGAAACAAGAAAATGCCCGGCGAACGTGTCCCACAGGATTGCGTGAAGATGAAGTAGATGCCTCAGGTGAATCCTGCATACGTCTGGATCATCTCGACCTGGACCCAGTGACCCAAGTGGCACTTGCTGCATGTTGAAAGATTGATACATATTGGGAATAATCATCCCAACTGACTAATATTTTTGAGAGGGGTTGAAACCACCAACCAGATTAGTTTGTGGTATGTTGTAGGAGTTCTGACCTCACTGAGAATCCGAGGGCGTGACCTTTGAAAGTTGTTTTCATTTTCAGGACAGAAAATGGCTCTTTGAGCCAAGGTGAATCCAAGCAACATGTGGTACCCTCTGGTAATTTAACATAGCTATTGAAAATGGCCATTTATAGTGGATTTACCCATTAAAAATGGGGATTTTCCATAGCTATGTTAAATTACCAGAGGGTATAAAAACCAGTAAACACCATATTTTCGACAGTAAAATCCGGAAATCCCAGGGGGTTCGAACCATGTCCAGATGGCTCATCGACTGGTCGGTTCAATGATTGTGTTTAAATTTGGCAAAATGAGGATAAACATCGGCTAATGTTTTAGTGCTTTATGTGTTTTTGTTCGTTCCATCTCTTTAAGTGGGTTTTAACATGTTTGAACCACCAAGCAGTAAAAATCCATTAAACTCCAGTACTCCAGCATATATAATCATATGTAAATATTTTTTTTTTCAGCGTTTTAGACGATTGGCAGAATGTGTTGCAATTAAGCCATCTGGCAACAGCTGTGTTGGCCAATGATTTTGGACCCTTTTTTTGGCTCAGGTCTGGGTGTCTTGCTGGGAGGATTTCATTGGCTACCTCAAGGTGCTGCTGGAGGTGCAGTTGAGTCCATTGAGTCGATTTTGGTAGAATTGCAGGTCCAAAAGAATGACATGACATGAGCTATGGTCAATACTCATGGTTAATAAGCATTAAAAACGGGGCTAGTCATCCAATGGTGATTTAATGGGATTTTTTTCACAACCATGATTTTTGGATCCTTATTATGGATGGGATGACCATCAACCATATAGTGAGTATTGACCATTGTTCACATGACATGTGATTACCAAATATTACAGGACATCCCGTACAAGATGGATCAAGATCATGAAAAAAGTGGCATCAATGGAGGTATGGCTAATATTGGGTAGTCACATGTATATACCAAGGATCTTGCAAGGCTAAAATGGATGATGAACATCCCAACGGAGACAAATCTGTCATAAAGGTGTCTTCTAGAATTTGGAGACCTCGTTGAAGTTATTCCCCAGCCACTACTCTGACTTCATTGTCACCCCTGGAATGCTGGTTGTGAGAGGAGAATGGTGGCAAGATGATGTGTCTCGCCGGTGTGGATTGAACCTATATAAATTGTGTTTTTCTTGGCTGATGCCTAGGCAGTTTATCCAGGTGATGCAAGCTCCAATTTCGAATGACATCCAGGAATATCGAGCCTCATTCAGTATGCAAGTGCTTCGAATCTTCCAAAATTTCCAAGCCTAAGCCAGATGATCCCAGATGTGTGTAAGCATTTGAGGGCATTTGAATCAAGCTTACTGTCTGTCTTAGTCCTTTTCGTCTCACGTGGCATAGCCCCAGCTTTTACAGTGACTAGGTCACCGGCGTGATTGAATCAGGAGTCCAAAAAACCGTCAAAATGATCCACTTCAGGTATCTTCATGTTCCCATGTCCAAAACTTGAAGTCTAGTACAGCCACTCTCAAAATTGGTTCAAGGGTTCAATTTTACAACAAAAATCTGGAAAGCGCCATATTATGTGTATTAATATATATATATATATGGGGTTACTCACATTAATTGGATATTGGATATCAGTTGGGCATTAATTGGAGTATCTAAGCACGTGCCAATCAGCAACTTGAGCATCGGGCTGATTCTGAGGTCAGCCCGCGTGAAGAACGAGATCCGAGCGCGATTCAATTTGGAGTTCAGCGAGACAGCCTTGGGACACGTCAGTGTGGATGCCTGGGATGCCTGGGATGCCTGGGATGTTGACGGACATGGACAATCCACCAGTCCGCCATAAATGATTTCCAATGTTAGTTGCCCGTGTTAGGCTATTCTATACATCAGTGGCTGGTGATAGATTTTTCCCGTTCCACCTTTTGACCAAAGAAACGATTCCAGGTGGCCAACACAGTTTCACGTGTCGGAGTGGTTCATGACAATGTTTTAGACCAATTACATCATGTCACACAAGATATCTAATGTACTGCACATTTTTCGGCCAACTCGTGTTGGTATCCATATTGGGTATGGATCAATACCTATTAATACCATTTTTAGGGGAATGAACATCCATTTACCAGCTATTTTGATGTGAACTACAGGGGTACAAGGTTTTGACACACTGCCATATTGGGTATCCATACCCATAGGATCCATGTATGCCATATATGCTAACATTTGGGGTATATTGATGGTAAATGTTACCATATATAGCATACATGGATCCTATGGGATATGGATCTTATTGTTGTACTCGTATTTGCCGGTCACATCCCTAGTGCTTTCCAAACATCTCCAGAAACCATCCACTCTGAGGTCTGGGAAATCTGTTGGACGACCCTCGGATCTTGGAACACTTCCATGTACGGAAATCTCCGCCGGCCGCCGGGGGCTCGGACAAAAAGCTGCTGGGGTTCCCGGAATGGCTTGGCAGATGATAAGAGTTGGCTACCCTCTGGTAATTTGTTACATAGCTATTGAAAATGGTGATTTATAGTGGATTTTCCCATTCCCATGACGGATCCATGTATGCTATATATGGTAACATTTGCCATCAATATACCCCCAATGTGAGCATATATGCCATACATGGATCCTATGGGATTGAAAATGGTGATTTTCCATAGCTACGTTAAATTACCAGAGGGTAAGAGTTGGCGAATGTCCTCCACTTTTTGACGAATGGGTCAATGATTAAAATGATGAAAAATCAACGGTAATCATTGGGAATCCCAAATCCCCCTTTATTGTTAGATGCCACCTGAAAAAGACCATTGTCGTCATGTTGGGATCTATAATTCATTTTGGAGCCTATTTGGTGGTAGTTCGTATTACGCGGATTGGATTTAATTTGTCTACTGAACCAGACCAAAATGATGTTTCCCTTGTTTCCCTTGTTTCCCTTCGGAACGGACATTTTTCGTCAGGAGGTCCAAGGTTTGCTCCTTTGCTGTTTCAAACATCACCTAGCAGGTAATTAGTAATTAGTGGTATGAACGGTACAGTAGTTCAATTGTAGTTGTATGATTTCCAAAGGAATTGAACAACCTGAACAGAATATGGAAACCCTGTATGCGGTGCACCTCTTGGTATGGCCTATTTCCAGACCAAATTCTTGCTGAAAACCAGACAAATCCAACCAAATTGGATGGTTTGTTGTTTATTTCATCTTTTCCTCAGCGATTGGCTGCAGCCATTTTTTGCCATACCCAGTTGAGGCAGATCTTTCAGAATCGCCAAGCTGAGGCTGACTTGATTCTCCTGAAAGAATACAAGCCTTGGAAGGAGCAGAGGGATTCTCAGGCGACTGTGTTTTGTAGTAGCCCGCCCTTAGATGTGATCAGTTTTAACACCACAGAAGATCCAAGAGACGTTGTTTCTCCTCAAAAGATGTACAAAAGACTTTTGCCAAAGTTGTGGATGGTTTGCATCATATACTGGATATATATATATATATTATATATTGTATATAGTGATATTATCTCGTTATTGGATGGTTTATAGATGATTAATTTTGTTACTGTATTGGATTTACAGTATCATATCATCCATCCTTATGAAGTGTCCTTTGAACCAACCCGTAGATGGATGCACAGAGGAATGATGCATAATGATACCTTAATTCCCTTTGTGGGTGATTTCCCACCTATTTATGCAAGGTTCAAACATTTCGCTGCAAACCATACGTGTGCCCGTGGTCCATTCCAGCATATCCTTTGGCTTAACCCCGTGCATAGGCCCAGCGTGTTTAAACAACAACCCCTAAAACCCCAAACCCTAAAAACCTAAAACAAGAAACCCTAAAACAAACCTCAAACCCTAAACAACAACTCCACATCATCAAAAAGCCCAAGGTCAATTTCTGATTGCTTTTTTGCCCATGTTTTCGTGAACATCCTTTGGTGACTATGATCCCAACAACGATCATTTTTTGGTTGGGTGAAATCAACTAACCCCTGCAACCTTTGTTTGTACCCTCTGGTTATGTCAAAATAGCTATTGAAAATGGCCATAGAAATAGTGGATTTACCCATGAAAAATGGTGATTTTCCATAGTTATGTAACAGTTTACCAGAGGGTAATTGTCATAAGTGTTGAGATATCCTGTTGATTGTGGAGCCTCTCACAAGAACTTTGAGTTTATTCAGTTTATTCACACTTTTCCATAGTTACGTAAACGTTTACCAGAGGGTAATTGTCATAAGTGTTGAGATATCCTGTTCATTGCGGAGCCTCTCACAAGAACTTTGAGTAGAAATTCACACGAACGTTCATTGAAAGGTACAGGCAACATCCAAAGGTCACATGCTATCAAAATGGTAGGGAAATCCAGTTCTACTGCTATTGTCCTTTGGGTATGACATTGTTGTTTTATCTTGAACTGGATTTTTCCACTGAAAAGATCATTTCTGGATGGCCGCTGGCTTCTGGGTATTCCACCCACCATTTTGCTGCTTGCATCCTAAACGATATGAAATCGCACCAACCCATCCCTACACCTGGAGCGTTGCTCACTGAATTTTAGCCTATGATTTCGGAGGTCTCCCACAGCACCAGGAGCCAACACCTGTACCAGAGTCACCAGAGGCTAAAGGACCGCGAAAGGGGACATGGTATGTTTGGGGTTTTGTTAGACAAAGATGGGGGACCTCAAATTTCAGCTACGCAATCCTAAAATATCCCAATATGGGTTGAAACCAAAGATTCCACATTTTCGGCCCAGTTGAATTGTGACTGGTCAACCAGAAAGGAAACCAGGAACATACAACTGCAGGGATTTGAACATACTGAACACATAAGGTCAAACAGACAAAAATTGGTAGCTTTGAATCCCCAAAGATCGTAGTCTACCCTCTGGTAATTTAACATAGCTATTGAAACTCACCATTTTTAATGGGAAAATCCACTATAAATCACCATTTTCAATAGCTATTTTGACATAACCAGAGGGTATCATGCATTAGGATGTGGTTTTCACATGTTTTCACCAGGCTTTGGGGCTCTGTCCTAGTTGAATCCTGATCGACAGGTGCATGGCGCTGGAATCAGATGAACGGAGATGAGAAGAAGAAGCGATGCTTCCAAGAGCCCGGAGCCGCGGTATCACACGGTGCTGGATAGGAGCAGATGATATCCCAACTCCCAGAATTTGCTGTTCCCAAATGAATGAATGCAGTGAACGAACAACACTTCGGAGGTGGGCATCATTCCAACAACATTCAAGATTTATATTATATTATAAGTATATATAGTTAAATATAATATAATATATATATATATAGTTAAATATAATATATATATATATACAATCCAATCAAAGGTTTTCCAAATTTCCGCGGCAATCCTTGATTCCGATATGGCGAATGACGAAGGGTGTTGTTTGAGTGTTGCATCCCCATCCCATCACTTGGAAACAGACATTACAAGAAATCCCCTATATAATACACAAAAAAAACATTAGTTAGTTATTTGCAGATGTGTTTCATTATAATCCAGTGACCCTATGTTTCTTGGTAAAACGGCCCAAAGTCCAAGTGTTTTTTCCCATGCAACGCGGTCAACTGCCGAGGCTCATATCTACAGGTCCTTGGCGGCAGGACCTTCGTTGGAAACTCCCAGTTCTAGCGATAGATTGGCCTTCCATTTTCTGGGGAAACAGTATGAACATGGATGAAAATGGATGAACTTGTATGAACATGTGTGAACATGCATGAATGTGTTTGAGCATGTATGAACATCTTGGTTGATGCGAACCAAGATGAACCAAGGGAAGCAGCAAACAGTTAGTCATATCTGGACATCCTGGGACGCAGGAGGTGCTCCTGCCTCTACCTTGTGCGCCATGGGAAATCGTCAGTAGCCTGGCTGCCAGATGTTGCCATGGTGGGGGGTTGGGGGGTGCAGGGCTGTCCCAATGGCTGTCCCATCCAGATCTGCCGAATGGTTGGTTTCTAGGATGCAATTGACCTACAATAAAAAGTGCACGGATATTATTTATCATGCATTTATATGATTTTATATGTGTTTCATGAATATCATATCATTATATATCATTATAAATTAAAGCAGTGACAGTGACATCCCCCAAAAATCCGGCCCAACCAACCAATTTTATGTGCGTCTTCTGAGGTGAGATTTGCCAGGTGCAGAACCCAGTTGCTTCCAAGTATCAGTAGAGGGTTATGGTTAGACTGACCCAACCATAACAAAGGTACAGGGGCATAGTATGCTATAGTGCAGTGTGTCAAGAATTTGGATAATTACTATAACCAATGAAAAGTGTGATATATATATATATATATATGAACAACGGTCACATAGTTATGATGTGATATGATGTTGTATAGGTGTGTCCTAGAATACCCTCTGGTAACCATACAAAAAACTATGGAAAATCACCATTTCTATGGGTAAATCAACTATTTCTATGGTCATTTTCAATAGCTATGTTAAATTACCAGAGGCTAAGCATGGTGGGTTCCTGATTACCACAGACCATGTTGCAGTTCGCCGGAAATCGGCGCATGAATCCACCCGCAGGTGCAGCCGGACCGGCAGCCTGGGGACCGAGGGATGGGGTGGATGGGGGATCAACCCCCAAGAGATGGCAATGTCCATGGCAATTCAAATCGGGAACCATGGATTCTAAAGCAGTGCATGAATTTAGATGAATTTAGGGGTACCCTGATTTTCAGACAAACCACAAAAAGTCCAGTGGTTTTGAAGTTTTGGAATGTTTTGGACACATGAAATAAAGTGGCATTCAAATGCATGGGCAGGGCGGACGATCCAATCATTAGTACATTGAATCTGACGCCGATCCATCCAGCACTCTGAGAATGGCTTTGCTATATTCTAGATAGTGCTTTGTTTTATATGATAGTGTGAATTATTGGCTATTGTTCGCAATGGCATTTGGCATCCACAGCTTCCAAGAATTGATCTATAATTACAAGGGACCATTTCGAGAACATGTCTACATTTGGGAGCAGAATTATTGGTTTAGACACACAATAAGTTGCAGGACATATTATGTAATTATATATATAATTATTTGGTAGCTCGGCCTCCCCCAGGAGGCAACGCTCGGGCACTTTTCCTTCGCACACTTGACACGAAAGTTCCCTGCGGCACCTGCGGATGTAAGACATGAAAACACCGGTTATAATATCAAAAATTCGAAGTAGATAACTCCGGTGTACCTATAGCCAGAGTTCCACTCTTGGCAACATCCATGCACGTCTTCTATGCGGTGGCCTTCAACTTGCGAGTAGTATTGGATCCAGGAAACATCAGGTTGGAGTTGCCCAACTTGCGGTCCATGACCTTCACATATGCATGCAAATCTTTCAAGGGAGGCTGAGAGGAGGACGAAGTATGATGGCGCACCCAATCCAGATAGGACTTGATGCTGGAATCGGACTTAGCTTCATTCATCATCTCAGCATAGCTCATCTGGCGATCCTTGAACTTGCCAAACTCAACAACAGTACTGCCCCACATCTCCAAGCTCGTGATCGGAGGGAAGGAATCCTCTGAGCTGCGCTGAGGTGTCACTGGCACTTGTGACATGTGATGGCACGGGGAGCTGACTTCCGTAAGTCGGCGCTTGCTGGCATCGGTCATGGAGGTGGGTGTCACACATTGAAAATCACTCTGATCATCGCTCAGAGATTCTTCCAGTTCAATGGCACGGTACACACTGTTCACCTCGGCCGCATACTGTTGAATGTTTCCATGCTGATTGGCTCTCTGGAGCAAACTCTTCAAAGTACTCAGCTCAGTCGAAGACAACTTGGACATGGCAAGGATGATCGAAAAACACTAACAAAATCACACAAAAGGGCTCTACCGCGGGACCATGCTGCAAGGTTGAGGCAGAACGCATCGGTTCTGGCATTCACTGACACAACGTAATGCACCCTACCAGATTACGCCTACTTCTATGACCCCTAGAAGTGCAGTGACGAATAAACTGTACACTACATGTCATCGGGAACTGGGTCTGCAGTTGTTTGGTCTTCACGTTTGGTCTGGTGCAACTGCAAACGGCGTTGTTTTTCAGCGGCTTGGTATTCCAAGACATCTTTTTCGGGGGAAATTTGATAGCTGGAATTTCTAATGCATGCCCTTAGGAGATCTATGGGATCTCCTGCGTCTTTGTTTAGGGAATCGGCAATCATGCGGTCCGTAGGGACCCATCGGACTGCAGCATTGAGTACTCGGACGCTCTCTTTTATAATCGTGATGTCAATGCTGGTGCGTCGATCTTCCACAGCAGTCGGACTTGACGGTGATTGCAAATGGTCATACAAGGATTTGCAGTCAGTCACCAAAATTGGACAATGCTGTTGTAACACCTGTTTTGATTCTCGAACATCAAAAGGGCCATGCATGATTTCATGAAGCAATAAACACATCCACTCAACCGTCCCTGAAGCTGTGGCCATGGCCTGACTTTCGGCGGCCAACGTTGAGCTTACAGCACGAGTGAGGCGATAACTTCGCCAGGCTGCAGGGTTCCAGGCTGACATCTCACCTTGGTTAAGATTCTTGTGAGTAAATGCAATCATGAAGCCAGCTTGGGTATGGTTTCCCACATTTGCGAAGGCGGCGTCTGAATGGCAACACACAGCTAGATCTTGAAGGGGGATTGGTTTGAAAGTGATATCTAAATCAGCATGTTGTTTGGCTCTGCGAACAATGGTATTGACATTCTTCAAGTGTTTGATTTTGGGATTAGGAAATGATTGTTGACTGAAACTGGTCTGTGCGGCAAGATCTGGCCTGGCCTGTGAGGTCACCCAATTCAAACTACCGTTGATTGCCCTCAGGACCTTTACCTGGTGAGCTTCTAGCAGTGCTTCCGTGCTCTTACCCTTAGGTATGGTGGCAGGCTTGATCTTATCTACGGAGGTTTTCATGGACATGCGGATGGACCCATCATCTTGTTGTGAGTACATGGCACCGCAAAATTCACCATGACGAACACGCCACTTGCGAAAAGGAAAACGCTCTTTGAGCTTGGCCACGGATGCTTCGAACACGGGGCCATGACCCCCCAAGGCGCAGTCATCCACATGAATGCCTAAAAGGCCAACCAAGCAGTTATGTTCATCTCGAAGTTGATACAAACATGGATCAAAACAACTGGGCTTCCACTGCAAGACTTTGAGGGATTCGTCAAAGGTACGATGCCAAGACGCTGGCGCATCGTTCTGTCCATAAATATTTCCACAGATCTCAATCACCGCTTCTTCCGGCAATCCCGGAATTCCCCCTGGGGGTTGATGTGCAAACAAAGGACGGAAGCGGGATTCTAATGGTCCAGCTTCAAGGAAGGCACCACGGATATCACCTAACTGCAAAGACCAATTATTGGAAGACAACACTTGCATCAATGTCATGCGACCCAATTGGCTCAAGGTAGGACTTTTCAACTTACCCTCTTGTGCCTTCAGATGAAGATCCGGATCAAGATGTCCTTGCAAGCACCATCGACCCTTGACTGTATAGGTCGCGGGATTCTGAGGATCTATGACGGCTCCTTCTTCCAAGGGTTTCCTAGTGAGCACAAAACGACTACCGATGAATCTATGGCTATATTGTTCACGGATCTGTTGGGCCTTTCGACCAAAATGCAACTTTACATTGTCAGGCTTGCTTAGCATAGTTCTCCATTCGGTTCTTTTGCCTTCGTCGACCAACCTCTGTACCTCAGGTGGATTGTTACTATGAGGGAGTTCTTTGGCCATCTTCTTCTTGATGTATTCGGCTATCAGGGCTTCGATGTCCAGACCCTCAGTCGACCAACTATCCATGCTAAGGTGCTGTACAGACAACGTCTCACTGGTGCGGGCTCTGTGAGTTGCCGGCTCGCTCGGAGAAGAAGGTGCTGTGTCGCTGGAACTCACTTCAGTGTGATCACGTTTGATGCCTTGATGCACTTGTTCAATCATTTGTGGAACAGTTTCACGAATCACATCTATGAAATCTTCCATTCTGAGTGCTGGGGGTCTGTACAACGCTTCAGGACCATCTTTCCCTTGCACCCTGCGGCGAATAGGGCCATAGGAAGAGGTTTCACCTCCACCTGGCTCATTGAGAGAAGGATCCGCTGCCGGACTTTCTGTGATCGGAACAGGAACTTCGGTTGGCAAAGCTGGAGCTTCGGTGGCTTCCATGGGCACTTCACTGATCGGGGGATGCTCTGGAGGATTAGTTTCATCCATGGCAACGTCGGATTGCGCTTGATTGGAACCTGCAGTGTTGGAGGGAAGATCACGCTCAAATGATCTAGGTGGAGCTACAGTAGGATATGACTGACTTACCAAATCGATGAACTGTTGACTCTTAAATGTCCCTCCCTCGATCATGTCTTTGATGCCCAAGAGTTCCACCTGCGGAGTGGCAATTAATGCTCGCTCTTCTGATGTCGCCGGTCGGACTTGCTCTGGGGCACATCGCAGCACTTGTTTGCGATGAGCGATCAGCAGATTCTTGCCGATGTGTCCTAAAACTATTGCAGTACCATACCAGCGTCCCTGATTGTGCAGTTCGCCTTGAATCCATTTTTGAGATCTCCAGTACGCAACAAGATCACCTGGTGCAAAAGGGACACTGATTCTGGGTCGCGCCAACAGCGCACTCCTAAGAGCCTTGTTGTCCTGCAAATCTAGGACGGCTTTCCGGGCAGTGTTTCGAATCGCCTGGGCACGTTCTGCTGCACTGTCATGCAAGGAGGCGGTGGCTGACACAACATGCAAAGGTTCATCCAGCAAATCGGATGGCACTCGTGGGTTCCTACCAAACACAAATTGGTGTGGTGTATGCCCATATGACTGAATCATCTCGTTCTTTACATGTGCATGTTTAACACATTGAAGCCACTCTTCTTTATTCTTGGGGGAATGTTCATCAATGACCTTGGACAAAACTCGATCAAACCAGCCACCATGATTTTCAGTTCGGCCAAGCTGCCAATGTGCATCAGCTGGGATGACACGCATCTGCGTGCCTTCGGTCTCGGCTGGAACGAACATGGGATCAGCTAAATTGGTCTGGGCAGCATCGAGGACTATTTCCTCTGGAGGGCCGGTCCACGAAATCCAATGTTGGTCTAACAGTTGTCTCAGCAAGGTGGCTGTTTCGGTCTCAAAGAACGGAATGACTCGTTGGAAGCAGCTGGCCTGATCAACAATGTTGAGAGCTCGAATCTTCTGATTTGGCTTCCATCCTACTAGGTGTTTAACATCCAAACCAATCTGTTGATTGAACTGTGACGCTCGATGTGTTTGTGACGGAATTGGAACTCGAGGCTTGACCCGGCTCTCACAGAAACTGCACTTGTGCTCTTTGGCGAGCTGAATTGCTTCATCCGAGGCCAGGGCATGACGCAAAATGCGTACCAGGTCATGATTTGGAGGATGGCCAAGGTTACGGTGCAACTTGTCAATGACCGTTTTCAACTCACTACCAGTTTTCTTCAATTCAATTTTGGATGCAGCAAGCACCTCGCAGTTGTGAGTACTCAGTTGATCTTCTACCACCTCCAGAACTTCATTCTTGGTCAAGTCTACACTTCCTTGAAAGGAGGGCACGGTCTGCAAAACTGCCGTCACAAATTCACGAGTGTACTGACCTGCAAAAACACTGACACTGCCAACGCCCGGGTGGCTGCCGGCCACAACATCATGTTGGTGATGATCTTCGGATGCATTGCAAAGACGCTCGAGGCTTTTCATATCTTCATGGCTAACAAGAAGCTTGGTGCTTTTCCTAATGAAGTTACGGCTATCCGGAAGTTGCAAACCGTACTGGCACATGTGAAGTTTGACCACATGATATCGACGGCACAGCTTCTCCACCTCTGGATAGTGCCAGATCTTGGATCCGGTGGGGTGTTCCCACACTGCACGCCCGCCTAGTGACACCTGTTGTTGGAACAGCTCAGCACAAAAACGAATGAGGATCCTACTTTGGGCCTTAAGCTTCAAGTATTCAAATCTCTCCATCTTGGTGCTATTCAAATTGAACCAACCACCTTCATGAGTACATGGGGGTGACAAGGTGAGAAGTTCCGGTGGATTATCTCTGAGTTCTTGCTTGAGCTGGGCACGATTCTTGGCAATCAACAGGTCAGTTCCTAGCTTGATATCTACCGACTTAGCCTTAAATCCATGATCTTCAGCTACTGTGGCAAATCTCGGAGGCGAAAACACTTCCACAACCAGCCTCTTGCTTTGGGACTGATCACGCTGAGCTGCGGAACAACCTTGAATCACCCGTGACCTCAATTGTCTGAGCTGGTGTCCTGTCAACTTGGCAGGCTGACTGGTGTCAGCGGCAGCTACCTGGATTTCGGATTCCGGTGGCTCAGTGTCTAAGGACCTGTCGCTGCATTTGGGATCCACATGCCACAACTCAGTAATTATGTGATCACAGTGAGAAGGCAAAGGTGTTTTCAACCTACTGGTGGACCAAGAAGCAACACCATGTTGGTCTAGGATCACTTTGTGGGTCTTGGCACATTTCACTATACGTCGATGAACAAAATTCTTTCGGGGTCCTAGACTGGTTGTAAAAGGAGCATGTTGACATCCAGAATCTTCTCTACACCAAACCCTACATGCTACATCCTTCGGATTTGACTTGGTGACATCACTGTTCGGGCCTGACGTGGCATCTGGGTCTGTCGAAGTATCAACCTCGGCAGAAACATCGGCTGGTTCTTCAGGGACAGGTGCTTCAGCTTCATCGGGAAGAAGTCGCACCACATACTGTCCTGCTTCATTCACCTGCAGCGGAATTCTGACCTCGTCATCAAACAGCGTCAGAGTGTGGTTCTTGAAATCCAGAGAGGCCTGCAATGTCTGCAGGGCAGCACGTGAAATCAACAGAGGAGCTTTGCCTTTGACAATCGCAGCCTTGATGGCTCCATAGCGTCCGCCCAAACGGACTGGAATCTTCACCGTCTTTTCAGAAATTTCAGAGTGACCATTTCCATAACGAAAATGATTGATCTCGGTGTCATAGGCTGGCACTGTCAAACCACATGCCAACAGCAGATCTTTGAATTGTTGCAGTGTTTGATCACCAATGATCGTTTTCCCACAGCCAGAATCTAGCACCCCAAAACCAGGGCTTGAGACCAAAAGGATCTCGTGGCCAGCAGGTCCTGTGGTTGTTGGTCGCTCAGTTGGCGACACCAAAAGGCGCAAACGTTCCAGCATTGACTCATGTTCCACCGCAGCCACAAAGTCAAATGACTGCTCTTGAGCCAAGGCAGCACCTGTAGAGGCACTCGGCACGGAAGTCTTGGTAGTTGAAGATGCTGCACCTTTGTCACTACGCGGCTGTCGGCACTCACGAGACCAGTGTCCCAGCTTGCCGCACCTGTGACAACGAGTCTTTTTCTTCATTTCCTCAATCTCGACCCGAAAGGCTCTCTTGGTCTCTTTCACCTGCCGGAAGTTTCTGGCCCGTTGGAGTTTGGCTAGCTCCTGACGTTTCTCTTTCCAAGTCACAGCAAGAACCTCGGCTACGTCCTTTTCATCAAAAGCTTCACCATCCAGCGGTTGTAGATCCCGCTGGTGCTCGGTCAAAAACATCTCAATGTCAGTGAATTCGTCAGCAGAGTTGGGCTCAGTTCCATCCAGTTCTAGATCGACAGAACCATCTTCCACTAGGTTGGCGGCATACTTTTTGGCGCTCAGAACCTTTTCTGGAAAACATGACCTCATGGCCTGGCTGATATCATCTCTTTTCAAGGAGCCACTTGCCCTAGCTAAGGCAATGGCCTTCTCAGCATCTGTCAACCCAGCCTTGTGCAGAATGATCCATCCGCGTGCTTCAGTTGGAAACTCCACCTTGGTTTTCCTGGCCAGTCGGTCAAACAACTCAGATGCGCGGGCAACCCACGCTTTCAGGGACTCGTTCTCCTTGAAGCGCAGCTGGAATACCTCAGTCAGAAGCTCACCCAGCTCGTCAGTTTTTCCTTTGACAGGAAAACGTTGATCCAACAGCTTCCAGATGACTTCGTCCCCTTGCTCTATGTGATAGTCTTCCATGGACAGATGTTCTATGCATTCCAGTGCTTTACCACCCAACAGCGTGTACACATAGGCACCACGTGCCTTTGCTGGTAGCTTCTCCATGGTCATCATCTTATTTGTACACCACACCTTGAATCTTCGGTACTCTTCACTGTCCTCATTGTCTCCAGAAAACATCCTGGTGAATCCAGATTCACCAGGGCTATTGGCCGCCATGGCACCTGCGATTCTGGTCTCCCCCCCGGGGGAGGCCGGAGCTCGGTAGCTCCGCTACCAATTTGGTAGCTCGGCCTCCCCCAGGAGGCAACGCTCGGGCACTTTTCCTTCGCACACTTGACACGAAAGTTCCCTGCGGCACCTGCGGATGTAAGACATGAAAACAATTATATAATGCATTTGAAGAGTTCGAGAAAAGGTTTCAACACTTTTGCGGAACCTTTTTCCGTGGAGATTTCCTGTGAAATCGTCCAGACTTAGGTCCTTCGCTGTTGAGGAGGCGTCTGGTGGGGTTGTCGCATTGGGCATAATATGGATAGCCAACAAAGATGGTAGTTTCACCAACTATAATGGGGATTTTCTATGTGATAGAATGTGCTATAACGATTTCGATATTGGTGGTAAAGTCTGAAACAGGGTATCTACCCCAAACTCATGGCCATTGCGGACCATCCCTGTCAACTGGTAAGCTGACCATTTTGGCAGTCAGCCAGTGTTGCAAACTCAACTTCTATCCTTCTAAGAGTTGGAAAATCCAGGAAAATCCGCATTTGGACGGGACAATCATCTAGGCTACAAGTGAGAGCTGTTGCATTGACATCTCAGAGTAAAAGAGCTTGTAGCATTGGGGGATCGGCCCATTTTTGGACAACACCAGCTGAGGTGTAACAGGTGAGCTGCATGAACATTGAAGCTTTATGCCCCAGCTGTTTGGAGCTGAGCTTCTGAGAACAGGGAGCAACTGGCATTTGATGTGAGCAATAGCAATGTTTCGTGTTAGTTGGGCATCATTTAGACTTTTTAATATGTTAATTAATTGTTTTTGGTTGCCGTCCTGGATAAATAGCTGGTGTTTGGTCCATAGCATTCCATAGCCATTATTAAAAACTATTTACAGTATTTTACAATGTGTTTAGTTTCGGATGCATCATGACACGTCACTGGAAAGATTGTGGCCCGTGGCTACAGACTTCAACTACGTGGAACGCCCAAGAGTTGTTTCTTTCAGTGCTATTTGGGTATGGATCAATACCTATTAATACCATTTTTAATGGGATGAACATCCATTTACCAGCTATTTTGGGGTTCACTAGGTACCAGGGTTTTGACCCATCCCCATTTAACAAGCAGCCGTTTTGCATTCCGCGTCAAATCACATGCTTTAGACGGTACAGTCCAATTTTCCCGAAAAAAAAAGGAGCCGATCAGCGATAAATAATACATGCCAGGCGGAGTTTCGGCAAGACTTGTTGTCAGATCAAACAAGGCATTCCCCACAATCCTTGCTGTTAGCTGGTATTCTAAAGGCAAAAACAAGGCATTTGTTGCCAGTTTTGCAATGCCCTGCTCTGACTTTACCCAGGGTGCGCAGGTCTTGCAGGGGCTGACATCATCCATTGCTGAGTCAAATCATCAAACATGGGAGTTGAGTTAAATCACAGACCTTGTTTGAACCAGCAAAAAATGTTGTTTGTTTAACCATCAAACACGGTGATGAATAATAGTACCAATAACTATGATAAGAATACTTCAAGTTCAACAATTTGTGATATACAGGACGCCCGCACAATGCGCATCGTTAAAGCCATCATGTCCTGCATGTTCTGTTCTAGAGCAACCCCACTTGCGTTGCTGCGCTTATGACTCCTGCATTGGGGAGCCACCCTATCTGCGTATTGCTGCATCGAAATGAACACTGATTTCTGGTGAAAGTCACTGGGGATATCACAGATGAATGCTGAGTTTTTTTCACCAGCAATCACCAGGTATTATCAACGAAAATGCTGCCAGAGCTTTCTGAACATAACATTAGGGTATATAGCTAACATAGCTATGAGGCTATGACGGGAGAAGTCACATGCATCCAGGGGTAAAATACATACCTGCAAACTTGATGATTCAACTGGGGCTGGATCAAAACTATTCTGGGCAATGAACATCCATACAATCCCAGCTATTTATTGGCCAATTACATCAATTGACATAGACGAAGCCAGAAAATCTGTCAGACAATTGCCATGGTTCCGTCAGACTGGCTACTGCACCTGGCTCCGCGACGTGACTGAAGTAGGTAACCTGGTAGGTTTGTCTGAGAAACTCAGATTTAAGGAGCAAGAAAGGGCGCATTTCACCAATACCATCTGGTTATGACTAACAGCTCGCCATGGAAAATCACCATTTTTGATAGGTAGACCATCTATAAATAGGCAATTTTCCATGGCTATGTTAAATAACCAGAGGGTATGTCAACATATTTGTCTGGAAATGTGGGATTTTGCTGCCTCAATTCATGAGCACTTTACTTGCAACAAATAATTTCTGAACGATGGATTTTATGATTTTGGGGTATACTCTTTTCGGATAAACCCATGTGTCTGGTTTGAGGTGGGAATTCTATATTTCCAACGTACAGTGATCCTGTGTGCCCTATCCTGTCCGTCTACTAGGAGGTTTCATGACGCAGGCACTGCCCCCTCAGGTAGCTCATGTGTTGCTAACATGTCAAATCATTCTGGGCCAGATGAAAGTCTTCACAGATATACCAAGATGAACTTTTCTTGGGAGTTTGTTGTGTTTATTAACAATAGCTGGAACATTCCAAACTGCCAAATATATATACATATAATATGATTATATGATTATATATATACATATATGTATGATTATATATATAAAAATATGAATGATTATATATGGTGGTTTCCCCAAAACAACTACCTGTTCCGTCGGGATTCTTCACCACAAAAAAATCGGGAGGTCCCCAGGGTCTCAACTCTTGACCGTCAACGCGTTAAGCGGCGCGAAGCGGAAGCTGATGCCAGTCGCCAGTCCATTTTATCCCACTCCGTCCAGCAACTTGTTTCGAGAAGTTGCTCTCAGTTGCTCTTAGTTTTAGTATTTCAGAAATATTTCATTCATCAATGGGAATTTCAGGATCCTTATATATGGTAGGTACCTCCAATTTAGGTTCCTGAAATGGCCATTGAATTCAAGAATTCTCAAAGATTTGCCAGCTTGGGAAACCTAAGAAGAATGGCCTGTGCCAGCCAGGGACTTATTCATATCCCCAAAGATCTGGCAGATCTCAATCCGAGATTGTTTTGTGTCCACCATCAGCTTGTTTTTTTTGAGGAAATGCCAAAAGATGCCCATGTTGAGAGATATCTGAGATACCATGGATGGAAGAAATCCAAAAAACTACCTTGGATGGTTGAAACCCTACAAACATTTAATGGGATACACCACCTATCAACTGATGCAGGATTTCTTCCATCTACTGTATGGTTTTGTTCCCACCTGAGCAACTCTCATCCTCGCCTCCAAAAGCAGAGCCAAAAAGTGCCGCCCCTGATTCATCCTGATTCACATGTTTGACAGACTTAGCCATCTACCCGGTCTGGTAAACGTTAACATAAACTATGGAAAATCAACATGTTTAATGGGTAAATCAACTATTTCAATGGCAATTTTCAATAGCTATGTTAGTCATTACCAGGCCGGGTAGTTCGTTGTTGATGTCTTGTAGGGGCGATCGACCCTTGGGGTTCGCCGGCTTTGCGGCTTTGCTCAGGACAGGCTGCGATCCAGGTGATATCAGGTGAAATGGAGAAATGAAATCTGGAACAACAGGTACAGGATGGTGCCCCCCAGTTATAAGTTGGTTTATAAACCCCATTAACTATAGTTATATCTGCCATAAACCATAGTTATGGGAGTTATAAAACAACTTAGCTAACCATGGGGCACCACCTTGTAGCCATAGGTAGCCAAGAATCACCGATGATCAGTATGTTAAAACCATTTAAAACCAAAACCATCCGGCATTTCCAGAAATACTGCAAGATGCGAGGCAAAGAAAAACAGGATGCTATTTTGATGTGCTTCCAAAAGCAGCACGTTTGTCGATGAAACCGCACCTCAACTGACGCCTCATAATCATGTAAAATGAAAACTTGCTGTCGCAAATGATATTGAATTGAACACACGCCTACTATATATCTGACTATCATTGGCTACAGATGAATTCATAATATTTTATATTTATCACATATTCATGGCATATCATAGCCAAGTACCTTCTCTTCATAGCTATGTCAACCAGTCCACAACTGACACAGAGATCTTTTTTTCGTGGCCGCGTGCTGCGGGCCACGATCGGGCCATGGCCAATGCGCTCCTGCAGAGTGAACACACACAATTTTGCAGGTTCCGATCGCGGAGTTGGGTATGGATCAATACCTATCCCATAGGATCCATGTATGGTATATATGCTAACATTTGGGGTATATTGATGGTAAATGTTGCCATATATAGTATACATGGATCCTATGGGTATTAATACCATTTTTAGGGGGATGAACATCCATTGACCAGCTATTTTGAGGTTCACCAGGGGTACCAGGGTTTTGACTCACTGCCAGTTCTCCATTGTTCCCCCATCGCTAGTTGACTGTCATAACATCGTGCTTCGTGTGTTTGTTTGAATCATGGAAGATATTGTTGGTAAAACCATGTTTGTACTCCATGTTTGTATCGGTTCATTTGGTTTATTGAATGGTATATAAGAAAAAGTGTATATATATATAATATATATATATATACATAAAGGGTCTCATTTGGATAGAATTCAGTGAGAAATTGGAGACGTCACTCCCACGTTGCTCTGGGGTTACAGTTGGTTAACACCCACCTGAATTTTGGGGATCATGCACGACTGAACTAATGTACTTATGTTGGGAATCGTTGACCGACCAGCAAACAGATTCCAAAGGATTCTTTCGCAGACTTCAAGTGACACTAGGGGCTCTACGTCAAGTACCCTCTGGTAATTTGTTACATAGCTATTGAAAATGGCCATAGAAATAGTGAGTTTTCCCATGAAAAATGGTTGATCTTTCCATAGTTTTTTGTTAACGTTTACCAGAGGGTACTGTATTTCGTAATGAATGATGTGTGAAATAATGACAGCATCTGATTGGCGCATCCCGGAAATTATAAGTGGCTAAAAGCTAATAACATGTAAGAACCATCTGGACAAGCTAGCTATATCTGGGTTGAAAAAAGTGGATATCCCCAGTTGTATGAGGCTGAAAAAAACCACTGAATACCTGGGATGCACTGATGCACCTCTAAGTATTCCGCACAAGTAGACGCAACAAAGTACCGGAGTCGCTGAGCTTGTCGTTGCCTTGTTCCTTTGTCAGGTGTGGAATCCACCAACACCTGGAGAAGCCCTTCGGAAAAAAGATGGCTGATGATGCTGATGCAATCCCAAGACATCCCAAGCCTAATGGTTTCACAAAGATTTACCCTCTGGTTATGTCAAAATAGCTATTGAAAATGACCATTTATAGTGGATTTTCCCATTAAAAATGGTGATTTTCCATAGTTATGTTAGTTTACCAGAGGGTACTTGATTTTCTGGATGCTCAGAGTGGAAATGAAGTCCGACAACTTTTTCTTTTTAACGGCGACCTACTTTTTTGACTACGCGAGCCATGCGACTCAAAGGTTTGGTGTTTCTAAGCCTTCCTTAGACACCTTTGACTGTTGGGGCTGGGTTGATAGCATCAAACAGAGCAAGAGGTACTTTCCCAACGGAGGGATATTGATATTATGTATCTGGGTAAAACAAATATTACTGAAATAATGATATATATATATAATGAATAATTATACAGATATTAAATGATTAAATGAGGTTCATGTCCTTATGGTAGGTATATATGACATGTTCCCAGTTACATATCTCCATGTGC